GTGTAAATGCGGCAACAGATCGCCCGACGGCACCGGATTCTGTGATTGGGAATATCTCTATGGCTGATGCATTGGAGCAGCTGTTTACCAATGCTACGATAAGCCTCTTCAGTAACTCAAAGTTGTTGTAAGCACACATGTACTTGTGATCGAAGTTCTGCTAACATTTACAGGCAAAACGATACCGCTGCATCTCGCGGTAACATTACCTACCTCACCACGCAAATCGCCTTCTCCTATGAGCCTCGCAACCTCTTCATCGCATACGGGCTAGGCGTACTGGCTTCTGCGATTATTGTCATCATCGGGCTTCTATGTATCAAGTCTGTATCGGCATCCTATGCTACTACTTTCTCAACTATTCTGCGGACTACGAGAAACCCCGATATTGACACTATCGTCCCCGCGGCGGAAACATCCGGCGCAGAACCTTTGTCGAAACATCTTGGCGATACTCGTCTGGTACTACGACGTCAGGAACGCAAGCTGGAGGGGGCGGGTGAGGATATGGTGACGCTCTTTGCTGTGGACTCAACGCCGAATGAGAAGGGTAGGCAGAAAGAATCTCCTTATGATTCGTCCCACCCAGGGGATAGAGGACAACAATATTCTGATGCAAGTATCGAGCTTCTGAGCCATGTTGATCGTTCAGCTACAGATGCAAGGACTGGAAATAGTGGTAGGAAGCTGTTTACCCGTGGAAATTGAGTAACAATCATGTTGTGTCAAGTCAAGATTTCAGGTAGGACAAAAAGAGCATCGTAAATGACAGAGCAACATTATTTATGTATATATTCATGTCATGTCATTAAATCTCAACGCTTGCAAGTTGTTTTACAAAAAGCCTTGGTTATAATCTTGATTATAACCTTGGTTGAACCCAATCCCATCAGACAGCAACCCCATCTCTTGCGCAAAATACAAAGCTTGGTCATTTTGAGCCCAACTCACTGCCCCTTGAAGGCGCTGCAGCAGATCCTCAGTTGTCTCCATACCCACTACCGACTCACTGAACTGTGACTGTTCAGACACAGGGGATGGCTCTTCTGTACTCTCCGAATATGTCTTCTGCGCTCGTTCCGCAACTTCGTAGACTACGGGCGATTGGGGCCCGATGTCTATACCCATTTGCATGGCAAAACCCACGGATGGATCGTCTTCCATCCATCGTGAAAAGCTTTTTGCGTATGTTGCTGGTGAGAGCGGTCGGGGGAGGGCCATTTGTTGTGTCATTGGCATTGACATTGGCATTGACATTGGCATTGACATTGGTGCGAATTGTGGTTGTCCTAGTAGCATGGGCATCAAGGATCGGTTTCTATTGAAGAAGCGTCTCAAGGCAGCTGGAAAGTCACTGTCTTGAGCGAGACGATCTTGACTAAGACACACATCGATGGTCAAAGCTAGGCGGAGATATTGCGTTGGACTTCGGGCCAGGACATCAGCGTGATCGTTGGTGAGCATCATTTGCGAAGGTTCCTCGCGATCACTGCACTCCATAAAGTACCGGATCGTCTTGGAAATAGAATGAACGCCGTCGTACTTGGGGTGAAGCTCTCTGAAAACTTGGATGAGGACGTTAAGTCGTGATTGCTTGGAGGCAACTTCCGGACGGGCCCATATCTCGGTTGCGGAAGAGGCAGTGGACATCTTCATATCGACCATGTGCATCGCAAGCGGGAGAGCTGTGCATGCTACAGCGCTACTGGGTAGCCAACGGGTGAGTCGGTGGGGATGTAGTCGGGCGAAACATTCTGCTATGCTTTTTGTGGCGTTTCGGAGATCTCTTCGGTTATTCTTGAGGAATTGGGTTTCATGTGATGCGGTGGGAGTTTGGTTGACGAGACCTAGTATTAGACCGAGATGGAGTTCGTAATTGCAGAGGGCGACTTGGCTAGCGCTGGGGAGATGTCAGTGTATGTGTTGCAAGTGGCGATAGGGAGCCTTACTGGAAGTAGATCCAGACGAGATTAGTGAACAACACTGCAGAGTCCTCGTATCCTCCTGAACTCAATGTCAAATCTTGGATGGCGAGTGGTGGTCTTGTGGCCACTGCCCAATTCTTGAGTGACCTCTTGTGTTCCTGTACTTGCGCGTATGCTGTCGAATGTGCCTCTGCATCTAGAATCGGCAATGTCTCGGTAGGATATACTAAACCCAGGACGTCTGTAAGGGTGACACAAAGTTCTGTAAGGCGTTCTAATGTGAGGATGAGCTTGTGCTTTGTGGCAATGTTGTAGACCCGCGACGACTCAAGTTCATCGACGAGATCATCGTAGCATAATGGGGAGCAGTTGGCAAAGTCGAAATGGGCACTGGTAATCTGGATATTTCGTCGGACGCAGAGGGGCATAATTCGATCACGGATAATACAACACCACCAGATACGTTTAAGAATATTCCGTCTCTTGACGTCTTGTTGTGATATGTGTAGTCCGTAAGAGGGAGAGTCGTAACTATCGGCGTCGCATGACTTGGCGTGTTGTATAGCAATTCGGAGCCATCTACTGTTCGCCTTACCAGGCCCAGAGCGGAAGGTTGGGCACCAGTAGGTCAAGAGGAGGGCAGACTGTGCAATGGAGATGGGATCGGGATCGGTCGAGAAGTCGTACAGAAGCTATATCAATGTCAGAAATGCTTTGCGAATAATACCACATTTTATTTACCTTGGCCTTGGTATAGAAAGCCTCTTTGGCTTCTAGGATGGTGGCGAATCCCAACGTGCGGAGACTCTCTTTAGAGACAAACTTTATTTGTTAGAACAACCCAACACACGAAAGTGGTGATGTCAACGTACAGTGCACGAAGCAAACATCATCGATTGCAGCAGAAGCATCGAAACAGGCGTCCCAGTCGTCGCAGAATTAGGCGTAGGGTCGTACGCATTCCAGAAATCTGCTTCGTTGATAAGAGGCAATAGCGGATGGATGTAGAGGAAGTAATGTCGGATGAACTCGTCGAGGATCGGTTTGGACGGGACGCGTAGACAGCCTTGAGCGTTGAGGTGGTGGAAATCGCAGTCGCGCATGTTGAGAGTCCGAAGGAAGGGCATGGACGAGTATAGAGCTTTGAGTTCGGATCGCACGGGTTCGCTAGGCTCTTCAATGATTGAGGGTGTATACGGTGGGATCTCTCTCATCTCTTCGATGATATCCTCTGTACTGTTTGTCGTGGGCGACTCAAGGTCAACACGCTCTTGATGCTCGACAGATGTCTTGTATTCGCTCTCTTCTAGTATATGTAGCACGGCAGTCGCATCGTCGACAGGACTCGTTGGGTTATCGTCGTTCGAAGTCGGCGACGTCGAAGAAGCTGCTGCCGTGACGGCTTCGCAGTCTCGAATGAGGTTGGCATTATCGGAGACGACGGAGGCACTACGGTGAGGAAGGGGACTATGTCATGTCAGCAGAGTAGAGTCAGTGATGATATCGATAACATACAAAGCATCAGCACGACGAGCAACGACGCATTCACAGCCGTCAAGTCGACAGTTGGTACAAGGCGTCGAGGTGCGAGTGACATCACACCGGACCTTTCGCTTGCGACATTTAAGACACGCCTTTGTCGCGCGCTTCCTCGACACAGGCTTCTTGGCGAAGCGAATCGGTTGCTGAGCGTTGTTCATCCTGGTACCTATAAGCAAGGGCGGAGACGAGCACGAAAGTGGTACCCGAGGTTGAAGAGGAGGAGCAGGAAAGCAGAGGAGAATTGAACCCCAGATTTACCCCAAACTGGCACTTGTCTATGCTGAGTGAGGCGCCCCCTGCTAGGGGCTAAGGGGCTGGACCCATGTGGGACGCATGGTAGTGAACCTCGGAAATCTCGGCTAGAGGGGTTTGTGCCCCACGGGGAAGCTTCAGTTTTTCTCTTGACGCGGTGAGATTAGGAATCAGACAAGGGTTATTGATGTTCTGGCTATTGGTAACTTATCATGTTACTCGTTTGAGCTGGCTTTGGAGTGCATCATGCTCCGTGTCGCAGTCTAGATTATCCAGTCAGCAACTCTGACAGTGGTTTAGGTGGCGAATGGCATATTCCGGCGGCTACATGAGCTGTTGAGTATGAAAACAATTCAATACCGCCCAAAAATAAGGCTAGGGACCTGAAGACTATGCAAAGACTCCATGAGAATTGATGGCTCGCTTATCTTGCATGATGTTGTGTTTGGCCATCGTATGACAGACCATGACTTAGATCCCTGAAGTGGCATAGAGGTGAAGTGTAGCGCATTTTTGTCACAATCATATATGTACATTTGTGGATATAAACTCACAATCGTTGTTTTCGAAACAAGCGAACATCAACAAAGTTTTAACATCCCCCTTGAGCTGATTTAACGGCCTTTTGCAGGGGCAACCCTCTCTTTAATGTCCTGGAACCAATGATCTCTAGGGTAGCCAAGGGTTACGCTACGTCATGTTTCTAAGCCAGGGCGACAGTCGCGTAACGTTGTCTTCAGCCACTCTCCCACATAAAACCCGGTCGGACTCCTCGGAAACCAGAAGCTTAAATACTTTTCATCCTAGCAAAACTCAACTGTGAACAGTTTGCGCGTGACTAGCTCAATGGAGCCCAGGCTTGCAGAACCATGCCACGTCTATTGCGGCTATTTTTATCTCGTGTTAGTGGAGCGTGGCTGTGCAGCCAGTCAACGGCTCGTTCCAGACGTAATCGGCACGAGCCACACAGCAAAATGTCACGATACCATCAATTAACCCCTGTAGCTCGTAGGTGTCGCCGAGTCTACCGTTAGGCTCTGCGCAATACGAGGACGTCACATCGTAACAGTGCCGGAATGCAAATGGGGCTCTGTGTCTAATTACAGTAGCTTTCCCCCGTCCATTCTAGGGATGCTCCCTTGATCATGTTATTGTCTCAGTATAATTTCAGCTAAACGACCCCATTCTTTTTATTTCTTCATATTTACTTTTTCCCTCTAACTATAACATTATTATTTATTCCATGGATTTACTATCGTGCTAGCATATACCGAGTACACAATGGTAAAGAGGTTCGATGGCCTTGAGTTTTGGGAGCAACGATGCAAGGCTCTCGAGCTATCGCAAACGCCCGCTACAAAATCACCTACCGACAGCGAGCCATCCCTGTCATTCGAGAGCCCAGAAATACCCAGCGCCGGGCCAGTATCACCAGCTCCATCACTAATAAAATGGCCAACGACGGCAAAACCGCTCGGAAACGTCGATGATTCCGAACCCATCTTCATTCAAACTGTTTCTGCAGTCCACGACGTCCGCAATTCCATGTCCTTTTCGCCCTCATTGGACCAACATAGCCAATCTGCATGCGTGCTACGGCCAAGCAGTTTTGAAGGAAAGGAGGAGTTCCTCACTGTTATTAGCAGAGGTGGATCAGATATAAAACGTGACAGGAGTATGGATGAGAGGAAATCACCATCAGCTGGCTCAAATATTACACAACTCAGAAGAAGATCCCCATTGCGACTCCAAACGACCAACCTATCTGGAATGGCACAGCGTCAACAAAGACACTCAATGATGCCAAATCTTCTAGCCGCGAACACCAACGATTCACCGCTGGACCACAGACACACATTGAGTGCTTCAGCAGATTGCAACAAGTGCATTACCCGCCAAACAGACAAAGCATTCGAAGCCCTCACCAACGCCCTAAACAACAAACGCCAAGACGAAACAAAACACCTAACAGTTATCCGACCGACCATAGACTGCCGCATGCCATCGCTCAAGTCACCAAAACCAATTCGACCCAAGATGATACGCCAAAAAACGCAGGAATGGGCAGCGACGCAAGAAGATATCGATAGCTCTACAGCGAGCTCTTTATCAAGTCCGCTGAGTCCAATGATGCCGATCCAGATCTCGCTAGACGGGAAGGACTTGGACAAGTCTGAAATACCTCCGATGGGATGTAATCTGGATCATGACTTGGAGGACTTTCTGAAGTGGGAGGCACGGAATGTATGTGCTTATGGATATGGGACAAATGGGTATACCCTTTCGCCATAGACTAGAACATGATTTAATGATGGGAGGATGATATACGGTTAAATTGCTGGACATCCTATGACTAGAATATTCCTAATAATACCCTCAAAATTGATACAATCGACTACTCATAGAAGTGGGCGAGATCATTTCAGAAGACTCCTCATCGTACTAGTGCGAATCGCATAAAGAGTTTTATATGTCTATATTAGCGTTATGTCAGATATTTTATAGTCACTTCTAGATTTCGTTAATGATCATAACGTTACCTATTACTGTACAGCAGATGATGGACCAGTGGGATGGAATTGAAGACCCATTTTGTCGGCTATAATATACTAATTGGGCATAAACCCAATGATCTCATCCAATGATGTTTGAGATCCCTCTTCGGACCAAAGGACACAACAGTCAACATCCAGCCTAGTCAAGGCGTAATTGGTGATTTTGCGCTGTACCTGGATTAATCATTTGTCGGCTTTCCTTCCAATTACGTGATAATTTACCTTAATTCGACCTTGGTTGCTGAGTAATGGGAATATCATCAAGTCTACCCATTGTTCCAGGTGAGGGGTCATCTCAATGACCTAACCACTATATAAAGAAACACTCAATCGTTGTCACATCACTCATTCTTCACGATATATTCAACAACAAAAATGGCCTCAGCAACTTCGTTCCGCGACCTCGTTGGCATTCCCGCCTCGACGGCCAGCCCCTCCGACAGCGTTCTCATCATCATCGATGCGCAGAATGAGTACGCCGAGGGCCAGCTCAAAGTGACCAACGCTACTGAGTCGCGCAAAGTCATCGCTGGACTTTTGGAGAAATACCGAGCTGCGAATGGGAGTGTCGTGCATGTTGTTCATGATACACCAGAGGGCGCGCCGGTCTTTACCCCGGGTACTAAGCTCGCTGAGGAATTTGATGAGCTGAAGCCCAAGGACGGCGAGGCTGTTATCCACAAGAACTTCCCTGGTTCATTCACCAAGACGGACCTACAGAGCGTCTTAGATAAGACTGGGAAGAAGAAGGTCGTTCTTACAGGCTACATGGTAAGTCACCGAGTTATATACCTGAGACGTAAGGCTAATCATGCAAAGGCCCATGTCTGCGTCTCAACTACCGCGCGTCAAGCTGACGAGCTTGGCTTCGACGTCATCATCCCCGAAGACGCCGTCGGTGACCGTGACATCCCTGGCGTCGACGCCTCACAGCTAGTCAAGGTTTCACTGAGCGAGATTGGCGATGCCTTCGGAACCATCATCAAGAGCAGCAGCATTGCTTAGAACTATCTATAAGTGATATAAACTTTTACAATCTATGTCATTACAATTCATTAAACGTTCATTCCTGCTTCTCTGAGAATTCCGGCTGTACGAGTTCCCTCCGTGTGAACTTGACGTTGAAGTCTGTCTGCTTGACGAACCAGGCGTTGATGATCCTCCACTCCTTGCTTGGGTCTTCAAAGTTAATCTACTTCTTGTTAGTACTAACTTCGGATGGTGTGGATTGAGTGCAGCTTACTTCGAACCGTCTTAGAAGACTCGGTACAACCTTGTAGATCTCCAATAGACTGATATTCTTGCCAATGCATGTTCGGCTACCCATGCCAAACTGGAACATCATACCCGTCATCTTCTTGATACGCTTATCTTCCTCTTCCGCGTCAAGCTTAGGATCAGGCAACCAGCGCTCAGGCCGGTACACATCAGTGTCGTTTCCAAAGATCTCTGGACGGTTGTGGATGATCCAGGCTGAGACACCGACGATTGTGCCGCCCTTGATAAACTCGCCTCCGATTTCTGCTCCCTGGGGAGGAACGATTCTCTCAAGGGGAAGACCTGGTGCGGGGTGCATGCGGAAAGCTTCCTGGACACAAGCATGGAGGTAAGGGAACTTCTGAGCCTCGGAGAAAGTGACCAGACCAGTTTCGTAGTCAGAAAAGACACCGGCCTTGGCAGCCTCATCAAGCTCGTTCTTGAGCTTCTGGTAGCAATCGGGGTTTCGGAGGAGGTAGTAGAAGACGGCGGAGAGAGTAATAGCGGTAGTTTCCGAACCAGCAAAGGCCATGGAAACAGCCATGGTCTGGACCAAAGTGTCTGTCATGAACTCGGGGCGGGCTTCGCGAGCAGCAATGAACTTGGAGAGCAGGTCTTGACCCAGAGGCTGCTTCTTGAGGTTGCTGGTGGGAAGGCTATCGACAGACTTGAGTTCTGGGATGAGACGTTCAGCCATGCGGGCGCGGGCGAAGCGCGCAACGGCGATAGTTGAGTCAAAGAGGCCCCACTGGGAGAGCTTGAGGTAGATAGGGTTCTTCTGGAAGATGAGGTCGAGGAAGGGGATTTGTCCGATCTGAGACTGGTTAGTCAAGAACAAAACCAGGTAAAAGGATGACTTACAGGTGCAACATAGAGGAACAGCTTGCCCAAGTACGCGACAATACCCTCAACGTCTTCATTCTTCTCAATGAAGCCATGTCTCTTGCTATAAGTGATCTCGCCAATGACATCAAAGGCGTAGAACTGAAGCCACTGTGTAAAGTCACAGACATCAGAACGCTTAGCGAAGAGGTTCTCGGTCTGTTCCAAGAATAATTTGGTCGTGTTATCGACAAAGGGTTCGTATTGAACGAGTGCGCTCATGGAAAAGGCAGAGTTGACACATCTGCGGAATTGGGAGTGGAAGTCATTGTCTGTAGTGCTGAAGAGAGATGCAAGACGATGGCCCTTAACCACGGATTGCTGAACAATGTAAAAGTCGGACTGAGATAGTCAATATCAAGGTCGCAAGCTTGGACGGAAGAACATACCTTGACATAACCCTTGCTGAGACCATAGATGGACTTGAGAACAGCAGGGTCCGCAAATGATAGAACGTTTGGTCCCAATCTGACAATATCACCATGCTTAGCATGGAGTTTCTGCAGTGTCACCTCAGGTCTCTGCCCATAAACATCCCAGAAGCGCCACCAATCCGTCAAAGACGCCAAAAAGGGACCGGGGTATTTGTTTAGGCCATGGTGATATCTGTTCTTGACCAGCCACGCGACAGTCAGTGATGTAAGTACCAACACCCAATGCTGGGCGAGGGCACTGAGAAGAGTTTCAATCAAGCCACTGTGCATGTTGAAGGCACAAAAAAGGGCAAACGAATTAAAGAATTGTTGAAGAAAGCACAGAAGTGGTTCATTTTCTATAATTTTCTATCTAGCATACTCTCTTCTTATATCACTTTCCAACTTAGACCAGATCTTGATGACAGTCTCGGTCTTCGGGTACTCCAGGTTTGCCCCCACAGGTCATTCTGGGGTATTTGGGGACAAAATGATCCACCAGCTCGGCAAGTAAACACGGCAAATACAGCTGATGCAGATATCCGAGCACACTTTTACGGTTTCATAAATAAATGTCATCATAATTATTTACCTACAGCATATTACTCGGAAAGCGAGGCGAGGAGAGTTTTTCCCTGCGACATGCCTGCGTTGGAGCTAATAAATGTCGTCGGCAGATGTGAACGGGAGAGCAATGATAACGCAGATAAAGTAAGCAGACGGCGACGATAACGAGTCTTCATTCGCACAGAGGAAGTGCGGCATTCGGAGTTCGCGGATGAGAGATAGATTGCTGAGTGTGCACGTCGTCATCACAGCAGTCATATCGCGTATATCACAACTGCCGTGTCACAGAACTTGCCGATGCTGGGATTGCACAAGGTTTTGTTGTGTTGCGTTGCATTGAGGCTCCTTTTCATGCGCTGTGTCTCGAGTCTGGTTGGACGCATTGCGTATCTATCAGCTGCGGTTCATTATCTGTGACCAGAACTGAGTTTATTCTTCTTATCATCTCTTTTCTCGTGAGATCATGTCATTGAACCCCAGCCGTTATACCATAAGTCCTTAATTGGTGCCGGAAAATTTCGCAAGTCTCAACCTTCTCCCGCGCTCGATGCAACCGCTATCTGTCTGGACCTTTTGGAAGACAGACTTTCCGGAAGTACGGATGAAGACGCGATGTATCCGACTCAGAAATACCTCTCATATCGAGTGTACTATTGGACCTGACAGTTGGTCAGTGTACACTCGCAACAAAGGTTCCGTTTCTTCCATGCTCCTGTTGAATTGCGTTCGGATATACGGCAAGAATGTAAAGTTTACGGCTCAGACCATGGTTAATAGCTTCCAATGCCATCATCGGCCCGTTCCGAAGTTAATGTGGCTCATGAAGCAATTTTGTGCAAAGGTAATAATGAGAGCGCACAGGCAGATGGTATGAAGGCTTCTAAGGCATACATGTGATATCAACCTCTTCAACTGAATGATCTAACATACATATCCAAAGCTCTCAATACTTCAAGTCTATTTATCAGTTATGATATATCGTTCTAGCAAAGCCTTAACAACAGAAGCCGACGTGGCCGCAGCAAAGTCTTGCCATTTCTTGTTCTTATGAGAGTCTGCATAGTCGCAGACACCTTTCACCACTATACATGGCAAGTCTTCCCACAACCCAGCGCTCTCCATCTCAAATGCCTCAATGCCAAGTCGTTGAGCAAGTCCATCTCGATCATGACTCGACTTGAGCACCGTATCTCCAGAACCAAATCGCCCCAGAAAGATCAAAGGCCTTTGTGCCTTGCAAATATCAGCTTGATCTTCCAAGACCACTTTCTCTTCTAGTCGAGACCTCGGTACGAGAAATTCCTTGTCGCATCCCGCCTCGTCACAGGATACGCCACGACAGCGAACGCATATCAGGCTAGGGCTGCTGAAGCATGTACATAGTACCAGAGTGTCGACCTGATGCTGGTAGGATGGTTCGTATAGCCGATCATTGGCTGAGCCAGGGTACAGGTATTTCGGGTTGCTCTGCTGCATTTGTTCCAAAACCTTTACTGATCTTTCCGTAACATCGTCAAGAAAGACATCAGTTTTCAAGTGAATAAGGAAATTGCTTATCAGCTTTCTCGCAGTATGTATGGGCTGTTTGGTTACGAAGTTGTCTTCGTACCTTCTTCCAAAGTCGTACTGCACCATATTTGAACTGACTACAACATCGCCAAGAAGGACTTCCTTCTTTCCACCGTTGGGTGATCGAACTTCTGGGATGCCGCCGCATATACCAGCTAGGAAGACCACTTCTAACTCTGGGTAGGAACATTGTAAGCGAGCAGCTGCAGTTCCCGCGCTTGCTTTGCCCATGCTAGACAAGAGCAGAACAACAATGTCAAGGTCGCCTATTCGCCCATTGACGTAGTGGTTTGTATCGCCTTTGAGCTTGCCGTAGTGGTGATGGTGTTCTTTCCAGGTAAAGTCGAAGAGTGACCGGATAGCGTCAAATTCCAGTGGCAGAGCGCAAATAATAGCAGCCTTGAAGCCGCAGCGATCCTTTGGTGGATGGGCATCTCCCATAGAAGATCCGGCTGTTGTATCAAGGAACTTCTGTGGCTTGACAGGGAAGTCTTTGTCTGAGTCGGCTTTCCATGGTAGCAACTGACGATATGCGTCTGACAGCTCTCCAGGCATATCAAAAACATGCACCAAGTCAGCATCTTTTCCCATTGTTGTGCGGGTCCGTTTGCTCGTCGGGTCCATCATTGACTCGATTTCTAGGCTCATAGAGTGCTGTCGCTTCAAGCCGAGATTTGGCGAGCAGTTTTCTAAAGCAGTCTCGAGGTGCTGAACAATGTGTTGATAGAGCTTTTCTCGAATAATTATATCTGCCTGAGTGCCTTCGAATTTGACGTTTTGAAGTTGGCTATGAACGTTTAGACACCCTCTGATAGCTTCTGTATAGGAGTCTTCCAGCCTTGCACCCCGTTCTTTCAGGGTATCCAAGCCTGATAAGAGTTGGAGCCATGCCTGCTTATTTTCTTCACCATAGTGAGGACGTATATCTAGCGGAATGGCCTCGCCGTCATCCAGCTCTAGCAAGATCTTTGCAAAGGAAAGTAGCACCGGATGCCCGATCTGGAAGAGTCGGAGTTCCGGGGAGCTGGGGATTTGAGACGAGAATGAACGGTAGAGCCTATCTCTTTCGACGTGGTTCTGCAACGATGTGAGAAAGCATATATCTTCAGAATCCAAGCTAGCGTCAAAGAAATCCAATAGGCAGTATCCTAGTTCGGCAGCAAGCGCTCTCTTGGCCTTGAGTGTATAGTGAACTTTAGCGTCTTGGCTGCCATGTTTCTGTGCAATAAGATCTCGAACTGTTTGACGCTTGAACATGCCACTGGCAATCCTTTCAGCAAGGGATTGGCCTGACGGGTTATTGAGAGCCGGATGGTTGTCTGAGTCATGAGGCAGTATTGGTCTCCAAGCACTGAGAAGCTGTCCCTCTTGCGGCAATAGTTGTAGCTGACAACCCTGCCAATTGGTACTAGATATTTCATAACATAGGTCGAAAACCTCTTTCTGGCCATCCTTTCGTCTGGAAATGAACGTCAGTATTGGATAAAGTGTATTGCAAGATATAAGCATACCCGCCAGATATACAATGGACGCCCCTCCAAGGCTCCAATGCCGCGTTGTCTGAGCAAGCCGAAAAGAATAACTGCAATTCAGGAGAGGCGATTCGCCTAGATACCAGTGTCTCAAGCTTCAGGAGAAGCCTGTGACTTGCTTTGCAACTGAAACGCTCATACACCAACTGAAGCGTTTTAGAAGCCAACTGCCTTAGCTTTAAATCTTTCCAGATATCGCTTTTCACCCTCCGGGGAACCTCTGGTACTTGTTTTTGGGCCTTTGAAAACGCCCTCATGACAAAATTATTGCATTCTCTTGTGGCAGCAAGGCATTCTGTTTTGGTGTCATCCGTAAACAGGAATAGATTCTGATTGGGACCGCTCACTAAGTTGAAGAGACCTAGATCGATCTCGTTGAACTGCTCCAAGTAGTTCAAAAGTCCAGACAAGCAATGATAGGTTCTGTTTGGCCGTGCTGCGTTTGTGACGACAGGATTTACCGCATCATTTAGCAGGCAACATAACTTATCGAGAATATTTCTGAAGACCGTGAAGCTTTCCCTTTCGAAGAAAATCTTCTCGTTTCTTACAAGGAAAAACTCTCGTAGATTCCTTTCGAGAGCCTCGCTCTGCTTGTTCGCCGTGAAATCCTGCCAATTGCGCTCTGAGGGTTGATAACGTGCCAGATGAGATGCTAACAACTTGGACAACTTTTGCAGCAAGCGCCATTCGGGGCTTTCACTGGAATATGGCATTCTTTAACTTTAATTTAGAGGAGTATGGGCTCGTAACACAAGCTCAAGGGCACACCACTGATGGCTTGGCCATTTGAAAGGTTGAAAATCAGCAAATGCTGAGCTATCAAAATCAGGCTGTCAACCAACTCAGCGAAGCAGTTCGAGCTGATGCATAAACTTCCCCGCTCGCGGACTTAAGTACTTCCGCGCATTTTAAATGACCAAACAAACACCAGCTGAGGCCATTTGGAGAATCGCAAGGTCCTAAGTTTTTAACTCTCATGATTCCATGATGTCAGGGAATCACGACCAAGAAGGTCATTATACTATTCGTATCCTGGCTATGGAATGTGAAACTCTACTTCAGAATCTAATTGATAGCGGATCTCAAACGGCAGAAAAAGGTCTCTTTGAAGATTATCTGCAACGACTTTCAACTTGGGCTGCTTATCTCGGGGTATTCGCCCGGCCGAGCCAGTGCCTCGACCATCGCTTGAGCAATGCGATCGATATACAGGACCTCGTTCTGCGTGGTCTGGACTCCCTGGGGAGATCTTTAACATCAGGTCTATCTATCGATTTCAGAGCAGGGTGGCCAGGAGCTGACTGCCTTTCAATAGTATCTCAGAATAAATACCAATCTGCATCAACAGATGCTGACGAGGGTCAGGTCTCTCTATCTGGTATCGAGGAGGAATTGCTGGAGATTGAAGATACCCTTGAGCAACTGTATCGACTTGCAACTGCCATTAAAAGCTCCTCGCGAAAGACTATTGAGCAAAGAGCAAGCGAATTTGCCCAGAAAGTCGAATTGAAGCCTATCAACAAGTTGTTCATCAGAACCATCGAATGTTTATATCCACAAATCGATCAGTCCCTGCAAGACCGCCTCTCCACGTCTATGTCTGATCGATTCGCGAAAATCATGTTCCTGGGCACACGACAAGCTACCCTGGCAGCAAGGCACAATGAACAGCATTATAGTCCAGCAATCTCAGAGGATCGCCAAAACTCAGTCTTACCGAAGCCCAACCTGGGAGCATTGCAAGAGCCCAGATTGAGTTATAGCCCTTCAGTTCAGACACGCGATCAATCACTGGCACCTCTGACATCCTTATCCCCTAGCAAATTTTGGCCGCATCTAAACAACCTTGGGCCTTCGATTTTGAATAGAAACAAAACAACATCTGTCTCAATACACCGAAGTAGCTATCCTCTGCCGCCCAAACCGCAAAGACAAGAACTGAGACTTTGCGAATGGTGCGGCGAGCCACTCAAAAGCCTAGATATGGATCCTGCTCACTGGAGGTATTTATCATCCTAAATCTCCAAGTTCTCTGCTTAATACATGACTTAGGAAGCATGTTGACAATGACCTGAGGCCTTACATATGTTTGGCCGAAGATTGTACCAATGCAGTAGGATACCCGAGTTTTCGACAGTGGTCGAGCCATATGCAGCAGCACGATGAGTTTTGGTATCGGACAGTGTACTCACCAGTCAAATATGTTTGCCCTCTGTGTGTAAACACGATGTCTTCTTTTGAACATCGCGTCGAATTATTCCAGCACGTCACAAGCATGCATGAATCAGATGCATTTGATTCTCGCCAGCTGTCGCTAATTGCTAACCAAAGCCAAGGTATCAGAGAACGACCTGTTGACGAATGTCCTTTATGCGGGCTTGCGGTTGAGAGGGAAAGCCAAAAAGAGGATGTTCCTTCTAAACGCGAAAGCGATTCGTGGAGTGAAGGAAGCAGAAAGAAGCTCAAGGCCGGGCAACAACAGCCAATCCCTGCAGCTACTAGCTCTAATGACCAGGAGAACCAAAGTCACGAGACGAATAATCATGAATCTATGGCTCTTCATATCGCTTCTCATCTGCAGACCCTAATGTTCCTGACTTTGCGTGTCATTTCCATGCAAAGGGACATGGGCTCAGAAGACGAAGATGTGGTTGGGAGCAACATTGGCACAGATGACTTTCACGATCATCAAGACGAACAGCACGTAAACGATCCACTATCTTTTGAAGACGACAGCCCTCAATTAGAAAATTCCTGGCTTCCGGCTGCAGAGGTTCATTCCTTTGAATTTGGTCCACTGCAACGTACAGTTTTTAAATATCCAATGCTTAGGTGTGAGGATATACTCGACACATCTATAGAGTTCCCAGATTCTTCAACTATTCAGGAAATTATTATCCGTCTCGAAGCCCTTTTATCGACGACTAAGCAAAATCTAGACTTTTATGCTTGGTCAGAAGTGGCTTTGGAATCAGTCCGCAATCAAAATCTGTCTTGGCCTTCTGATTACCGCCGTAGCGGCACCAGCGGAGGCAGTGGCTCAACTTTCGGATGGCAATGTGTGAGTACTAATAAAACCACATTTATATCAAGCACTAACAGTGATAAGTGTAATTGCAAGAATCCCGGCCAAAGCTTTTCTATAGATATGCATTGTGTTATTTGCTCAATGCCTCTTTGTGATAATTGCACTTTTTACACCAACAGTTAATAAAGCTTACCATAAATCCTGATACTTACTAGCTGTACTTATCTCAATTGCTACTTTACTAGTAATAATCATCTGCTTATGATGTCGTTGTTGGGTTTGTGTGTGCATGCATTAGGATGAACCAGAGGGGTGACGTGGCATTCAATCAGAAAGATACATGGCAGCGGTTTAACAAGTGCTTCAACAAATCTGTCTCATTTTATCTAGTATCAATTTGGAATCGACTCTCTATCAGATTCCGCCTAGACCTTGCGGCTCAGTCTACCCATAACAAACCCGCGCTTGTGCCGAGACTATTGGCCCTGCTAGCCTTCGACGTAACTCGTCTAGTTCGTGAGGCTTGGGATACATTAAGTCGATTCAGTTATCCATAGTCTCAAGAAGCGCCTTGCTCTTGACCCAACGAGTGACACCTAATTCGGATTTCTTTGGCTCTTGGAAGTGCCTTTGCGACCAGACTATTGTATTCTCTTGTGACAGCAAGATATTTAAGCCTGTCGGGATTTCGTTAGCCCTGATAGAAATACTAGATATGCTATGCCAAGTGTATGGAGGTTGCCATGAAGGTCTGGATTGTAAATATGTCGCGCGCTATTGGGGTCGCTTAGCATGGGTCGGGCCTCACCCTCTATAGGCATGGAATTTGATGCACCTATCACGAGATCAGTATTAGCTTGCAACAGCCATTTAGAGCTTAGTAGAGATAGATAATGCATATACGTTTCTAAGCCACTTTTTAGCTTCAAATCACAAACCTTAACTGCTAAGGATCTTTAGAGTTGGAAACACTGCCTTAGGACAAGCGGTGAAGGGTGTCTTAGACCGACGGCGGTGACTGGACAGGTTTTGGGCTGATTATATCTGGGGTCCCGCTGAGCTGCAGTTCAGCACGCCTCGTAATTATGGAGCGCGTCACGCTATTGAATGTTGTGCACTGCAAGTAAACAAGCTATTCTTTAATAGTTTCATGTACGCGTTGATGATTCCGTATTTGAAATATGGTTGGACTTGAATGGATCATGGGACATGCGCTTCTTTGTGAAGATTTGGATGTGAGACATGGAAAAAGGAGCTAATTTTTTCTATGGCGTTTTCTGAACTTGCTAGTTGGCCGTAGCAGCATTATTGCCACGAACATACTGTCACATTTCCTGCAACCAGTCAGATGCAGCGTATTAAGTCAGGCAAGGGTCTTCCTGACACCCTGTTGATTACGCACGCAGCGATTAGTTAATCGCTTTTTGGTCCCTTTGAGAGGGATTTGTGTGCATTGACTGCAAGTAAGGTCTCGGGCCGGGTGGTCCGGCTGATATACGAGGTACGAGCCTCAGGCACCTTCAACACCTTTTTAAACCAATCGGAATCCCGATTACCCTCAGGGTATAAGAAAGCAGGGACTGTCGGGAAGACCCTTATCTGACTTATTCGATGCAACGACTGTGGGTCTACGAGAGTCCGAGACACTTTTCAGCTCACATTTTTACTCAGAGGCTGAGATATCGGAAGCTTCTAGTCAACATCCGGACGTATTTGTGCCCAAACGGTCAGCCCCAGCGTTTATCCACGTATCGCTCGGATTCTAGAACCGCGCAGCTCGTTAACATGGCGCGATGGCTGCTTCCGTGTACATTTACGTGGGTCTCGATTCGTAAGGGGAAGCTAATCCGGCTCTTCAGCTTTCAGCTTCAAGCCAAGGTCTTTCCTAAAAGCGCTTCTGTCCATCTTGGCATGAGATCAAACGAGTCTCAGTATACAGAAATGACAGGTAACTTGACGAACCCTGCGTATATTGCCCTCAACAGAAGTGGTATGCTGGAGCTGTAGTTGGTAGTTATCTATGTTCCCTGATATTCATCTACGAAATTCAGTTATAAATACCAGCAGAAGTCCGGTCATTTGGCATTCAATCCCTTCTATCTTCAGACTCTCACAGCCCACTTTACTCAATTCGTATTCTTTTTCGTCTTCACTGTTTTCACAATGGCAACCACAGTCGTTCTGCCTAGTCTTCCGCCAACTCTACCCGCTGCGCCTAAGCCGGGTGACATTCTCAAGCACCCCTCACTCGATGAGAAGAAGAAGGAGGCTAGCGTTAGTATCAGAGATGCGCCATTCTCCGATATCGACCCTGGTGTTTTCAACAGCGAGCTCGTGAAGCTCAAGATCTATGCCAAGCCCCAGAAAGATCTCTTGGCGAAGCCAGAAATTGGCAAAGGCAACATCGTGAAGGGGACCTATATTGGCACTCAAGCTGCACTAACTCACGCATATGGCCGAATTGAGCGAAGGTAAGACCCGCTGATTTATAGTGATGACTGGATATATACTCACGTCCTCAGCTACGAGTCGTATTTTGATGTTCTACAAGTTGAGCCTACTCTACCTCGCTATGTAGACCTCAGCCAAAAGAAACAGTTGTTTCAATGGTCGGCCTACCCGACAGAAAATGGCAAGCCTGCTCAATATCCTCCCCATCTGCAAACAATTCCCAAAAATGAACGAGAGACGGAAATCTTTAACGCCCTCGGCCTCGTTGAGACTGGTTTGATAATCAAACAGATCATCCCAGATACCTTTTTGGGCAAGACAGCCCTTTGGTTTACTGGCCTTAAAACCGGAAATATCTCAGGCGCTCCGACTGCAGGAAACACGATTGACGCCTTTGTCAAGTACAACGCAGAACATCGAAAATCAGGAACCGATATTGAACAAGGACGCAATATCGGCCTTTTGCCTGATTGGTTCAGCGATCGCCGTTTCGCCGAGCAGTCTTTCACTGGCACCAACCCCACTACCATCGAAAAGGTCCCCAAGGACCTCCTTGCCGAGTTCATCGAGACCGCAAAGCGTGATGGCTGGGATTACTGGGCCAAGACTCTTCCTACCATTGATTCTGCTTCACTTTTCGTGCAAGACACCCGCTACTTCCGAAAGGCTTTTGGCGCGAAGCCAGATGCTGAGTTGAAGCACAAGGAGCCTTCGTCGGACGAAAACTGGGCTTGTTCAGCAGTGACTCTCTATCAACTCCGTGACGACGGCAAGTTGCACCCAATTGCCATTGTTTGTGACTACAAGGCTAGCATGAAAGACTCGGTCACCATTTTCAACCAGCGCAAGGACCCTTCTGACTCGTCTGTGAAGGAGAAGGACGACTACCCGTGGCGATATGCAAAGACCTGTGCCCAGGTTTCGGACTGGATTCGTCACGAGGTTGGTGTGCACCTAACTCGAGCTCACTTGATCGAAGAGGCCTTGATCGTTGCAACCCATCGTACTATCCCTATGGAGCACACGATCTTCAAGATTCTTCAGCCTCACTGGTACAAGACTCTATCTCTCAACGCTGCTGCAAGAGAGACACTTGTTCCACAAGTCATCAAGGATCTTGTTGGCGTCAGCCCAGATGCCCTGTACTCATACGTCAAATACGAGTTTGAGAACTTTGACTTTGTCAACAATTACGTCCCCAATGATTTGTCCAAGCGTGGCTTCCCTAGTACTACTGAGGGCCTTGCCGACAAGAAGTACAAGAACTACGCATACGCCAAGAACATGGTTTCTATGTGGAATGCCATTCGCTCGTATGTCATGAAGATGCTCTTGATGTACTATGACCAGAAAACTGCCGACAAAATGGTTCAAGAAGACCCATACGTCAAAGAGTGGTGCAAGGAAATCCAGACAAGTGGTTGGATCAAGACCTTCCCAACTATCACGACTCTTGATCAGCTCTGTGATGCTTTGACTATGTCGATCCACATCGCCGCTCCATTCCACAGCGCCGTCAACTACCTACAGAGCTTCTATCAGTCATTCGTCCTCGCCAAACCTTCCACTCTCTGCAACCCACTGCCCACGTCCCTCGCCGATCTCAAGAACTACACCGAGAAGAACCTTCTAGACGCCCTGCCAGCTGATCGTCAAAGGGAATGGCTGCTTTCTGTTCAAATCCCCTGGCTGTTGAGCTTCAAGGTACCCAGCGAGCGCAGTCTGATCAATTTTGCGCAGTCTCAGTGGCGGGCACACAAGTCTGGAGAGAGTGATGTGGACAAGAGTATTAGCAAGTACAGTGAGGCGTTCTATCTCGACTTGAAGAAACTTGAGGTTGAGTTTCTTATCACTAGTAAGGGGATGGACGAGGGCGCTATTCCCTACATGGTCTTGGATCCTGGCAACACTGCCGTATCTATCTTGATTTAATTAGCGAGTTGCGTATTGTATGTAGCTTGTTTCTGTTGTTGAAGCCAACCTTCTTTACCTTAGAGGTTGTAGAGTAAGCTTTAGCTAGAAACTGATTGAGTAGGTAGATATTGACGTTTAATGCCTTACCTGACGCAAGCACGTGTATCAAGGTGTTAATAATGCCCTGATTATATAAATGCAACTGTAGGTTTCTGAGCGTATGCTTTGGCATGAAGCAGTGGAACGATGTAGCATCTAGTTAATACAGAGGTCATGATCTCAGTTTATATCGTGTAATAGAACGACGATCCTTTATAAAGGCATGTCATAATGCAAATCTGCGATATTTGACCCATGGCGGGGTGGGGAAGACAGGGTTCTTATCGTCAGATCAGCACGTTGTAACGTTGCTGAGTTGTCAGTTCCGCCGCCTTGGTCGTCTCTTCATCTGCATCAAACCTTGCGAATTGCCTCAGAATCATCAAGTTATACGCAAAAGATGGCGGAGACTTCAAAGGATTCGTCCTCGCCGAAGGCGACCGCTGCTTCATCGCCTCCGACTGAGGCAACTCCTGCACCTGCGGAGGAGACTTCTACTGAGCCACCCACTGAAGAGAACCCCGCCCAGCCAGCTGAAGATTTCCATAATCCTGGTCATTGGGCCACCTTGAATGAGGGAGTATGTGGAATCGCATTTCTTTGGACACGGCTATTGACATTTTGTAGAATGCGCCAGGAGATGACGATGCTGATTCAGCGGTCGGGGATGATGTTGCCAGCTCAACTGAGTCAATTTCTTCCAGCATTCTTCACTATCGCACTATCCATGGGAGAACGTATCACTCCGAGCGGGGAAATGCAGAGTACTGGTATGGAGGCCCTGTCAAGGAAGAGATTCACAGCTGACATAGACCAGGACACCGAACGATGAGCACCATAACGAATCTATGGATATAAAGTGAGCGAAATGTTGCCAGAGATAGTGTATACGACTTCAAGCTAACTGGTAACAGTCACCACCTCCTGTCTCTGTCGCTGGAGGGGAAACTCCATCTAGCTCCTCTCAAGGACGACATTCAGGTTCGGGCGCTATCCTTGAATATCTACAACAAATTACTCACTGGGGTTCTAGAAAGTGCTCGATATCGGAACAGGAACTGGTACGTTATTGAGACGCTTCCAGACTGCATAAGGCTAACTGGGGCAACAGGTATTTGGGCCATGTGAGATGTTTTGTCATATTTCAGCCTTTGTTCTTTACTCACTTTGAAATAGCGATTTCGCCGACGAGTATCCCAACGCCGAAGTGGTCGGGACAGATATCTCTCCCATCCAACCTGACTGGGTTCCACCTAATCTGAAGTTGTACGAACCCTGCAAGACCTGACTCTATAAATATGACCTGACGAGACCAGTGAGATCGAAGATTGTACCCAAGAGTGGACTTACGACCCCAATTCATTCGATTACGTGCACATGCGCTATATGTATGGAAGTATAAGCGACTGGTCTGCCCTGTTCAAAGAGGCTTTCCGCGTTTGCAAGCCCGGAGGTTGGGTTGAGAGCTATGAGGCCTCCCCTCGAATGGAAAGTGACGATGGCACTGTAACTGAGACCTGTGCTATCAACGAATGGGGCAAGTTCTTTATCGAAGGCGGGAAAAAGCTAAACCGCACTTTTGAGATCATCGATAAGGATCTGCAGCAGAAGGGAATGGAAGAGGCAGGCTTTGTCGACGTGAAGGTTTGGGACTTCAAGGTACGATCAATCAATTTTATCTTATGAGTGACTGACTTGGATCAATTCAGGCACCTATCGGAGGCTGGCCCCAGGACCCTCGACTCAAGCAGATTGGACAGTTTGCTCAGGCTGCGCTTGAACAGGACTACGAGGGCTATGTTCTCTATATGGCTAATATGGTTCTTGGCTGGACTAAGGAAGAGGTTTCTGTGTACTGCGCTCAATTGCGACGCGAGATTCGATCGGGGAAGTTTCATCCTTTCTACCGCCAGCGCGTTGTGTATGCAAGGAAGCCTGAATAGGTATCATGTCGCATGTCAAGAGCTCCTAACATAGCCTCTCATCGCAGAAGGGCGCATGCAACTAGTTGAGAACTTGACAGTTGCAGTTTCACATTCGCTCTGATGGATATTCAAGCTTATCCTGAGAATTCAATTGGTGCTGCCACAAACCGCATGTTCTTCCTCCATGCGATTGAACCGTGGCGGAATTGAATCACATCATGATGCGACGGGTTTGACATGTGCAAGCTTAAGTGCAATTCACAAGCTTAACCTCGGGATCTGTGACAGTCTTGGCATGCGTGTTCTTATCATCAAAGTTGCCGATGGTCGTGGCCAGATCAAGCCGTGAGGTTGATCATATGACCTGGCGTTATCAACTGCTTCGGCCAACCCTATAGCGCTTTACTTTTTATTACAGTGGATCTGACAATTTTGTCGTGTTGGGGAACCTCAACAAAACTGAAAAAGCACGAGCCTCTGAATCAGGAGAGAAATGAGTTACCCCAGACTCGGCTGTCACATGAGTGATTCAGGCTCAATACGATACACAGCCATCACAAGCTTTGCATCGTCTTGGCAGGGTCCAAATACGTGTCCCTCACTGACTCCACGTGGTGATGTTGCCTCGTAAGGTAGTAAAGGCGAAGAACTGCCAGACCAGACCAGACTGGCGGTGCATGAACATGACAGGGAATCACTCGTCTTGGGGATTACGACGGCAAAAAAAGACCACTATTTCCACTTGCGGTAATAAGTGGAATGATCGCCAAGATTACGCCGCAGGCACAGGCCCGATACCGCGGTCTCCCTTGTAGTGCTGACACTGGTTATAGAAGGCGGTGGCAGAATCTTACGGCAGAATTGGTCTAATTTTATTCCCTTATTCAGTGTTGAGTGCCGAAAAACGGTGGTCAAGTGATTGAAAGCAGGTGACAGAGGGGAACTTAAGCTTAAGTTTTATCATCAGATACAGTAATCGGGAGACTCCATACTTGGCCGAGTCCTTTGAACTAGGCTGAGTCACTGAGTCGTGATATGAACCGCGGCTTGGATCGGTGAAATTGTGCTCTGACTGGAAGTGATTCAATCACAAGGCAAGGATTTCCACTGCCGCCCACTGCGTCATATCACCATAATCAACACTGACAAGGGTGCGTGGATCCTGCTGACCTAATACCCTCCGCTCACCCCTTTTCCCCTTTCAGTCACCTCGACTTTTTCACGATATCGATAAAATTCCAAGCTTCGCACTACGTTCCCAGCAACCCCCCAACTCATTGCATAAGAGAAAAAAAAAGTGTATCATACGATTACATCATGCGTCAACCCATATCGACACAACCAGTCACCAATGGTGACGGCGAAGAATGGTGTACGTATTCGCACAGTTTTGCTGACGTTTGAGATTGTACGGAGTACTAAGATTGAGTTAGATCTTCCCGACAAGATGCTCACACGTGCGTGAACCCATGCTGTAAAATAGCTGCGTACTAACAACTCGTCTTCAGGACACCCCAGCAAGCCTCACATTGGCAGTGAGTTATATCCCAATCTGGAAATATTTGCCGTGCTTACAGTACCTAGGCTTGGAGGAGTACCAGCAGATGCATCAGCTCTCCGTCAGGGAGCCTGAGGCTTTCTGGGGAAACCTGGCTCGTGAGCTCCTTACATGGGATCACGACTTTCACACCGTCAAGAGCGGCTCGCTAGTCGAGGGCAATCCAGCTTGGTTCCTCGGCGGAAAGCTGAATGCCTCGTTCAACTGCGTTGACCGCCATGCGCTCAAGGATCCTAACAGGGTTGCTATCATCCACGAGACTGATGATGGAAATGGCGGTCGCTCTATCACATATGGCGAGCTGCTCAAGCAAGTCAGCAAGGTCTCCTGGGCTCTCAAGGATCTTGGCGTTCGAAAAGGTGATACAGTCGCTATCTACATGCCTATGATCCCCGAAGCTCTCGTCGCCATCCTTGCTTGCACCCGTATCGGTGCTGTCCACTCTGTTGTCTTCGCTGGCTTCTCAGCTGGTTCGTTGCGAGATCGCGTCGTCAATGCCAAGAGCAAGGTCGTCATCACTGCTGATGAGAGCCAGCGAGGCGGTCGAACAATCGGCATCAAGAAGATTGTTGATGAAGCGCTGAGCCCGCTTGAGGGTGTTCAGACTCTTGTTTTTAAGAGAACTGGTGCTAAGGTTTCGTGGACTGAGGGACGGGATCATTGGTGGCATGAACAGACTGCCAAGTGGCCTAGCTACATCCCCCCGGAGGCCATGGACGCTGAGGATCCTCTGTTCTTACTTTATACCTCTGGTTCAACTGGTAAGCCGAAGGGCATTTTGCATACCACTGGTGGCTTCCTGGTTGGAGCTGCTGCAACGGGAAAGTATGTGTTTGACATCCACGAGAACGATCGATACTTCTGCGCCGGCGACGTTGGTTGGATCACCGGTCACACCTACGTTGTCTACGCGCCGCTCCTTTTGGGTGTCTCTACAGTTGTCTTTGAGGGAACACCGACGTTCCCTGATGCCTCTCGTTTCTGGGATATCATCGCGAACCATCAGATCACGCACTTTTATGTTGCTCCTACGGCTCTTCGCTTGTTGAAGAGAGCTGGATCTGACCCCGTCAATCATGACACTAGCAGTCTTCGTGTTCTCGGTTCAGTTGGTGAGCCTATCGCTCCTGAAATTTGGAAATGGTACTACGATGTTATTGGAAAGGGAGAATGTCATATCGTCGATGTAAGTTGACCTTAGACTGTTTATGGAGGTGACTAACTGGAGTAGACCTACTGGCAAACTGAGACTGGCTCTCACGCCGTCACCCCTCTCGCTGGTGTCACACCCACCAAGCCTGGATCCGCTTGCCTGCCATTCTTTGGTATCGACACAGTCTTGATCGACCCTGTTTCTGGCGCTGAGATCCACGGCAACGGAGTCGAGGGCGTTCTTGCTTTCAAGACCTCATGGCCTAGCATGGCCCGAACTGTCTACGGTGATCACCAGCGGTTTGAGGAGACATATCTCAAGGTGTATCCCGGATACTACGTGAGTACTTTACCGATCTGATTTAGCTGAGTAAATACTGATCATTCTGTAGTTCACTGGCGATGGAGCTGCCCGCGACCAAGATGGCTTCTACTGGATCCGCGGACGTGTCGACGACGTAATCAACGTCAGCGGCCACCGTCTCTCAACCGCTGAAATCGAAGCTGCCATGGTCGAGCACGCCGCTGTCGCTGAATCCGCCGTCGTAGGCGTCTCCGACGAGGTAACAGGCCAATCCGTCATCGCCTTCGTCTGCCTGAAAGAAGCATTCCGAACCTCAGAGGAAGAAGTCCACGCCGAGCTCAGACTGCAGGTCCGCAACAACATCGGTCCCTTTGCTGCGCCTAAGAAGATCTTCATGGTGGTTGATCTGCCCAAGACTCGGTCTGGAAAGATCATGCGTCGTGTTTTGAGAAAGGTGGTCATGGGGGAGCAGGATCAGTTGGGGGATATCACAACGCTTTCGGATCCTTCTGTTGTTGAGAAGATTATTGGTGTTGTGCACAAGAGCGGTTAATGGGTAGAGATAAAATTAAGGGAGGGATTGTGGTTAAAATGTTTTTTGGACGGGTCATGATTAGAGTATTGCTCTCAACCCACTGTCTTTATAACTTGTAATAATCCAATAGAGGATGATGCCATACATTCTGGGCTACGTTTATTAACATTTGCACTTTAAATCTCGAGGATGAATCTACAGTTTGCTTGCGTCAGGTCTCGGACAAAGATGGAGAAGAACTATTTGGATCATTGTCGTCTATATAAGACTCTTGCTATCTAGCCATGGATTAATGACAAAATCTAACCCTTCCCTCAACCAAGGCTCATCAATGGTAGCCTTAAAGTCAAACCCATGGTCTCCAGGTCTGATAGCCAAGTGAACCTGCGTATTTGGGTCAAACCCTTGGAGGTAATCTACCAGCTTCCGGGTACCACCAACAGGTACTGCCGTATCCCCCTCGCCGTGAAGCAGAAATAGTGGCGGGAACAAGGATCTCTCATTATTTGATGACGTCAAGGCCACCCTCTTGATTCGCTCAAGGACGAATAAGTCAGTGTCCTCGCCGAGAAGTTCCAGATAGCGTCCATTGTGAACAACCGCCATGGCCGAGTCAAGTCTTACAGGTGGATCTGCTTCCGTGATTGCGGGCTTCACAACAGTGGTGGAAAGGAACTTGTCAACATCTTCGTTGGGGTAGTTCGGCACACCAACGATTGGCTTATCGTAATACTCGGTGAAGTGAGGTGCTTTCATGTCGACCATTGGATAAAGGGCGATAATTGCCTTGGGCCTGACAAAACCTGACAGAACAGATTGCAGAGCCAGGTAACCGCCTTCGACAAGATCAGAACATTAGTGAATGATAACGATGGAGTTCAATAAACTGAGCTTACCAGCACTTTCGCCCACAAGAAGGGTCCTAATATGGTTCAGTTGAAGCTTGTGTTGCCCAATTGCTGTGAGATGACGGGAAGGTCCCCCAGAGTGCACCCAATTCCAGAAGTTTCCCATATCATGTATGATATCCCGACCCCTCACCTCAGGAAGAAGTCTGTAGTTGGGACTGATGATAACGGCATCTTGCTCCTCCGCAAAGTCAAGGACCCATTTGGAGAACCAAGCAGGAAACAAACTGGAGCCAGTTATCTAATAAAGAAGTCAGTTAAATGTTCAATGCCAAAATGAAGCTTGCGTACCAAAAAGCCGCCGTGAATCCTGACTATGACTGGTGGGTTCTGACTTTTGAGGTGGCGAGGCACCAAAATATCGACACCGATTTGAACTCCTGCAGACTCATAATATGTTCGAGTAATGGTGAAGGGATCGAAAATGTCGCTTTTGACACTGTGTAGGACATTAATGAGGGCGTTGAACTGAGCATCACGCTCCTCAGACTGAGGTGCCATATTGTCACTGCGTCAGGCTATGATATGACTTCCAGATTTACGGATTGTTCATCCGCCTTGGCTATGTAGTATGCGTAAAGAGTGAAAGGAGAAAAGCGCGCTTGCGTCGTTCTCCAAGTACTGTTTGAGGTAATAGCCAATTTCCAACTGAGGCTAGTAGGCTCAGAAATGGCGGCACTTACCGAAACCCCGCCTCATGGCTTCTTACCTGATCTGGGATTAGTATAGGACGAGATTCAGGTAACGCCTCTGCCATATTCTCCGAGTAATCTCATCTTTCAAGAGAGCAGAGTTGAATCTGCAGATAGTCTCTGTAAAATAGTGAGATAGGACCTAGGCGAAAGAAATATATACAAATATGATATCTATGACCTATTACTTCGTAAATTTCTTGTAATTTAATCTCAGCTACTCTTGACAGAAACCAAGCTTTCGTGGTTACTGTGACCCTCATGGAGTTGATCCAGAAGGCTTGGCAGACACACCAGACGGTTCAAGTTTAACGCCAGGGCCATGACGGTCAAGAAAGGCTCGGGATGGCATGGTCTTGTTGGCCACTTCGTCTTTCGAAGACACCGATGAAGTATCCCGCCCTCCATAGTGTGCGCTTCCTCGGTCCAAGTCGGTGAGTGCGGTGATGGTTGCGTTATAGCTTGCCTCGTCTATTTGCCCACCGACATAACGCGCCTGGCCTTGCACATTGACTCGCCTTGCGAACACCAGATCCTTCACGGTTGAAACCGTGATCCCGTACGCATTGTCAGCCATTGTGATGTCTTCAAAGACGTTAGCTCGCTCCTTGGCCAAATCCTCGCCGGCATGAGCAACCACGTTCATGCATTGATGGATGCTTTCCTTGGTCTCTCGTAGTTGTGCCAGTTCGTTGATGTCATCTTCAGAGAGGTCCGTTTTCAGCTTCATGGCATCCATCCTCTTATCGATTTCGCTTCCATGGCTTCTGAGACGCGATTCCAGCGTACTAATAGAACTCTTGGCAGAACTGAGACTACTTTTGATATATTTATCTGCCGAAGGCTGTTTGGAGAACTGTGGGTTCTCGCTGGATGTTGATTCGAGTGCCTCGATGTGCAAAGATAGCTCAGTGCAGATCTGGAGCCCCTTTCGTGTACTTTCTTTCTCTTCGAACAGAGCAAGCCAGTCAGTGCTGTCAGACTCGACGCTTTCAGCCGGAGGGACAGCCAGGCTACGTGCTCTCTCATCGAGCCGCTGCATGTGTTTTTGGAGGTCGGCGGTTGTATCATCTATCATGTCCTTGTACTCGTCGATGACATTGCGTGTAACAGCCGTGATAGTTCTATAGGAGTAAAGTTGTTAGTTGATTCCATGCGTTGACCTTGATTGAGGAACCGCACATGTTTGCATTAGCCAATGCTATATTAATAGTGGACTTATACCCTGCAAGCATGTCTCTAAAGTCTGTGATGTCTCCCTTCAGATACTGCTGGCCAATCCAGTCCCGGAAACTTGGCCGGGTCCCATTGGAATGTTTTGTGCACCGAGCAATAAGCTTGCCATACTCCTCGCAAGTCTTTCCACAACGTAGCAGGGGTAATTCAAGACAGTCGAAATTGAGGTCAGGGTAATTTGTAACTGTCTCGAGGAGCGAGTGCAGCACTCCAGTGAGATCGTTCAGCTCATTTTTGAGTGCGCGAGCGTTGGCGTCCTGGGTCTTGTAACTGCGGACAGTCTTGTAAAGAACAGTGCTCGACTGAAAGGCGAACGTCACCAGAGCCAATACCCCAGAAGCAACACTGAGCCCATCTGCCATTATCGCCGTGTCTTACTCCGTACAAGTAAGTATTATCGACAGAGGGGCGGAAATGAGCTTGGTAACGAGGGCATGCGGTCGCTTATTTAATGCCGCAGTCGCCACGCTGACTATAAAGTTATGTCCAATAAGCAAGCAGCAATGTCGCGAATGTGAGACTGGTCTACCTTACAGGGCGTTTATCCGTCGTTGGTTATTGGCGCGGATCCGGCCGGTAACCGCCGGTGTGGGGCCAGCAGGCTCCAGCCAAGATTGATAACCCTCTAAAACAGTGAATTCGAAATTCCACGAGTCGCTGCAAGACGCCAGATTTAACAATGCTCGGAGATATGAGGTTTCACTTTCATTGAGTACCCTTAATAATGGGATGTGACTTAGTATGCCCGAGTTGCATCTCCAACTGTACAGACAGTACAGACAGGTTGATCAAACGAAGAGAACATACTTATGATGCGATCTTGGAAGAAATGGTCTCTATCAACAGAGCAAAGCATTGTTACAAAAGGGATCGGATTATATCTAGGCTTGCAACGCCTTGTATATTTCCGACTCTACCCGTTCCGAGCACTCCAGCACCATGGCGTCTTGAACTTTGAGTCAGCAAAGAACCCCTTCAATTCACCTGATTGACTTACCGCCATATGGAAGAATCTGGCTGGCAATAATACCGCCGACGTTGTTCTTGCGATCAGCGAACCAGAAGAGATTAGCCAGGCCTTCCCAAGACGCCGAACCAGCCGCACGACCCGTCGACTCTGGGAAGTGATTGATAGAAAATGATAAGCCCCAGCCTTCCGTGTGATCATCTGGCATTGGAGTCAGGGGAGTTGGATTTGCCAGTTCTGGTTTGGCCACGGGGACGCTGACGTTGCTGAAGCGTGGTTTATCGGGGATTTGATCAGTGAACATGTCTAGGGAAATATGTCAGTGCAGGCTGGGTAGAGTATCTACCAGATATGAACTTACCATTGACTGTCTCAGCTTTGAGTAGCCGAACTCCTGATTCTGCATCCACGCCGTTGTTCAACAGTAGTGAAATAATTCCTGCAATACAATGAGCGAGACGACGAGCAGGATGAGTGGCATCTGAACTTACGTCCAAACTCTGCTGGTCTTCCAAAGCAGCCGTGACCGCCTGCACACGGAACCTTCTCGCCATCCTGGGCAAGAAGTGGACGTCGATAAAAGTGATCTGTGGCACTCAACTTGCCACCTGGGCTCCTGCGATGCATATACGAAAGATTTCTCTTGTCCTCTTGTGAAGGATGGAAAGTGACATGGCCCATTCCCAGCGGCTGGAAGATCTTCTCTTTGAAGACTTCCTCAAGTGACTTGTTGTACGTGCGTTCAATTATCACGCCGACCCAGTCCATTGAGACTCCGTATTGAAATGTCTCACCTGGCTGGTTCACTAGAGGTCGGTTTGCTATGTCAATTGCTTCTCCAGAGAAGTCATCAAAGCCAATCGGGCGACTAAACTCGGCCAGCTTCTCATCCTCAAAGGCATACCCGAAGCCAGCTGGCCAACCGTCAGTTCTCATATATAGTTACGGAGAGATTTAGGTCGTACCTGTGTGCGTGAGAAGCATTCGAAGCGAAATCCTTCTAACTTTCTCAACAAGCTCAAGTTTTCCGTCCTCATTCCGAGTCAACACCTTGACGTCCCGTAGTTCAGGGCAGATGGCTTCAACTTGATCTGCATCATCTAAGCGCAACTTTCCTTGTTCCACGAGTTGCATGCACGCGACTGATGTCGCCAGTTTTGTGAAAGATGCCATGAAGAAGATGGTCTCTTCTGACAAGGGTATTTCTGAAGTGACTCCCCTCAAGCCAGAATAATGCTGGAAGATTGGTTCGCCATCATTTCTGAACGCTGAGTAGACGAGGCCTGGAATCTTGCATTCGGTGCCCCCAGTCGTGTACTCGTCGATAATACCACGAAGCCTGGATTGAATATCCTTTGATAGCACAGACATGGTTGAGGGTGTATGAATTTGGAATAGTCTAGATCGGATGGTATCGGGACTGGGTGCTTGACTGGCTGTCACTTGGTCGGTAGCGCTCGACTCTCTACAGGCTATAAGAACAGCTTTGCCGATCTATCACTTCGTACTGATTAAAAAGAAACCCCAAAATAGAAGCAGCACAATTGCCAGTCTCGTCAATAGTATGCAACGGAAAACAGAGTCACTGACAGGAACAAGTGCGGGGATCAAGCACCAAGAATGGAGTTGAGGTTATTACCCAATTAGGAATAAAGTTAGGCTACACGCGCGATAAGCTACAGAGACTAAACACCATTTTCATACAAGTCAACGAACCGTGTAAGTTTATCTGGAGATAAAACGGGGACTCAGCTAGTTCTTGATAACAAAAGGCATTTCTCTACAGTGTAACTCTAGCAGTCACCAAGCCAAGTGCAACAGCCAGCTTCAAGGGTCAATCCTTAGCAACAAACAGCAACCAAAACTATTACTTCATTGTCAACATGTCTTCAGTCCGCTATCAATTCCTCCCCGGCCCAGTAGGAGAAATGCTCCGCTCCGCTTCACTCGCAACAACCGCCACGATCCCACTATCAGGCTCTCTTGTCATAACGACAGGTCATGTCGGAGTAGACATCAAAACAGGACAGCTCGTTACTAGCTCTATAGAAGCCGAGTTCAACGCAGTGTTTGACTGCCTTGATGCAGCACTCAAGAATGCGGGTGTTACTAAGGGTCTTGCTTCAGCTCACAAGCTGGTGGCTTACTTTACCCGAGCTGAAGATGAGGCAACGCTGCTAAGTATCTTTCGCGAACGGTATCCGGGACAGACCCCGACTTTGACCTCGGTTGTTGTGGCTGGGCTTGTTAATCCGGGGATGCATGTTGAAGTACAAGCTGAAGCGATCGCTAACTAAAGGGGCTTTGGATATGTCATGGTGGAGAAATAGGCACAAGGAAGGGACAGCGATGCATAAACTAGCTACAACGAGTATAAACACATTTCAACAGATGCTCAAGTTAACAATGACGAGTAAAATACAATCAACGTTTCTATTTCCGGTACTAAGCCCAAAATGCTAAGCAACTATTTATTCTCGATCAGGCATGTTTCGGTAAGGGTTGTTGGGATTCGCCAACTCCTCCTCCACACTCTGTATCGTCTTGACAACCTTTGCAGGGGCGCCCAGGGCGATCGAGTAAGGGGGTAGACTCTTGGTGACCACCGCCCCAGCGCCAACAGTACAGCCTCGGCCAATGGTTACACCAGGGAGGATAACCACATTGCCACCGATCCAGCAGTCGTCCTCAATGCGGATGGGATGTCCGAACTCGACGAACTTGATCCTGGATAGAACGCTTGTCTCGTGGCCTGCGGTGTAGATGTGTACGTTGGGACCCATCTGGACACGGTCACCGATGATGACGAGGCTGGTATCTAGAATGGTCAAGCTGAAAATGGATTAGTCATTGCTCTGTTAACTCGCGTATATCAGAGTTGCAGACTTACCCAAAGTTCATGAAGCAGTTCTCGCCGATGGAGACATTGCTTCCGTAGTCAGGCATGAAAGGCGTCTCAATGTACGTCCCCTTGCCGACCTTTCCGAGCATCTCCGACAGCATCTGAGCCCGCTTGTCGTCGATCTCCTCACGAGTGCCAGCGCTGGGATCAATGTTGTTGTACTTGTACGCCAGACCGCGCGCTCTGTGGCGGCCATCCAGTAGATCAGGAACCAGGGGGTTGTAGCTAGCCCCGCGGTCAGAAAATAATGTACCGGCGTAGTATTAAGGTGTAGAGTGTACTTACAGCATGCCAGAGATCATCTTCTCATACTCGTCGCACCAGGGTGTACCCTTGAGGCCCTTTGCGATTTTGATGATCTCATTATCTTTCTGTTGCTTGGCCATGATGAAGTAACGTGGCGTTGAAGTAACCCTTGATAAGAATCTCGTAGATAGTAAATGATAACAATATGATTTGTAAAACAGGAGATGTACTGTCTGATTGTCGAGGTAGATACGGAGCTGGTACCTGTCCAAGTTGGAGAAACACGTCTGATCTTTTAAGCGTGGAGAAAGTGAGGGCTTATTACCAGAAACGGAATTAAGACGTGACCCACGAAAAAATCAAGTCTACCCCACACAGTGCCAACTCTTCACGAGAGGCAAGCAAAGCTTATCGGCAAAGGTCCATCCTCCGAGTAATGCACCGCAATGCCGAGATAGCCCAACTCAACGGGCTCCATGATTTCCCCCGCGTTCTGGGGGTTCTAATCTTGATTAACGGGGGGATAGATTGCGGGGGAGATACAGGTCTTGTTGATACGTATCTGACCTTCTATTGGCTGTAGGTTTGCTTGGCTGTAGTTGGCTCCGACTAGCCGGCCTGGCCGTTGGAAATAGTCTGCAGCGAAAAGTATATTACCTTGACTCCTGACTCAACCTGACTCTCATCACTCATCACCTTCATCCTTACGCAGTTCACGATGGCTCAGAGCAGAGAAGCCCAGAACTCCGACACCAAGTCCGACATCAACGCCACGAACAACTACGATGTTGATGTCGGCAGAGTCGAAAATGTCGAATCTTTCACAAAGAGCCCTGATGCAGTCGACGACAACATCCTCCTCGCTCAGGGCCATGCCCCCGTGATGAGACGATCGTTTGATCTGCTGGGAACGCTTGGTCTTGGCTTCAGTATCACCAACTCTTGGGTCTCATACGCCAGTTGTTTTGGACAGAGTCTTCTCTACGGAGGTGCTCAAGCCACTGTTTTTGGGCTGATAGTCGCCTGCGCGGTGCAGTGGCTTATAATTCTTGGTCTTGCGGAGCAAGCTTCGGCGTTTCCGTCTTCAGGAGGTAAGCTTACTGTTTCCATTGTAGGCAATTGACTAACGAGTTTGGAAACAATAGGTCAATATCACTTTACGTACATACTCGCTCCCAAGAGATATCGACGCTTCGCTGCCTTTGCTGTGGGAATAATCAGTGTTCTTGGTTGGTGGGTGATTACTTGCTCTGGCATCTCGAACAACGTGCAGTGCATCATCGGCATGGTCCTGTTTGTCAACCCTGATTACCAGCCACAGAACTGGCATTCATATCTGCTATACATCGGTCTCATTCTAATCACACGTAAGCACCTTCTACGACTCTTGAGCTACCGGGAGCTAACGACATGCAGTGATTCCCATCTTTACCATCCCACAGAAGCATCTCGGAAAGTGGACGCAAGCATGTCTCGCGATATCCGTCCTCGGCTTCGTCGTCGTCACCATCACGATCCTCGCCATGAGCGACGGGTATAACCACCCCAGCTTCATCACTACATTCGACGGAACAAGCGGCTGGCCTGATGGAGTTGCATGGGTGATGAGCATCGGTAACGCGATGTACGCTTTCGCTAGCATGGATGCTGTGATTCACGTCGCCGAGGAAATGCACCACCCGGGCAAGGCCATTCCTCGAGCAATGTAAGTCTGCAATCTCGAGACTATTCAGAACGAACTCTAACAAAGCTTTGCAGGAACCTCACCATGATTATTGGTCTGCTTACCTCAGTCCCATTCATCTTGGCCATGATGTTTGTCATCAAGGATCTCGATGCTGTAAGGGCCGCGCATCTTCCAAGTCTTGAAGTCTTTCATCAGGCTACTGGCAGCAAGACCGCCGCACTCGGACTTCAGTCTCTTCTTGTAGTCATCTTCTACAGTACGTGGTGCAATTCTGTCTTGGCTTTATACTTTTGACTAACCGTAGACAGCATGCATGCCTAGCCAGTGGATTACATGCGGCCGATTGACTTGGGCCTTTTCACGAGATGTAAGTCTCCAGCTTCTTTACTTTCAATGCCTTGAATCGTGCTGATCTAGCTATTTAGCGTGGACTCCCATACTCCAACTACTGGAATCACATCTCACCCTCTCTCGGCTTCCCCGTCCGCACGACTCTGCTATCTGTTGGGTTCTGCATCATCTATGGACTGTTGTATATGGCCAGCAGCCAAGCCTTCAACTCCATCATCACCACTGCAGTTCTTGGTGTGAATATCTCGTACGCCGTTCCTCAAGCTATCACTCTTATCCACGGACGAGAGAACAAGCTTCCCATAAGACCTTTTAAACTGGGCAAAGTCGGGGGTTATCTCTGCAATGCCTGGACTCCTCTCTGGGTCACCACCATCGGTATCTTTATTTGCTTCCCTAATGCTATTCCTGTGACTGCGGGGTCGATGAATTAGTAAGTTGCACTGCCATTCACACACGTCTAATTTTACTAATGACTATCTTAGCGTGTGTGTTGTACTCGGATGTATGATGATTATCTTGGTTGGTCTTTGGTTCACTGTTCGTCGCTACTTCGATGGCCCCGCCATCGACTACGACATGTTGGGTTTGAGCCGTCCTGAGTAGAGATGAAAATTTGGTAGCTATTCATAGCTTTCTTGCGATGGAGATACCATTCCAGGCAGGTCAAGCCACATGTTTGGCCTTGTTTAGACTGTACTTTACTAGGCCCATTAGAAGGAGGCGCTCAACGGAAATGTTAACAAGTATGTGAGAACTCTATCATAGAAGTCTAATCGTCCCTCAAATGAGACCTTTTCAATACTATACCAAGATTCTCATAATACCGAAAAAAAGATAACATGGATGGGTGTACCTCGTCTAAGTCCTAGCAAGACCTTTGTTGTTAGGTCTATGGACACTTTCAACACTGCTTTAAAATTATTCCCTGGTAGAAAGGCTAAGGGTATCTTCCCCAGCGTTGGAATTGTGTCAGTCTGGTATTCAAATGAAGCATTTGGCGTAGTATGACACCATAAGCTCCTAGTTACGAGTCTTAAGTAGAGGTGACTTATAGAGCTCATAGTTTGCGTCATACTGTAATGCCGAACAAATCACTGCGCGGCGATCAAAGCGGGTGGATAAGCGTAAGGCCATTCTATTTGGCTTTCGGAATCTGTACCAAGGCTTTCCACAAACAGAATCATAGATTACTGCTACACTACAATACACGGTTCCGAGTCATACTTCTATACCACCCAGTCTCACCACTTCACAGCTTACTACCAACAGCCTTCTTCCTAGCAGCAACGACCTCGCGATGAGCAACCTGCGCATTCAAACAGCCCTGCTCCAAAGCACCATCGATAGCAGCTCTCCAACCATGAGCCCAGTCAGCTGACGCAAAGAAGACATTGCCATGTCGACTCTGAAGCTCATCCTGGTATTTTGACATGTAACCTGGCTGCCACCAGGCAGGACCTCCCTTTGAGTAAGGATCTGTAGCCCAATTATGTAGCATCTTCTTATTGTCAGTAATCAAGTCTTCACAATTGAGGATGGGCACCTTACTAGTCTCTTGACATCCATGGGATGGATTTTGTTCAGAGCTTCAATGGTCTGTGCTGAATTGTTCTCGGGGATGAAGGTATCCCGCTCGTCTGCGCCGAAAGCAACAACGTGGACATCGCCATTTGGTAATACGCCGTCGCCGTAGCCGTACATCAAAAGACCAGGGAACTTCATTCCATTCCATCTCTCAAGTTCCTTGTTGCTCACATCAGCATGAACCTTGGTCATCTGGTTCACATGACCAATGTTGATGGCATCCTGCCGACGTCGTGTGAGTGGAGGAGAGAACTCGATATCCTTCAAGACGTTGAGAGGAATGGTGTTTATGATCTTCTTCGCTCGGAAGACATCGCCACTGCTACTAGTCACCGCAACCGGGCCGTCACCAGATGAGTCCTGTGTGATCGACTTGACCTGCGTGGAGAAAGCATACTCCAGCCCATCTCCAGTAGCTTCTTCAAACATTCGCTTCGCAAGTGCAGTCTGACCGTCTCTCAGCTTATATCTCAACCACACATCAGCAAAGTTATCAGAGTTATGCATAAGCAAAGCATGTGAGCGAATCATATCCCAGAGACTCGACTCTTTCATTCTTCCACCTGAAATGTGAAGTAGTAGAGATACCAAGAGGCCTTGTTCCTCGGCCGTAAGTTTATGCTTGATCTCTTCGAAGCGGTCGTGGCAGGATAGTTGATCCCACTTCTCAACGATTGATCGATCGACGATGGGATTGTCAAGCTGGGCGTGGGGGAGAGGACAGATGGTGCGACCGAATTGGCCGTCGACATTGACGAACATGTCCCAGGCTTTGGCTTGCATTGCGCCGGCTTCTTCGTGGCTGAGCTTGCGCGGTGTAGCTCCTGTGATAATCTCGCGTCAGTGATATGGAGTGAAAGTGAAATTGGTTATGTTCATACCTGGTACGTCAATAGTGTAGTACCCTTTATGCATGTCTGGACTTCCCGTGGTTATGAGATCACGATCCATGTTGTAACGCGTCATTTCTCTGAACAAGTAACCCATATGATGAGTCACCCAAGTTCCTCCCATTTCGTATAGAAACCCTTCAAGCTGTTAGTGAAATCTTTAGATACAATAATGTTCTTCTCACCATCTTTCTTGGCAGTATATGTCCTGCCGCCAATTCGATCGCGTGCTTCTAGCAGTAGAACTGAATGACCTGCAAAATGTCAGGGCGGTTCACTTAACGACCTTGCTGCTACATACTCAATTGACTGAGGTCGCGAGCTGCTGCCAAACCAGCATACCCAGCTCCAATGACAATAACATCGTAGACCTTGTTGGCTGAGGAGACTGATCGCTGAGGCGAAATAACAGCGTCGCTCTCAAGTCCCTTCTGAAAGCCAGTGCTTGGCTCCCAAATATGGCCGTCTCTAGTCTTGGGTGTCATTGTGAGCAAATTGAGATGCTAATAATTGGCAAAGAATGGAGAAACTCTTGGAGTCGCAGGATTCGAAGTTGAAAGCTTGGAGTCTAAGTTAGCTTGGATGGCGATAAACCCGCCTTAGCTTTATCTAGCTCCTCCGGGCTGGTCAGAGCTACTCCAATCAGTAGTGGATTCTCAAGCCATCTCCAACCCGGCAAATTCCACAATCGGCCCCATCACGAGGTTGACACTATTTCCTATCGTGGACTCTGCGGGGTTGAAGCTGTCCTTAGTTCCTATTTAGGTAGTAACGAGAGCTCCGCACGCAAAGTGGCTCCAGCGGAGTCTCCGATGTCTTAATACCGCATTAGGTAGTTACTGCAACTTCCATATCCATGGTCATGATAGTTATGGCGTCGAGGCTAAATGCTCTCCAGCTTCTGTTCATAAAATCTCGAACCACAGCTCGTTGAAAGAGTCAGACCATACTCAAGCTATACCGTATCATATCACACCGCAACACACCACTCGCATAAATTTAGTGCACTTTATTCTCAAACATGCCTGACTTTACTGGTCTCGAACTGACTGGCAAGACTGCCATTGTCACTGGCGCGTCCCGGTAAGTTACCCCGGCAACCTCAGGCGAGTACACTCCTTGACTAATGTATTTCAGCGGTCTTGGTGCCGGCATTGCTATCCTTCTTGGCAAGCGAGGCGCCAACGTGGTGGTCAACTACGTCTCCGACGGCAGCCGAGAGCGAGCTGAGAAGGTCGCCCAGGAGATTGAAGCCAACGGCACAAAAGCCATTGTTGTCCAGGCCGATGTTAGCAAGACTGCTGAGATTCCTAAATTGATTGATGCTGCGCTCAAGATCAGCTCAACTGGCAAGATTGAGATCCTCATTCACAAGTAAGTCTGGTTTTATGAAAGAGCGGAATAGTAGCCACTAACACGGATTTTAGCGCTGCTCAAGGAAACGAGGCCAACCTGGTAGACACAACCGAGGAATTCTACACTCGTCACTTCGACGCCAACGTCAAGGGCCCCATCTTCCTGACAAAGGCCGCAGAGCCTCATCTCCCCAAGGGAGGCAGAATCGTCTTCATCTCGTCAGCAGGAGCACGTCTCGGTGTCGCAGGACAGACTGTCTATGCTGCTACCAAGGCAGCCGACGAGGCTCTCGTTCGTGTCTGGGCCAAAGAGCTTGGTCAATCCCACGGCATCACTGTTAACTGTGTGAACCCTGGTCCTATTGCAACAGATCAATGGTTCCAGAGTGACGAGCAGTTCCTTAAGGACATGCAGCCGCTGATTGACTCTACCCCTGCTGCGGCGCGTGTTGGTGAGGTTAGTGATATTGCGCCTCTGGTTGCGTTCCTCTGCACGGATGATGCGAAGTGGACGACGGGATCTGTTCTTTCTGCCAATGGTGGTCTTTACAATTAGATTGGCTCTTTAGTTTGGATCATGACATGAATAAATGGACAATTGATGAATGTATGAACTAAGATTGAAGAAATGCCATGCTGGATGAAGGATGTGATAAGACAACTTACCTTGCAGTGATTCCATGTAAACTCCAAGCTGACATCGTGATATTATGACGCTCCGAGCTCAATGACTCGCGCCATGACCAATCGGAACCTCTTTAAAGCAGAGAAACCTGGCGATACGCAGAATCATCAGGGTTCCTCCCCTGCTCGTCAGGTTTATCTCCAGATGCCTGGTGGACATTCGCCACTAAGATACGCACTGTAACGGTTTGACTCCCGTAGTCGATAGCACTAAAAACCTGGCGGGCGGGGGCGTTTTTAGTGTCATGATGGAGGAATGGGTCCAGGTTTCTTTCTCCCCAAGCTTGGAAAGCTTTCTGAACCCTTCCCCTCATTCACACCCTCACTTTTTCCATACTGCTCTCCAAAGCATATCGATACTCATCAATTCAGAAATGTCGGCGGTAAAACCTCCTCGAGAGTTCAAGTTCGTCGGCGCATTCAGTCGCAAGAGGAGACGTCGCGATGGGACAGCGCCTGGGTCGATTGACTTCGTCGGACCGACAACACGATCGAAGCAAGCGGCGACGAAACCGCAGAGTGAAGCTGTTGCTGCTGAGCCTGCGACACCACCAAAGTCGGCGGATGGTAACAGCGAGGGTCGGGATAAGAGTGCCGATAACACTACGCCCCCAGCCGTGGAAGCGACAGAGGCAGAGGCAGAGGTAGAGGCGCAGGCTCCTCTTGCGGCGACGCCAGCGATTCCTCACGAGAATGCCAATCCGTTTGATCACGATTTGATGATGGGGGAGGGGATAAACAGCGGGAGTGATATCGACTGGACATACTCAAGTCTTATGAACCCCTTCATCGATACAGGGCCCTCGTTCATGGCGCCTTTTGACCAGGTCAATGGCCAACTGCCAATTTATTTCGGTCCCGACATCCCTCTCATTCAGCTCGGAGACTCATCATCTACCGACAACTCGCCTGAGAATCATTTCATCGGGCCTCAATTGCCAAACGATTCTGATGGTACAGCGGGCGACTTTGCTGCAAACGCGCAGTCACAGGCAATTGAAGAGCCTGTTTTACCATTGCTCAATTCTCACGCCGCGCCAAGCAATATCAGCGACACCATTGCGCAGCTACTGACTCGATGTACGTACAATGATTTATATCGCTCAATAAGTCTTAATCTGAAGATGATTAGATGACCAAGAGTTCTGCGTCATGCCTCTGACCCACGACTTCGCCGCCAACCCATTCCGATTCGACGCCGAAACTGGACGAGGCTCACAACTTCTCCTCCATTGCATCCTCGCACTCTCCTACAAGCACATCAATCGCGATACGGGTTCTTGCGCTGGAGAGGCCAAGATGCATAAGAAGAAAGCTCTCCAGATGCTCAAGGATATGGAAGGCGTTTCGCAGGCGTCACCGATCGAAGCGACATTCCTAGACGCCGTGTTGATTCTCATGACACTTGATGTGAGTCATTCTGCAAAGGCCTCCAACCAGGACTGACAGCTCCAGTGCGCGACATCTGCTCATGGGCCTTGGACGTGGTATCTCAAACGGGCGCATAAAATGATACAGGCTGCCGAGTTCTGCAACATGAAGAAAACACCACGAATGCAAGCACGTATAGAGATGTTAGTCTGGTAAGTATCACTAAACACTGCCGACACAAGCCGAATACTGACTGTCGCAGGTGGGATGTTACTCTAGCCCTCACAAGCCGCCAAGGATGCGTCCTCTCCGAATCTACGATAATCAGCCTCTTCAACCACGACAAAACAAGCGACGAGACCTTCTACAGCGTATCAGGCTGTCCTGAAGCTTTATTCCGCCACATGATCCGCCTCGGATCTTACGCACGAGAATTCGAGCTTATAAGTAACATGACCTGCGCAAAGTTCGACATGGAACACGTTCTCAGCGTAGAGAAGGAGATACGCGAGTGGACTGATCCCGAATACGGCGACATCCCGGACCAACTCGTCTCAGACACTACAGGCTGCGATATAGGCGACGTAGCACACTACAAGGAAGATCTACACCACTGCGCCGAAGCGTGGAGATACGGGCTATTAATCTACATCGGCCGCGTGTTCAAATGGCAGCGCGATCAACCCGCCCCCTCGATACTAGGTTTCCTAGCGCGCAAGACACTTAATCATGTTACATCTTGTAGATATAGTTCCATGCTACAGAAACAACTCCTCCTCCCTGTTTTCTTAGCGGGGTGTGAAACATCGGATGAGCACTTGAGACAGGCGGCGAGGACGTATTGTAGCTGGTGGAACGAACGGACGAGGTACGATATGTTTCTGACGGCGAATACGCTGCTGGAGGAGGTTTGGGCTGATGAGGCGGTGGATTCGTGGTGGGGGTCTGTTATTGATCAGAAGAGTCGGTCGAATGTTAACTCTGGGGAGGGGAGGCAGTATTTATTTGGATGATCTTGGGTTTTTGTGCGTTCTGGTGTTTGTGGTCCTTTTGTGTTGTCATTTTGGCGTTGGGAGGTATGGCTAGCTGTCGATTCTTGGATGTCAGATTGGGAAGATGGACATTCGCGATTTCAACATTGGGAGGAATTTCTGATGTATATATAGTGCTTGCATTTCTTACTACAATTGGCATTTTCTATTTTCCGAATGGAGTCATATCTGCTGGGGTCGCTGGGCCAGAACTGTCTCTTCTCACATGTGCAATTATCTTTCCACCGAGTACAGCAGGTTTAAATTCTATGAACAATTCTGGGATGAAGAACTAACATGATGTCCACCACCACCGCGTTGGTCCGTCGCAACATGTAGATGTTTGGTCAATTGGGCATTTGTGTTTCTCTACCTGAGGAGCAAGACAAGAGCTGGTGCAGGGAATCCCAATTAATCCGGCTAATCTGTTCGATAAGCATATCCCCAGATTTCTTATCAGATGGCAATTTTCCAGATAAGTTCTTTTACCTATCTGACGATTAAGTCCCGAATCAGTGTTCTTCGTGTATCGTTATCCTGTCAGGGTAACATGCTTTTGCCGCCACAACACTGCATCAGCAATCAGTAGAGTTTTCCCTCATTATACTCCACACCACACCACGATAAAGTAATTACTTAGTACAGATCGGCCAATTTGGGGGGTTGCACGACGGTGCATCCTTGGGCTGGTGGCAATCCGAGTGGCTGCGGGGGTACGGTATTACCCAAAGAGGAATTACTCGATTGAGTAACTACTGTGTCGAGACTTGGTGAACATTCTCCATAGAGACTCGGGGTATCGCAAACTACAGTCTTTGGAGGCATCTGTAGACATCTGTAACGTCTACAAAAGCAAACCCTGAATCGTATCAGATTGACCCATCTCACCAACCAAGCACATCATATCAAGCACCAAAACAAACACTACCAACACAACACACCATACCCAAGACAAGACAGCGAAATGGCAACCATGGATGAGGTATTCGCCGGCTACGCCAAGCGACAAGCCACCCTTGAAGCCAGCACCAACATCCTCTCCCAAGGCATCGCTTGGGTCGAAGGCGAGCTGGTCCCCCTGCAATCCGCCCGCATCCCCCTCCTCGACCAGGGCTTCATGCACAGTGATCTGACCTACGACGTGCCCTCCGTCTGGGACGGCCGCTTCTTCCGCCTTGACGACCACCTTGACCGTCTCGAAGCCAGCTGCAAGAAGATGAGGCTTCGCTTCCCCATCCCCCGCGACGAGATCAAGAAGATTCTCGTCGAGATGGTCGCTAAGAGTGGGATCAAAGATGCCTTTGTCGAATTGATCGTTACCCGTGGACTCAAGGGTGTGAGAGGGGCCAAGCCAGAGGAGTTGCTGAATAATAACCTGTACATGTTTGTTCAGCCGTATGTTTGGGTTATGGACCCCGAGGATCAGTATCATGGTGGTCGTGCCATTGTTGCACGAACCGTACGACGTGTTCCACCTGGCTCTATCGATCCCACCATTAAGAACCTCCAGTGGGGTGATCTCGTCCGCGGCTTATTCGAGGCCAACGACCGTGGCGCCACTTATCCCTTCCTGACCGACGGCGATGCCAACCTCACCGAGGGCTCAGGCTTCAACGTCGTCATCATCAAGAATGGCGTGCTCTACACACCTGATCGTGGAGTCTTGCAGGGAATCACAAGGAAGAGTGTCATTGACGCTGCGCGATCTTGTGGATACGAAATTCGCATTGAGCATGTTCCGGTTGAGGCGGCTTATCAGGCTGATGAGATTTTGATGTGCACAACTGCTGGTGGCATTATGCCCATCACTACTCTGGATGATAAGCCTGTGAACGATGGCAAGGTTGGACCTATCACGAAGGCTATCTGGGATCGTTACTGGGCTATGCATTGGGAGGATGAGTTTAGCTTCAAGATTGATTACTAGGGCTTTGATACTTGTAACTATTGGCATTAAATAAAACGCATTTTACCTTATATCACTTCCAGTTGTAGCTGCATAAGACTGTTGAGCATTACTTGAATCATGCCCGAGATGATACGGGAGAAGTATCGTGAAACTAGAAGTTGTATATGCGAGGTTAGAAGACTCTCGTCATCAGAATCATATAAATCGCTTTCACTGGCCTTGGACACATCTTGTCTCGACTCTTGATATGAGCCAACCTTGAGTAGCCAAGCAAAGCCGAGCAATCGAGCTTTGATTGGAAAGAAGCATCGTCTCATCTCAACATATCAGACGTACCATCAGCATTCTTTGTCGGTACTTCCGGGCATATCCGCAATTACCCCAGGCTCGAGTCTACCAAGAGCAGCACCAAGGAGCTTGGTCGATAAGGTTACCGGCCTAACTCAAGCTGTCAGACTACATATCTAAGGCCCAAATAGGCAAGGTCTTAGTTTGGTGTTAGCGCTTCACTTGGTGATAGAGATGGGGTGATTTGGCCTACTGCCTGCGAGGGTTGTCGTATTTCCTATTCGGGTAATAACCTTTCCAAGAGTTTTGGCTTTGTAGACAGCCTACGCTTTTTGGAATGTTGGCTGGTATTACGGGAGTCTTGTATAGCTTCAAATGATACGCGGGTCCCTCTGGATGAAATAAGTAACACATTAAGAATTCCTCAATCAATTCCGACTTCATCACATCATCTAATTCACAAAGACAACATGAGTGCACGCGATAGCATCGTCATCTTGGGGTAAGTCATTAACTAGAACATCGCCAAGCTCGCTCTCGAACGTGCACTAACAGTTACATCAGAGCTGGCATTATCGGCCTTGATGTTGCTCTGGTTCTAGCAGAGCGAGGCTACGGCAAATCCATCACAGTTATCGCCGAACATCTTCCTGGGGACACGGCATTGAGTTATACTTCTCCATGGTACGTAGCACCACGTGGCAGCGTGGCATTTGATCATACTAATCTCACTATAGGGCTGGTTGTAACTTCTCAGCTATCTCTGGTACAGATGCCAATGCCTTGAAATGGGACAAGGCAGGATATTTCCATCTTAGCAAGTTGGCATCTGAGCGACCAGAGCAGTCGTATGTCAAGCGAACTCCTTCGACGGAGCTTTGGGACGATAATGTTCCTCGTGATAAAATACAGGCAATGTCTGAGTACCTTGAAGACGTAAGTTCAGGCTTCAAAAGGAAAGGAAATAGCTGACATACTCCAGTTCCAAGAACTACCAGTCAATGAGCTACCAGAGGGCGTCAAATTTGCTGTCTCCTTTACTACTCTCACTGTCAATGCCCCCAAGCATCTGCTCTATCTCTATGAGAGATTGAAGAATGACTACGGTGTTCGCTTTGTTCGTCAGAAGCTTCCAGATCTTCAGAACGCATTCTTCAGCCAGACTACCCAAATTGTGTTCAACTGTACTGGTAACGCTGCGCGAAAGTTGCCTGGAGTTGAGGATTTAAAGTGTTACCCGACTAGAGGACAGGTCCTGTTGACTCACGCCCCTGAGGTTCACACGAACATCATGAGACATGGTAAAGATTACGAGACATATGTGATCCCTCGGCCCTTCTCTAAGGGACATGTAATCCTCGGAGGGTATATGCAAAAGGGTAACGGGTAAGCGAAAAGTCTCTGACTGAACTATGCATTGCGAGCTAACCGGTCTTCTCAGTGATGGTGCAACATACTCGTACGAGACAGAGTCCATCTTGGAGCGGACTAAGGAGCTCAGTAATGAAGTCAGGAATGGGAGTGTCGATGTTCTCGCAGCATTCTCTGGCCTTCGTCCATCTCGTGAAGGCGGCGCACGTGTAGAGAGAGAGGATCTGACAGTTGCCGGACAAAAGCGCACAGTGGTTCACAACTACGGTGCAGGTGGCACTGGATTCCAGGCTGGTTATGGAATGGCTCTCGATGCCGTTCGCGCTGCTGAGCCTGTTTTGTCAAAGCTTCAGACCGAACTTAAGTCGAAGCTATGATGCATCTTTGGTATTTTACTTATATATATTTATTAGTATCCCCTACCCTGATGCCTTAAGGACTAAAGCCTCTTTTTACCTTGACCTTGATACTGGTTGCTGGAACCTAAATTGTTAGAGATAGAAACAAGCATGCGAACAGCATGGCATTGCGGAACAATATTGATCCGCAAGAGTTAAGTTGTTTGCTGATCCCCGTCAACCATGCATGTTCAATTAGGCAACCACAGCCGCGTCAGATGACTAAACCAAACCAATCCCATAAGAGTGAATAATGACCGCTTCTAGCCGCTTATTTTGCTTCTTTCCTTCATGTCTCAAGATCTACATGCTTACTTCCATTAAGCTTCTCTTCTACAGTAGCGAGCATGACTCACCCTAACGAATACACCGTGGGTTATATCTGCTCGATTCAGACTGAGTACCTTGCTGCGGTGGCCTCTTTAGAGAAACGATACGATGGGATGGATTTTGTATCTCGGCATGATACCAACGACTATACATTCGGCAAAGTTGGAAAGCACAATGTTGTAATTGCTACTTCACCTAAACGGGACTGGGGACTTTCCACAACTGCAGTCGTTGCAACACACATGCAACGCAGTTTTCCTGGTGTTTCATTCATCCTGGTAATTAGTGCTGGCGGTGGTGCGCCGAGTGAACGACACGATATACGCCTCGGCGATATTGTGGTCGGCACTTCTCGCGGTAGCGAAGGTGCTGTTATTCTCTACGACGTTGGTAAAAGCATACAAGATGAAGGATTCACACCAAGAAGAATCTTCATGGAGCCGCCTGCAACCTTGCAGTCGGCTGTGAATAAACTCAAAGATCGTTATAGGAGTGGTCACCGACTGGAGGAAATCATAAATGTCATTCTTGAGAAGAATCCAATGATGGAAGCAGAATATCGACGACCGCACCCAGACAGTGATAGGCTATACAACAGCTATTATACCCACAGCGATCCAGAGAGCTCTTGTCGAGCGGTTTGTGAGTATTCTGAACACTCGGTATTACGACGATTACGAGCAGACTACACTAGTAGCCCGATGGTGCACTATGGCCCGATTGCGTCAGGAGACAAGGTCATAAAGGATGCTTTTTTTCGGGATCGACTTGCCATACAGCAGGAAGTTCTCTGCTTTGACGCGGGATCTGCTGGCGTGATGCATAACATTCCCTGTCTGGCCATTTGCGGCATCTGTAACTACTCGGACACTCACAGGACCCCAGAGTGGAATGGTTACGCAGCATTGGCGGCAGCGGCATATGCGAAGGATCTTTTAAGCGGAATAGAACTACGAAATAATGAGTCTGGGACAAAATCCATTGGCATCCGTTTCGGCGAGGCGGCCACACAGGAGGGTGATTTCAGCGTTTCCCTTTCTAACGAGTGTCATATACTAACGATGATGAAGAAACGGATCAGCCTCATACCTACGAGGACTATAAGATTGGCGTCATATGTGCCATCGAATTTGAAATGAGCGCCATTCGCTACATGCTTGATAAAGAACACAAGCGCTTAAAACGAAAACCTGGCGAGTCAACCATATATGTTCTCGGAGAGCTGGAGGGCCACAACGTCGTTCTGGCCTGTCTTCCAGGCAACCAAGGAAAAGGTGCCGCAGCGGCTGTTGCCAAGGATATGGCTCGCACATTCACTTCGATCGACTTGCGACTGATGGTGGGTATTGGAGGGGGCGTGCCAAGTAAGAAGAATGATATTCGTCTAGGCGATGTGGTTGTTAGCATGCCTGATGGCCAGTCTAGCGGTGTTGTTCAGTATGACCTTGGTAAGAACACGAACGAGGGCCTTACTCTTAAGGGTTTTCTTTGGCCCCCACCAGCGATTTTGAGAAGTGCGGTGGGCATAATGAGATCGGACCACCGGATTTCCCAAAGTAAGGTTCCTGAATTTCTATCGGCTATGTTCGACAAGAGCGATCGCATCCGAGAATCCTACCAGCGGCCTCCAGCAGACCTGGATCAGCTTTTTGACACTGGATATCTCCACGAAACCAGGTACGAAACCTGTGTACAATGTGAAGAAGCAAAAACTATTGGCCGACCAAATCGGGAGCCGGTTTCAGAGATCCATTATGGCCTGATCGCTTCGGGGGATCAAGTCATAAGAAACGCAACCTATGCAGCCGAAATACAGGCAAAGGTAGTTGGCGATATCTTGTGTTTCGAAATGGAAGCGGCTGGTATTCTGACTGAGTTACCTTGCATTGTTATCCGAGGCATTTCTGATTACGCAGACTCGCATAAAAACGACGTCTGGCAGCACTATGCTGCAGCTGCAGCTGCTGGCTGTGCGAAGGAGCTACTCTCTTATTTGAGTCCAGATTAACCTTTTGCAATGAAATATCTTATGCTAAATATCGTTGGAATGCTCGAATCACCCTTAAAGAATGATCTATACCTAAAACCTCGGCTTATAGAACTACTTAGTTAAGAGAGGCTTATTGACTTAGAGGGTTTGCCGGAACCAGCATGTAATAAACAGGGAAAGATGTACTAATGTATTGACAGTATTGCTTCTAAGCTGTGTTCTTTTCATGTGCGGAATTTGATAATATCTAAATACAAAAACAGGTCATGTAGGTCGTAAGTTACTCAGTCTAAGTAAAGTATGCAGTCATTGCTCTCATGGTCCCAGACACTGTGAGATGCATGTAGGTACAGAGGAAATCTTAAAAAAAGTAAACAGGATAAGGAGGCTTCTCATAGCCAGCCTTGGAAGTAGTAGTGTGCTCAGCCGCCTTGGGGGTCGAGACAGGAGTCTCGTAGAGCTTGGTGGTGGATCGGATGAAGGTGGTGACCGTCCCGTTGCCAGGAGCCAAGTGGGTAGGGATTGTAGGAGGATGACCCTTGGTGGGAGAGGGGTAGACGTGAGAGTTCCACGGCTTGATCTGGGTGGTGGCTGTGGCGTAGACGGTAGAAGAGACAGCGCCAATGGGGCAGTCTGTGACAGTGGGAGGGCAAGCGGTGACGGTGAAGTACTTGGTGGTGTAAAGAGTGGATGTTGAGTTACCAGGAGGGTAGTAAGTAGCACCAGGGCCGGGAATGACCTGAGTCTTGGTGACGGGGCAGAGAGTGGTTGAGAGAGCGATGGTCTCGGTGGTGACGTGGGGAGTACCAGGGCAGTTGGCAACGTGGGGAGCGCAAGCAGTGACAGTTCGGATGTTGGTCGTGTAGACGGTAGAGGTAGACCAGCCGGTTGTGACGACTTGCTGAGTTGGGACGGGGTAGGTCTGGTGGGGCTGGCTGGGCTGCTCGTGGTTGGAGGGCTGAGAAGGTTGGCCGGGAGTGCTGGGCTTGGTGGGATGAGACTGCTCCTCGGTAACTGGGCAGACGGTGGTTGAGATGGCGATGGTCTCGGTGGTGACGTGAGGAGTGGGGGTCTCGCAGTTGGGATGCTCAGGGCCGCAGGTAGTCACTGTTCGGACACTGGTAGTGTAGACAGTAGAGGTAGACCAAGCGGTAGTCTTGGCTGGCTGGCTGGGTTTGGGCTGAGTAGGCTTGGACTCAGTGGGCTTGGAACCAGTCTGGTGCTGCTCAGTCACGGGGCAGATGGTAGTAGAAACAGCGATAGTCTCAGTAGTGACGTGGGGAGTAGGTGTCTCGCAGTTGGGGAACTCAGGACCACAAGCAGTGACGGTGCGAACGCTGGTGGTGTAAATGGTAGAAGTCGACCATCCAGTAGTCTTGGCTGTCTCACTAGGCTGAGACTCAGTGGGCTTGGGTTGAGTAGGCTTGTGTTCCGTAGGCTTAGGCTGAGTTTGGTGCTGCTCAGTAACAGGGCAGACAGTGGTAGAGATGGCAACAGTCTCAGTAGTGACATGGGGAGTAGGTGCCTCGCAGTTAGGGAACTCGGGAGCGCAAGATGTAACAGTGCGGATGGTAGTCGTGTAAACAGTTGAAGTAGTCCACTCAGTAGTAGAAGCAGGCTGGGTAGATCCAGCTTCAGACTGTCCACCAGTGACAGGCTTGGTAGAGTGTCCCTCAGTAGCAGGCTTCGTCTCAGTAGGAACTGGGTAAGTTGGCTTGGTCTCAGTGACAGGCTTAGTCTGAGTGGCGGGCTTGGTCTCGACAGGCTTGGTGGACTGTCCTTCCGTGGCAGGCTTGCTCTCGGTAGCAGGCTTGGTCTCAACTGGCTTGGTGGGAGCTGGCTTCGTCTCCGTGTGGTGCTCTTCGGTGACGGGGCAGACGGTGGTGGAGATGGCGATAGTCTCAGTTGTGACGTGCTTACCGTTAGGGCAGTCAGGAACGTCAGGAGCACAAGAAGTTACGGTGCGGATGTTGGTGGTGTAGACGGTTGAGGTAGTCCACTCGGTGGTGCTAGCGGGCTTGGACTCAGTAGGAACTGGGTAAGTGGGCTTAGTCTCCGTGACGGGCTTGGTCTCGGTTGGGTGCTCCTGGCCGCCTGTGGTAGCAGGCTTAGTCTCAGTCTCAGTGGCAGGCTTAGTCTCAGTGGGGACTGGGTAAGTGGGCTTGGTCTCAACAGGCTTGGTCTCAGTAGCAGGCTTAGTCTCTGTCTCGGTAGCAGGCTTGGTAGATCCCTCATGATGAGTAACAGGCTTGGTAGACTCCTCAATCTCAGTAGTAGGTACAGTAGACTGGCCCTCTGTCTCGGTAGCCTGGGTAGGAACGGGATAAGTGGGTGATTCCTTTGTGACAGTAGCTGGCTTGGTAGATCCGGCTTCGGTCACAGGGCAGACGGTAGTAGAGATAGCAATAGTCTCGGTTGTGACATGCTTGCCGTTGGGGCAGTCAGGGATCTCAGGAGGGCAAGACGTAATAGTGCGGATGTTGGTTGTGTAGACAGTTGAGGTAGTCCACTGGCTGGTCTGCTGAGTGTTGGGCTTGGTCTCAGTGGGAACAGTCTCGGTCTTGGCAGTGGCTGTCTCGGTGGTGACCTTGGGAGGAGGATAGGCACCGGTTGAAGTTCCAACAGCGGGCTTGGTAGACTCAGCAGGAAGGGACTCAGTCTCAGTCTTAACACCGGTCTCAGTAGTCTCAGTGCCCTTGGGAGGAGGGTAGACACCAGTTGAGGTACCAACAGCAGGCTTGGTAGTCTCAGTCTCGGCGGGAACAGTCTCAGTCTCAGTACCCTCGGTAGTCTCAGTGGTGGCCTTAGGAGGAGGATAGACACCAGTGGATGTGCCGACAGCGGGCTTGGTAGTTTCAGTCTCAGCAGGAAGAGTCTCAGTCTCGGCTCCCTCAGTAGTGCCAGTGGTAACCTTGGGAGGAGGGTAAGCACCAGTGGAAGGTGAAGTCTCAGTCTCCTCAGGAACCGACTCAGTCTTGGTCTCGGTCTCACCAGGCTTGGAGACAGTAGCAGTCTCGGTACCTTGTTGCTCAGTCTCGGTAGAGCCGGGAACAGGATAAGTGGGAGTACCAGTCTCGCCATGCTCAGTCACAGGCTTGGTCTCAGTGACAGGGCAGATGGTGGTAGACACAGCGATGGTCTTGGTAGTGACATGCTGACCGTTGGGGCAGTCAGGAACCTCGGGAGGGCAAGAAGTGACGGTGTATACATTGGTAGTATAGACAGTTGAGGTAGTCCACTGGGTAGTAGAGGCACTACCAGTTTCGGTCTCAACACCAGTATCGGTAGTCTCGGTACCCTTAGGAGGAGGATAGACATCAGTTGAGGTGCCGACGGCAGGCTTGGTGGTCTCGGAAACAGCCGTGGTACCCTGGGTTGTGGGGGTGCCCTCGGGAGGGGGATACGCGTCAGTAGAGCTGCCAACATCGGTAGATCCCTGCTGCGTTACATCGGTACTCTCGGGAGGAGTGTACTCGGAAGTGGGGGTAAGAGCCTCAGTTGTATCCTTGCCGGGCTTGGTGGTCTCGGTGTTGGCAGGAGGAGGATACAGATCAGTTGAGGTTTTACCCTCAGCACTTGTCTCAATGGCAGTAGTCTCGACAGCAGTAGACTCATGCTCAGACTCGGATGGAGTGTTCTCAGGAGGAGGGTAAGCACCAGTTGGAGTGGACTCTTCAGATGTGACAACGGCAGAAGACTCTTGCTCAGTCTCTGTCTTTTGAGTGTTTACAGGAGGGGGATAGGCTCCGGTTGGTGTTGAGGCCTCAGTGGTGTCTTGTCCAGGTTGAGTGTTGGCAGGAGGAGGGTAAGCGTTGGAAGGAGTCTCAACAACAGAAGTGTCTTCGACAGGCTTGCTAGCACTCTCGGTAGCTGCAGACTCGGGAGGTGCATAGTTGGTAGTCTCTTGGTGCTCGGAAGTAGCGACAGTAGGAACCGAAGGAGGAACATAAGGAGAAGTCTCTTGCTCAGTAGGCTCAGTGTTGGCAGACTGAGCGGGAGGAGGATAGAGATCAGTAGAGACGGCCGGGGGTTGATAGACAGAAGTTGTCAAGGCCGGAGGTAGATTGTAGTCTCCCCTTGGCTGGCGACGATAGTCTAAAACACCAGCGTTGGCCGCGCTAAAGGCGACGGCGCTGAGTAAAAAGAAGCTTCTCATCTTTCCTGTTTCAACGAATGTTTGAAGCGAATGAAATGTTTGTTTTATGTAAAACGAAAGTGAATTGTTGCTGAAGAAAAGAATGTGTAACGAGCTGGTGTAGCCTGAATCTTTATACCAATCTCAAGATCGGCTGTCAGGTTACAATTTCAGCTGAAGATGGATTGATTCTCCACGTAAGTCGTACGCGCAAATCAATCATGATCCAAACTTGGAAGCGTCCCCTTGGCCATGCAGGCCCGAAGTGGGAATACGGGCGCTTGCATACAAAACATAGCAGGGTGAGGTCATTCCGGATCTGCCCAAACGGGACTGACAGGGCGGTCAGTCGATGGGTGGTTGGATGAGAGGGAGTCTTTTTGGGCAGAAAGCGCGTGCGTTTTGGTAGTGGATCAGAGACATGGTTGTTGAGCATCCGAGATACCCAGGCGGCTCGGTTCCAAAAATACAGTTGCAGTGCAAACGCTGTGCCGATCATTTCATGATGTGGCCTGTCGTAAAAAACGGAGTTACTGTAGTGCAGGTGGACATGGGGTAGAATTGACCTTGGATAGGCCGCTGAATAAGAAACGGTTCTAACAATAACTAAATGTCTTGAAAAGAATCAAGGTTCACGCACACGAAACATGCACAAGGCCTCGTGTTTGCGACGCACGACTCCGCTGAGGTGCCGTGATTGTGTGCTATTATTGGATCTCTCTGGCCACTCAGCGGCTATAAACAGAAATCGAGGGGCCTGCACGTCTTGGTTGGTTGGGATGATCCCTGCAAGCTTAAGCCCTCATCGAATCATCCAGTCGTAGTCTGCCAAGATGGTCTAGATTAGATCTCCCCCCCAAAAAAGTCCAACCACGTCAATTCACGATTCTGTGCATTAGTTTTTTACGAGATGGAACGAGAATAGAATATTCTGAGTTGTTTTTTTTATTCTTGCAGAAGAAGCGGGACGTGATTCTTTTCTTAGGTATATGCCCTGCTCGAGTCAACCAACAACCTCGTGTTCGGCATCAATTATCCAGCGGGGAAATTCAAGAGAAAATAGATCTGGAAGAGATGGAAATAATTTAGGTTGAAGCGCTTGAGAATAATTGCAAGACATGATCATCATTGATCCTCGAAGCAAATCTTGACCTGAAACAAATGGCTTGGGGGTCTGGCGCTTATTCATCCCGTTTGTTAGCGCGCGGTTCGTTGGGGTTTGGGGCTTTTTGGCAGACGCCACCAGGACCACTGGAATGCGGGCTGCGGATGAACCGTCGACGCCACGTCGCACCATCAGCTAGACTACCCTGGACATAACGAGGAAATTGTAATTTCAATGAAACATTGTTTCGAACTCTATCGTATCAAATTGACTTCGTTACGTTGAACCTTTGTATGAAATGGAAAGTGTTGGCAAGAGTCGAATAATTGTGCAGGGTATATTGAACGTTTTCTAGCCAAAGTCATGCAACCAGAAGAAAGCCATAACACAAGTGGAGAGAGATTTACAAAAGAAAGCTGAAAAATAAATGTCTTTAAGTAAAAACAAAGCTCTCGCCTTGAGCGGATGGGAAGGTTGAAACAAGACGTATTTTTATTACGCAATTGGTATAGTAATATAACATATAGAATAGCCTGATATTAAACACAACCTCATCCCAGACTCTTAAATGCAACCTCTATCCAACTTCAGACATAGATATCGCATGCTTTTAGCCAACTTCTGACGACCCCGTGATTTCTCTTGTCCCTGTTTCTCTACCAGCTTTGCTTAGAACCCGTTTCCTTACTTTTTATTTCCCAATCCGACTCCAAGTTCTGCCTTTTGTACCAGCAGAGTCTTCGCGTCTTAAGTTACAGCATGTCAAACGTAAACTCGCTGTTTTCGACCAAACATTTCTTTTATCGATAACTGCTGATAAGCCTCTCGTATCCACACCAATTAAATGTCTCTTTCTGGAGCCATAGCGTGAAAAAAGCTTTGACATCCCCTCTCGGCCCGCCCTGTTGGTGGAATGATCGGCGACTTCCCAGTGCCTTAAAACGCTGGGAAAACCCCATTCGTCACTCTTTTCGGGCGGGTCCTGCCCTCCATCTGTTTATTCGAGGATACAAACCCCAGAAGCCCATGATTACACGATGAGTAGCCGCGATGAACCGGTGCCAAATATCGTGCTGTCCGACGTCCAGAATTCTATCCCGAAAGTGTATGGTAAACCAACCCCCAGTAATCCTGATCCCGCCGAGTCTGAACTCGTTAACTAGGACGAGAGATACACATGGCAGTTTCTTACGAAGCTGCTTTGGACCTTTTCCTTTGTGATCTGTATTAATATAGGTGGCAATGCTTCTATCTGCAGTCTTTATGATCACTAGATCAATGGCACCTTCACCAGAGAACGGAGAGACAAAGACCCTATAGCGAGAATATTTTAGGGGACCTTTGACAGAAATTTAAGCTCGATTGACTACCTTGTCTACAGTTTCTTGTGCCATCTTATACTGCAATCATCATTCGAGCTAGATAAGACTTGGTCCCTCACTCTTGAGCTGGGCAGAACTCCATATATGAGAAGCTCAGTACCAAGCTGCTGGGGCCGTTTTATACTGTTCTCAGGTATGCTCTCAGTTTAGGATCCATTGATAGTTAAATCTTCTGATATAAAAATTCTATATAATAGTTACAGTATCCCAGTCCTCTTTACTCTCTCTTAGCCTTTTTACTTCACTGCAAACCAAGGCCATCCATCCTACTCTCGTCATATATATAGCACCATTTTCATTTTTTGACGTTAACACTAGACCAAATCCCTCGCCAATTTCGAAATCCCAATTACCCTTATCTTTCTTCAATGCTTCTTCCTCGGCCTCACATTCTGAAGCAGGTGGCGTTGCTTCATAACCACCAAGAAGCAGCACTTTCATATCCATTTCTTCCCACTGGACCGAAGCATTTTGGCCTTCATTGTCCAAGTACAGCGTCATTTCACCGCCCTCACCACTGTACTTTGTGCGGAATCGTGGTTTCGGTCTGAGCCCTGCTCGCTTGAGACTGTTATCATAATCCCCGCCTGGAATCGTACTTTCCATTAGCTGTATTATGGGCCCCCGAACACGCATCGATGCACTATTCACTTGCCCGTACCGATTGTCAGGGTTCTTCAATTCAACCCGCCAGTCCTCTACTATGGCGATTGATCTCCAGTTTGGCTCTGTATTAAGCGCTGCGATGCCTTGAAGGCTTGCCCAGCTCCAGCTTGGCCCAATGTATTGGTTGATAGGTTGGAGTTGTCTCCCTAAGCCCTGCCAAGCCAATCCTTGGACCATCTTGCTTGACCATAGTCCCGCCACGTACTCATCTTTGAGCATAGCGCCTAAAAGATTTGCCATACCACTTATAGCAGGGAACTTGTCTGTAGGCTCGGTCAAATTTCTGTCGCCGTAGGTCCAGAGTATAGACGACCAGGTCTGGAGAGCTTCGCGAGTGGAGCACGTATGATTCATAATAGGACTCAAGTCGCAGTAAGGCGTGTCAGACTTGCAACCATCCTCGCCAACTATGCCATCCCTACATTCGAAATACATTTGCCCAGTGTTGTAGTGAATCGTACGTGCAGCCAATAATCGCTCCTGTAGTGCCCACGCACGCTTCGTAAGAGGCTCGTCGGAAAACTTGGCGCTCAGAAACAGAAGCTCGTCGCTATTCACACCAAGTTGTGCGTGAACGAGGCCAGTACCTGGAAGTGCCAAGTTGGCACTAACACGCGACGGACGAATGTGGAAACAACCTCCCGCCGAATCACTTGCCTGGTTTGCCGCAATGACAAGGTATGCATTGGAGTACACGTTCGTCATTCGCGACGACTCACGCACCCAGTCTTCTGTATCACCTTGGATGATGCAAAGACTATCGATCCAAAGGTATGGTATATCAAGATATCTGGACACCGCGACGGCATCTCGAAAAGTCTTTGGCAGGTCTGCAACCAATATGCCAGACATGTGTGCGTGAAGCGAGGTGCGAGTTGTTTTCAACATTGTTACTAAACCCCAGGAGTGTGATAAAGATGCATACTTTCCCACTGTGCCCGCATCAGGCTCGATAAGCCTGATGCTACTATCACCAATACAGCCGACAGCGAGTACACGAGAGGGTAGGGTTGTTTGGACATAACAACACTTCTCATGACTGTCCTGGCAATTCTTGAGCCACGAGCTCACAACACGGAGGGCACCGGATGACCCTGAATCCTCGCAAAATGGCCGCAAGTGAAGTTTTCTTGCCAAAGGGCTGGCTTCACCAGCTGTAAAAGCAACGCTTGCAAGCAGTAACGCTGCGTGGTCACCGCATGGGATGAAAACAACAAAACCGGGTCCTCTCCCAAGCCTTTGGGTCAGATACAGTCTCTTGTTTGGCAATGGACAATCGTAAATATCGCCCATTTCTTGATAGAAAGTACTGCTATTTCTCCCGGCTTGGCGTCTGTCATTCCAATTTTTAACGGCGTTTTGAATGATGGTGCAGAGAGGGCAATTTAGAGCAGCTGACTTTGCCAATGTGTCGAGATTATCCTGCCAGTAAAGCCCTGAGTCATTAAACCGTAGGATCTCGTTATCTTTCCTGCTGGCATTGAATACGTTCATCTGACTATCGCTGAAGACAAGACGAAATGGATTCCATCCTCGGGGTGCCGGCAAAGCGGAAAAGTCGACGGCACGGCAATAACCGCACAATACCATAGTTGAGAATCACGAAAAAGGCTTATAGTATAGAAGCGGCCGTTTTCTCAACTGGAGTTTTAGTAAAATATGGCGAGGGATCCGATAACATATACGTGGTATGACAACGAGAAACTTGAACAGTCGACAGGCCGCGCCACCACTATTTATGTCAAACAATTCATTTATTCTCCACGTTGCCTAATTTCCGCCTTGGTGCAGGAATGACTATTGCATTACGCCCCATAAAAGTGTAGTGGTGGCTTACATACATGCATCGGGGTTGGCTAGAAAGGGAGGCAACTGCATATGCTTGGTCTTTTTTGCCCGACCTAAATGCAACACTTCACACTTATTCACGTCTCAGACTTGTAGTGAAGAATCTACTTCTCACGGTCAAAAATATTGTTTTGGTGCGGCGACTACCAACTTTACTGCATAATCATGAGGTGAAGGCTTAACTGCAATGGTTATTGAGTAAGGCTATGGGACAGTTGCTCACTGTCAGCTGTCAGCTGTGACAGGACCCCGAGACTGCACTGGCCAATGGGCCACCCTAGCTCTATGTCGTGATACACGCATGCCCTGTTATTGCCGTCATTGCTGCAACTGCCCAGGCCGAGTGGAGATGACCTTCACTGCCTCGGCAAATCAGATAGATTGAATGCTTAAAAGAGCAAAAAGTGATGGAGGGCCTCATTTTCAACGCTCAAGGTCAAAGCACTCGCCAATTTGAGTCAGTCGCCAACGTTAGGCGCAATGAGTGGCCAATCAGGCATGGGTTTTCATATACTGGTTGGCAGGGCGCCTTTTATGTCGGCCACTAACTATAGAGGAATAAATAGCCCTGCACATCGAAAAACGGAGGATTACTTGCCCCCCGTTCTGGAGATTAGCAAACAGTACACCGGTCGCATATCCGTTCTGTTATTTATACCGAAAGATTTACGTATATAACTTTCATCTGGCCCCTTTCCTCATCGATTTACATACTATAGAAGTTTAGGGCACAAATTCCATACTTGAATCATGTAGAACTACCAGCCTTTCCAAGGAACCCAGCAATCGATCACTACATCATCCTCATCGACAATATAATAAACAGAGAAAGCCGCCGCTGTAATGCAAGCATGGTTGCAATACAGACTCAAGCGCTGTCCGACTGCAAAAGCCTCATCAGCTGTGCTTTCAGGCTGTGTCGTACCTAATATCCCGTGCTCCTGCGATAACCGTACCACGCTCCACTCAGGCCTACCCACGACATACCCGAAGCCAGGAAATGCGCTGGTCTCTCTGGATAACGCAACGACGCCTGCGTTTACGAGAGCCTCGTTGCGATCTGGGTACACGCTGCATACCTCGGCCACCACACGCACCGCCTGGTCGGATTCGGAAATGACGCCTGTCGAAACTTGCTGGAGATCGTTGGTGGGAAAGTTCCCTGTACGGCTCATGTTAGCGAAAGGGCTGTTTCGACAGATGGATATCTTGATCACGCAGACACATACCTGCGTGTAATTCCAGCTCTATGTTTATTGGGAGCGCGGCCTTCAAGCTCCTAACCACGTGGGCCGTCGGCGTTGACCCCACCGAAACCCAGAGCTTGCGCGTCGTGGGCAAGAGCTTGGATGCGCTCAAGACTCCCGAGATCTCATCTTGCAAAGTCTTCTCTGCCTCTGCGGGAGAACGCCCGGCATATGAATGGCCGGCATGGCAGTAGAAGCCAGCAATGTTGACAGAGCGAGACTCTTCGGCCTTTGCGACCAGTCTACATAACGAAGATGAATCCGGTTGTATGCCGGCTCTATGCGAGCCGACATCGATCTTGATGAAAATGTCCCACGGCTGTGTTGATTCGTTTTGGAAATTATCTAGGCAAGTGATTTGCTGCTCGTTATCGACCATGAGCTGTATGTCGATGGACTTGCGTAATTGCTGCAGTGCAGGCAAAGCACCGGGGTAGACAGGCATGCCATAGAGACACTTTTCTAAACATATTAGCCTGACGGAGCCAATTTGATAGGCCGTACTAAATATACCTCATCCAAAACACCCTCTTGGACCAAAGGGAGTACTCCACGGATCTCTGCAAGGGTCGAGGCAACAACAGAGCGATATCCTCCATTTGCAAGCATCAACCGCGTAATTTCAAGTGTCTAGGGGATGCCAAAATTGTCAGACTTGGTCGCTTGTGGTGACGGCTAATCCTTGCCTTTAGTGTTTTGACATGCGGCCGGAAGCCGATACCAAGATCGGAAACGTCTTGATGCAGTCTGGCAATGTTGCTCTGCACGATGGGGAGGCTAACTACGAGGGAAGGCGTGGGTAGCTGGGAGACAGATTTGCCAACATAGGCGCGGTGGTGCTCCGGGGAGTGGTCCATTGTCATTGGTGTCAACTTTGATGAGAGATAGTGAGGTATGGATGTGAAGGAGTTGGGTGCTTATCAGTATTTTCCATTCTGCACTAATTAGAGCTACCAAGGTAAAGGAGATAACTGTGCTCCATGCAGTTTCACGCCCTTTGTCCTACCTTTTCGTGTGAATTAATTTGCCCACTCTATCTGATTATGGTCTAGTAAGGGGACAATAAGCATCGGGGACATCTAAAATTGTATGGTCTAATCACGATAGCCATAACTCATGCCCTCGCGGCTGACATCCTGGTGGATCCGCGGAACAGTACCACATTGGCTATCTTAGGCATTCTCAGTAACCAAGGTTTGGACTTGTCCTATTTCAGCCTTCGGTTTAGATCAGCCAACTGTGGCCAATCAAGTCCTTTTCCGCGATCCCCAGATTCGCCTAGTCGCGGCCCATTTCCCCAAACTACCCATCTTATCTTGGAGATGCCTGGGCTGGTAGTGGCAATGTGCTATTACTAGTCTTGATAAGACATGATATGGCCATTTCAGTAGCACCTCTGGCCTGCACGGGTGAACCGAAAGACCCGAGCTGGGGAAGCAGCGGTGGTTGATTGGCATGGAATGATAAGTACTGTGTATACATATATAGTAACATCAGGATCTCTTCCTTGAACTGCCCCCTCAAATTTGAATGAGCGTGATTGTACACAAGCAGTGTCCGCCCCCAAACCATAGACACCATGACGCTGGAAACTAAAGACAACATCTCGAAGGACAATGTTCCAGAGGAAGATACGTCTCTCGGCCACAGCAAGTCCATTACAGGTATGCACCACCTCGCATCCAAAGCGATGCTCCCTGGGCAGTGAACTATACTGATCTCTTCAAATAACAGTAGGACACACACAAGTGCTGCGAAAGAACTTCTCCGTCTTCTCCGTCCTCGGCATAAGCTTCTCCCTCGCCAACTCATGGTTCGGAATCTCGACAGCCCTCGTCACGGGCATAAACTCTGGCGGCCCCGTACAACTCGTCTACGGCATCATCCTTATAACCGTTGTTTGCACCGCCATCGCGGTGTCGCTCTCCGAGCTGGCTTCGGCTATGCCTGATGCGGGCGGCCAGTACTTTTGGACAAGTCAGCTCGCGAGTAGGCGCTGTAGCAGATTCTTGTCTTACTTGACCGGTTGGATTGCGTGGGCTGGCGCTCTCTTCACGTGTGCTAGTATTGCACTCGGTGTTGGCGGTTTGGTAATGGGTTGTATTCAGATGGCTCACCCAACCTTGTAAGTACACCCTCTCCCTCCGTGCCTTATAGTTAGTACAGTTCTGACGCTCTTCTTTGATAGAGTCATCAAACCCTGGATGAACTTTGTCAGCTACCAAGTTGTGAACTTCTTCTGTGCCCTGTTCAACATCTCCAGTACTGCCCTCCCTGGCGTAACATTCTTTACGTTGTGGACCTCAATCATTTCCTTCCTAGTCATCATACTCACCGTGCCATGCAAAGCCGACATGCATCAATCTGCAAAATTTGTCTTCTCCGAGTTCGTCAACAACACAGGATGGCCCAGTGATGGAATCGCCTATATAGTCGGCCTCATCAACTGCAACTGGGCCTTCAACGGGCTTGACTGTGCAACCCACATGGCTGAGGAAGTTCTCAACCCAGAGCGTACCATCCCCATCGCAATTCTTGGTACTGTGGGTGTTGGCTTTGTGACAGCCTGGCTGTTTGGCATCGCCATGCTGTTCAGCATCAAAGACTTTGATGCCGTGAGTAGCACGCCCACTGGAGTCCCTATTCTTGAGCTTTTCGACCAGGCGCTATCTAACAAGTCCGGGGCTATTGCACTGTGCTCCTTGATCATACTCACTGGCTGTGGCTGCTTGATCGCCTCTCACACCTGGCAAGCTCGCCTCTGCTGGTCTTTTGCCCGGGACAACGGTCTTCCCTGTTCCAGATACTTGAGTCAGATACAGCCGACCCTCCGTGTTCCAATTGTGGCGCATGTGGTCAGCTGCATTATCGTTGCCATTCTTGGTTGTCTTTATCTTGCTTCTTATACTGCTTTCAATAGCATGGTCACGGCTTGCGTTGTTCTTCTGTACGCTTCCTATAGTATCCCAGTCGCTTGCCTTCTTCTGATGGGTCGGTCCAAGCTCAAACGTGGGCCGTTCTGGATGGGCAAGGCTGGTATGGCCTGCAATATCGTCCTCCTCATATGGTTGGCGTTCTGCACGGTGGTAAGGCAGTCTGCCGATAGGTCCGTCCAATTCTCCTATACTAATAACATAAGTAGATGTACTCTTTCCCACCGCAGTATCCGGTCCAGGGTGACAATATGAACTACGTATGCGTTGTTTACGCCGTCACATTCGCCGTTCTGATCTCCTGGTGGTATGCTAGCGCTCGTGTCAGCTACCGTCCCATTGCCAGCGCGCAGTAGGTAATGATTCAATCTGGTGGAGACTCTTGGTTTCTAGTTGCCGCTAAAAAGCAATTCGGGTCGCTTTTATATGTATTAGGATAGATTTAAAGGTATTCTCAGATGTATTCGACGTCTCGAATGGTCAATCCAGTGACAGAGGCAATTAAACATGTTAGCCAAGTATAAGTCACAAGAACAATTTACTTTCGCAGATCGTCCTACCTTTGGCTGGTAGGCACGCAAAAGAGAGTTCGTGATGTGAGGTGAATCAGTTATAGTAGTCAGTTTATTTATTATCATGTCATCTAACTACACATTTCTGATTACGGAGACGCACATCAATGCTACTTGACACGACGAGAACAGGGCAAAGAACAGCATATATATTCAGTTACACATCAAAATATATGTCAAACGGTGCGTAGCAAGAACCCTAAGGGGTCACAAACCAGCCGACTGGAGCAATAAACCGTTCAGTACGTCATTTGCTTTCAAGACTGTCTCTTCTCCTGTCCCCCCCTCGCCATTGTACAACCTATGAGAACCACTTAAAACATGGCTATCTATACAGTCTCAATATAGCGCGAAAATTCCCTACGGGCTGGTTAGACGACGCAAAAAAAAAAAGTTCATTGCAACCACTTACCAATCCGTGACAGCTTCTCTCCACTGCCTCAACTCATGGCATCGCGAAACTGTGAAAAAGTCAACAAAGTCGTCGCCCAAGATCTGTCTAGCCACCGAGTCCTTGGCACTGAAACGCTCGAGAGCCGCCTCGAGGGTGTTGGGGAGCCGCTCGGCAGGAATTTCTTTAGGGCGCGCCGACTCTGGAGGGGTAGTGATCTGCATCTTGTTCTTGATGCCACGCAGCCCCGCGTAGAAGATGGCGCTGAGAGCATAGTGCGGGTGGATATCAGCGCCAGGAACGCGGATCTCAAAACGCGTCGCCGAGGGCTTGCAGCTGGGCGGTGCTACGAGACGGATAGAGGCGAGACGATCCTCGAAGCCCCAGCTCACCGATACAGGTGCCCAGTAGTTCTCGACCAAACGCTTATAAGAGTTGACATTGGGTGCAAGCAGAGGCATAATGTCAGGCAGAGCACTGATAATGCCAGCTAGGAAATAGCGGCCTGTGTCAGAGAGGTAGGCCATATCGGGCCAGCGGGCGTCGATATCGGGCGTCTCTTGAACAAAGGCGTTCTTCCCATCACTTGTTGTTAGAGAGACGTGTATGTGACCAGAATTTCCAGGCAGGCCGTGAATAGGCTTCGCCATGAAGCATGGTGTGATATTGTGTTGGACGCCGACCGATTTGCAAACTAGCCTGCCACGCCTATCAGTCCAGTGGATCTACAGCCATGACGGACAAGACAGACTTGAATAAGGCAACGTTGTCAGCCATTTTTGACACCTGTGAAACAGCTAGGGCCTGTATTTGGTAAACGTCAGCAATACACCTCCTGTGCACGCAGTGGAGTCGAGGATATACCGCTTCGTAGACGCATGGCCCGCTTTCGGTGTGCCAGCCCTCGACTGGACAGTCAACCTCTAGACTCTGGTCGAAGATGTCGTGGAAGTATTGCTTGGCCATTATAGGCCTTGTCGCGCTGTAGCCAAACGCGCCAGCTGTCACAGGACGAAGGGCCTTGGGGGCGTTGTGGGCGAGGAATGCTGCGAGGTTCGGATGGTCGGTCGAGCTGCCGTAGCCATCCTGTGACGGTGTCTGAAAGTTCATGAATTCTAGCTCAACTACCAACCAGGATTAAGAATTCAGCTGTCCATAGTATTCGTGCAGCTTGGTGAAACTCACCACCGGCCAGCGCTCTGTAACCAGAGTCGACCAAGTTGTCTGTCAAGGCTTTTACCATCCCGCGGCCATCAGCAAATACGGGCTTCTCATGGATATAGAAGCGAAGAAGAAAGAAGGCTATGTTATCTTCGAAGGGTAATCGCCTGAAAGAATTCAGGTCGATCACAGCCGTGAAGTCTTGGTAGCCGCTGTCGGCGCTCGTCAAGCTCGTCTCTTGGGTGTAGAGAACATCGTGCATGTCCCAGCCAAAGATGGCCGAACTCATACCGAACCCAGACTCAAGGCTGGACAAGAACTTGCTCTTGTGGATAATCTTGCCGCGGAGTATGCCATCGCAGTCGATGCCGGCCACTTTGACCTTTTTATCACGAGCCAACAGCTTTGTAATCTCGTCGATGGGTGATTCCATAACTTTACCATTAGCCATATTACTCGCTACAGTATTGTGTGCTGAGTCGCCATAGTTGGTCATAGTTGCAATGAGGGTGAGAGTAAGGACCAAAGGAAGAGCAGTGTCGTGTAATAAGGGGAGCTAGTCTGCTTCGTAGCCAAAGTAGGTATGTTGGACAAGATTTGATCGTAACGTTCTTCTTACACAATTATTATACAATAATGCTCCGAGATCAACTTTGTACCGAGGCATCAAGATGCGACGCCTCGAAGCTAACCCAGTAAATCACCAAGATACCCCCATTGTGAAGGATGTTGGTCATATCTAGCAAGGGACCAATGAAAACCATTTCCGCCCATGATTGAGTGGATAGCACTTAGAATGCAAATAGATCTTCGCCACAACCGGCTAGACTGGTCATCTTCGAAGGGAATTTAGCGCGAGCACCGGTACCCATGATACATACTGTTACTTGTCCGCGCTCTAAGAAACGGGATAGGTTTAGATCTCTCAAGGGTCGATCCCCGGTCGAGAGACTTTGCGCGTTTCTAGAGTTTTGTCCGCATCATCAACTCAAGATATCACTCAAATCGGGGACCCCAAGACTTTAGCGCCTTATTAACATTGTTAGTGACATAGAGTTACCTCCTGAGCGCGCGCTCACTACAATCCATTACACATGCGCGCATGTCGATAAGAGCTAGGTTGGTGACGTGTATCAAATTGACTTTTGCTGAACATGCTAGTGCTGATTGCCGGCTCCGTTGTTCAAGATGCATAGACCTTCTGTGAGCAGGTATGTACTCTTGATCTCATTTGCTAAGCAGACTTTGGGGCACATATATTATCCGACAGACCCAAGCCAAGTACTCTAAAAGCTGTAGGAGGAACAGGTTGACCAGTCACATCGAACTTGCCACTGACCGAGCGCCTTTGGCCTCTCCCAACTGTTGATGTCACGCACTGAAGCAAAGATTTATCTATAGTAAAATCGCCTTTAGTGAAATTATAAATCGTATCTATCTAATTTACATATCTAGGCCTGAGCCTCCTTTACATGGTAGCTCTTGAGTTTAACAAACGCATCGAAGCCACGAGGTCCCAGTGTACACCCCAAACCAGACTTCCCCCATCCAGTCCAAGCAAGATCCTAATTGGCTTCTGTTAGCAGCCTACCTAAGTCATCTTCATCTGGGAGCACTCACAGGGTTGGGGTAATCACATCTATTGACAAAGACGGTACCAGCTTCGAGCTGATCAATGAGCTCCTCCCCACGGGCGATATCCTTGGTCCAGATACTGGCGGTCAAGCCGTAGTCGCTATCGTTCATCAGGCGTAGAGCTTCCTCATCATCATTGACTCTGGCAACGGGGATCACGGGACCAAACGTCTCCTCGCGCATAACAGCCATGTCATGCGTGACGTGGGTCAAAAGAGTGGGAGGGACGTAGTTGCCAACGGAGGGGGCACTGATGAAGCTCTCGTTCCTAGGCGTCGCATCCACGGCGCCCTTGGCCAGAGCATCCTGGATCTGGGCATTGATGTTCTCCTGTGCGGCGCGGGAGATGACTGGCCCTACCATAGTGTCTCTTTGTAGAGGATCACCGAGCCTGTAACTGCGAATGTATTAGCCAGAAGAACCAAAAGCGCTCTCAGGGTCATTCGCCTACCTCTTGAGCTCTTCCTGGACCTCATGAACAAAGTCATCGTGCACATCTGTATGGACATATATACGCTCGATAGCACAGCAGCTCTGGCCGGAATTAAAGACAGCGCCATCAACCAGTTGAGCGGCGACGTACTTAAGGTCTGCGTCAAGTCGAATGTAGGCTGGGTCATTACCCCCAAGCTCCAGATTGACAGGAATGGTGCTTCCGCTGGTAGCTTCACGAATGGCCAGGCCTCCGACTGTAGAACCAGTAAAGCTAACAAGGCCAAGCTCAGGGAGCTTGACAAGCTCCCTGAGTGCTTCCGGATCCCCGGATTGGACGACTTGAAGGACATCCTTTGGCAAGCCAGCCGTGTTGAAGATATCGACGAGGTGCTCGGCAACGAGAGGTGTCTGGGGCGAAGGCTTTAGAATGACCGAGTTGCCTGCCAGCAGAGCTGGAATGAGGGCGTTGACGATGATGAGATAAGGGAACTAGATAGGTAGAGTAGATGAGATACCGTCTGTTGTAAGCAACATGATAGAGTACCTACATTCCAAGCAAAAACAATAAGGGTTGGCCCGACGGGAATCTTCTTTATCTTTCTCCGGAACCCCTTCTCAGGGCGTCCCGGCAGACTCTCCAGTGCCTCTCCGGCGATATCGAGGAGATAGTCAGCACGTTTCTGCATGGTCTCGATCTCCTTGTGGCTCGCGGCGACAGGTCGACCCATGTGCTCAGCGAGTTCGCGGCCGAGCTCGAACTTCCGCTCCTGAATGCCAGCGAGACCCTTCTCCACTATCGCGCGTCGCTGGGCCAAGTCGAGCTTGCGGAAGGATTGGAAGGCGACCAGAGATCGCCGAGCTATGTCCCGTGCCTCATCGAGGGAAGTCTCTGGAGTTTCACAGACGATTTTATTTGTTGAGGGGGAAATGGTCTTGATGGAAGCCATTATCTCTGATGAAGCGAATTGTCACGAAGAAGATGACAGACTAAATCGAGCCGGTGGGCGATATTGTAAAGAGTATGATGTGTTTGTTTCGATGCCGTTTACTGGGCGTTAAATATACAGAAATGAGGGTTCCTGTCGTGATACAGCGATTTGTTGACTAAGAAAACTGACGGTCATAGGTTTCCGGTAGACGGCGGACTAGTTACTTCATACAGACGCGTATTGGTGGAGCATGATGGACTTGGAACGGAAGCGGAAGCGGAAAAGGAGGTGATTGGTGATGGGCTGCTGCCATCATGACCTGCCACGCGTGATGCCCTGTCTATGTAGATTATGTAGCTCCCCTGAAAGAAGCTGGTACTGTACCAATGGGCTAGTAGGTACTGTAGCTGTTCGCCCAGCGAGGTGAGTGAGTGGTGCCGGGAAAAGTCCGACGAGACAACCGATAAGAACTGGAGAGAGCTAGCTAGGGACCATTGTCCAATCACATGTCGAACCGCCCTTCAAAAAAGGGTCCAAGTATTCTACTGCAGTCACCAGTTCGGGATAACGAATTCGCCTTGACCGACAGTCCCATCTTGTGTCTACGAGAATGACGAGCGCAAAGCCATACCACAGTAATTCGACCGCCATGAGCAATTCCGAACCCCGCGTCTGCATGAGGCATTCCATGATTGTATGTATAAAGCACGCGATACTTACCTGATGCTATACTACCCTGATACATTCAGCATTCTCATTGCCTCGATAGTTCCAGCCGTAAACCATCCCTCCAAAGCTCCTTGGACATACATTCCACAATGGTTGGGCGACTTGAAGGAAAGAATGCCATCATCACTGGCGCAGCTGGGTACGTTTTAAAATCCTCATTCTAGTGATTTTGTTATAGCTGCTCACCTCCAACAGCGGCGTTGGCCTCGAGTCCACCATCCTCTTCCTCCAACACGGCGCGTCTGTCCTCATGACTGACATCAACAACGCCGCCCTCGAACGGGCCCTCAGTAAAGTCAGAAGCGTTGTACCGAATCCCACCGGCAAAGTAGAGACAAAAGTCGTCGATGTGTCCAAAGAGGAGCAGGTCGAGGCAGCTATCACACATTTGGATTCCTGGGGCGGCGTGGATGTCATGTTCAACAATGCAGGAATCATGCACCCCAAGGATGGCGACTCGGAGGAGTGTCCAGATAGCATCTGGGACTTGACGTTTGATATAAATGTCAAGGGTGTCTGGTACGGCTCGAAGCATGCCGTGCGGTCGCTGAGGAAGCATGGCAAGACCAAGGGCAGCATTATCAACACGGCTAGCATGGTCGCTATCGTTGGGGCTGCGACCCCTCAGGTTGCTTATACAGCTAGCAAAGGTGCTGTCCTTGCTTATACGCGCGAGATGGCTATTGTTCACGCACGCGAAGGCGAGTTGAACTTCACCCCAGTCTAATCACAAACAAACTAACAGTCAGTCATCTTGCATAGGCTTCCGCTTCAACTCGCTGTGCCCTGCACCACTCAAGTAAGTCCCCAATGTCGTCGACTTGTACCATTCAAAAGCAACCCTGACCACTAACGTTGTCGTTCCAATCAGCACACCCATGCTTCAGGAGTTCCTCGGCGACGACAAGGCCAAGCGATTCCGCCGCGAAGTCCACTTCCCTACCGGTCGATTCGGTGAGGCTATAGAGCAGGCGCAGGCCGCAGTCTTCCTTGCCAGCGATGAGAGCAGTTTCGTCAATGCACATGACTTTGTTGTTGATGGCGGTTTGACCAAGGCATATGTCACGCCCGAAGGTCCTGCCACTCAGGCCCCCAGGAACCAGGCATAATGCAGTCTCGCAGCTCATCTGATAGTATAATTGATATCTACTGGTCATACACGAATGTCCTCAAGCAAATGATATCCATATTTCGTGCTCGTACATGATTCGACAAATGATCCAAGGGCTCTGTTCCCTCTGAGGTCGCATCCATATGTGCTCTAGCAAGGATAATGTGGAAGATATGTTACCAAGCCCAATTGTAAGAAACATCGTCTGTAGACGCTGTCGAAGAGTCTCTCGTCGCTCCTCATCGGTGGTGCAGGATCCAATGACCGCCAGCGCCCAACACATACTTGTGTTGATGCGCGCAGAGGCTGGAAGCTGCTCGAGGTATATGAACGCGCTTGCTAGTATATGCTCCAGGCTCATATGCTGCGTCACTTGTCTTTCATCACCGACTCCAAGAGCTGTGATCAGGTAGAGATGGAGGGCCTGTTGGAAGATGTAGCCGCAGATGGTGACCTCGGAGCTTGCTGAGGGCGATGGGACGAACGAAGTGATCTCGAACTGGAGACTGCCGAAATTGAGGAAGTCATCTGCCGCTGGGAACGGCGGGTCGACACTAGCTGCTACTCTTCGGTGACCAAAGTCGAATATTCGTGGGATGAGAAGAAGCAACGAAAGCCATGAGCCGCAGAGCTGGCCCACGTAGCCAGATCCAACCAAAGATTGAGCCTTGTGCTCTAGATCGGGCGACAACACAAGCCTTGTACTTGCTGATGGGTCTGTAGAGATCATGCTGATGATTGCAGTGTAAACGTAGTACTCGGTGACGAAAGCGCACAATCCGTCAGGAAGAAGATGAGGTAGCCTTGTGAGCAGATCTGTAACTAGAGGCCCGACTGCTTGTATATGATCAAAGATGACACCGTTGGTATCGCCCTTAGCGGTCTGATAGAGGGAGTCAGCTCATCGGATCGATTCTCAGATAAGAGGCAATCTAGCATACCTCGGTAAAGCACATGATCAGCGCGCCGATAGTAACCCAGAGCGGATTTGATTCGGTGCCAGCCAGGTATTCATTCACAGCCTTACGAAACAGACGAATTGACTTGGTATAGTAGGTATGAGCTATCGCTTCCGACTGATCCCCTACATCCAAGACGGCTCGATGCGAGGCACTCTGCGAGAGCATGAGCTCACGAACGATGGGATTGGCGAAGGAGAGCGGTATAAGCTGGACGATGAAGGGGTTTGCTGTCGTTGAGCCATTGCCCATGCTCACTGCCGTGCGATCTAGATAGTGGCCCATCAACTCAAATGCCTGCGCATCTAGGCCAGGGAGGATCGATGGGCTGACATGGGGTGGACTGGGCTCGATGAGGGCTCCTTGACCGAGATGGGCCCCGGACAGACCGATGAGAGCATTACTGATGGTGTCTTGGATGGCCGGCTCCTCAATCGTTTCATCTGCCTCAGTTGCTTGTATAGCCTGTATTTCTGTCTGGGTCTCATCGGCGAGGCCATAATCCACATGGTCGAGGTCATGGTCAGCAACGGAAATATCTGTCGCAGGAGCGACAAAACAGTGCTCCAATGGGGGATCAAAGGCACTACTGCTGCTCTGTAGCCGAAGAAGATCGGACTCATCATCATTCTCATGATTGGCGTTCAGGACTGGAGGCTGCTCCAATGCCTCTTCTACGCCCATTTCGACGCCAAAGCTCTGTGGAGATGGAGTCTGGAGACCACCTAGAGTCGGAGTTTGGACCGAGTGCTCCAACCTCGGTGAGTCGTTGGCGTTTGGCAGAGACTGTGGACTGGGCCATCGGCAGGGTATCTTGTTGCGACGGCACCCAGAGCAGACAGGCCGTACCTCGTCACATTTTTTCTTGCGGTTCCGACAAGTGAAACAGCCTGTCTTGACCCTGAGGATCGGCTTGCGGCGCGCTCGAGTCCCGCTGGATGGGGACTGCATCGCCTGTGCTGACATTTTTGGTAGGGCTTTGGTTTCTGATTGCAGCTTTGCAGAGGCGGGGTACAGTACGGTACAAGGACGCACCACTAATGCCAGCTTAGCCGTAACATTACGTACCAAATCACGTGTCAAGTCTTACTTGCCAAAGTCAGGCTTCGAGTCGCAGATAAGGATTTTGTTGCGGGCCGCGACTGGTTTAAAACCTGGAACGGCAGATTCGACATGGCGTTTGTGAACTTTCATGAGATTCTGTTCAGCCTCATCAGCTCGCTTGTGCTGTACCATCTGCAGCCAGTTCTTACCAGGGTAGTAAGGCCGAACATATCCTCCCCAGCAGGAGTCGGATTTACATTCTCAACCCCAATCTGTCTGGTTAGCAGCTAAGTGTCAGATGTTTGAGAGCTAACGTACTCGTGGTCCCGTTGCTAGAGATGCCAACGTGGCTCCTTTGCGAACTGGATTGATTGATGGCCTCAGCAAAAGCCCAATACCTTGGCTGTATTCCGGCTACCATCAAGATTTCGAATTGTGGTCAAGATTTGTTGTACCCATACTGGATACTTATCGTAGGAAGTGCCTAACAGATTAAAAGTACCTCCCGTAAAAATAATCAAGTCGTACTTGGTACAATTGTTAGGCTCACGCCAGCTGCACTCTGAGCATATATAATCACAGCTATACCCATGCTATCAGCATCTCCTCCAGCAGAGCATTGTTTAACCCCATATTGTCTACTCATCAAAATCACCGAAGATGGAGAATAAAAAGAGCAGACAGAGTCAAGATGGACCTGAGAAGGATATTGACGTTGGGGAAACGCAGGAAACACAATCTGACGTAGGTCTTGAGTATTACCGCCAGTCTCAACTCATGGACCCTGCGCGACGAGAAGAGGTAGCCAAAGAAGGTTCTTAAAAAAATCGACTTCATCTTGCTTCCTAGCGTAGGTATATCCTCTTTCTTTATTTTTTTGTTGTTGTTGTTGTTCCCGTAATTTATTAGTTTTAGCTAACCATTTCTCTTATAGATGTGCTTGATCTATCTGTATCATTCCTCGATATGCAAACGCTCAATTATGAATCTGCATATGGTCTGAAGAAGGATCTGAATCTCGTTGGCAACAATTACTCGTGGATTGCCTCCGTCACAAACATCGGGTACCTGGTAGGCTCGTACCCATCCAGTATCTGCCTACGAAATTTTGCGATTGGGAAGTTTATCTCTTGCGTGCTCGCTTGCTAGGGAGTTCTGCTGGTCTTTAAAGTCGGCGCAAAGAACTTTGCTGGCATGATGGTGTTGCGTTTCTTGCTAGGAGCACTGGAAGCCTGTGTTGGTCCGGCTTGGATGCTCACCGCCAGCATGTTCTGGAAGCGCGATGAGCAGCCTTTGCGGATGTGTATCTGGCTTGGCTGTAATGGTATTTCCTTGATGCTAGGCGCCGGTCCCTCTTTGGGTCTTGGTCATACTGAGAATACACATTTGGAACCCTGGCAGCTTGTCTTTATTGAAAGCCTAATGCAAAGCGATAATAGCGGCACGACCTCTAATATAATCTTCTTATATGACATTGGTGTTGTCACTATTTCTGGGGGCTGTATCGCATTCTTCTTCTTCCCTTCCAGCCCCATTGATTCCAAGCTATTCACCCATGAAGAAAAGTTCTTCTCTATCTGGCGAATCGCCGACGACCAAACAGTTATTAAGCACAGCACAGTGCTCCACTATCTGATCGAAGAGGCGCTTTTAGAACCATGCGTCTGGTTTATAGCTGGCCAGCAAATTGCGATAGGCATTATCAATGCTGGAATCACCAATTTCATATATGCTCTTTTGGCTGGTTTTGGCTACAGTCCTCACCAGGTCATTTTTTCGCAGCTCCTGAACGGAGCATTTCAGCTAGTCATGACTATATCTGCGGGAGCTATCGCCTCGAACGTTCAACACTCCTCCATCCTCTGCGCCATAGCTATCCATATCCCATCGCTCGCAGGCATTTTGGGTATTGCCCCGATCACGATCGAGCACCGCTTAGCACTCACTGCCTGCTGTTGGTTGCTCGGTATCATCGGCACCGCTATTATCCTAAACTGGTCTAACATCCCGGGACATGCCAAGAGAATGACAGTCAACGGTCTCAACTTTGTTTGCTACGCTAGCGGAAACATTACAAAAGGAGACCGGAAGGCCCGTGGGAATAAACTCAATTTTGACTTTATGATATTGGGGACTGCTGAAAAAGCCGGTTCACATGCCGAGGCTACTCATAGCCCCTGTAGCCCATGACATAGAGTTTGAAGATCTATCCCTTCTGAGAATAAAGATAGTCCAAAACGTCAAACTATAGAATCAAGCTTTAGGCAACTTCCAAAGGAAATAACATCTACGGCAGTTGAGACAGAAGATATTCCGTCAAACAGCTAGCTAAAGGTTATTTACAAATCTCGTATATCGACCAATAGCTTGGCTGGGGCCGAAAACCCCGATAATTTATCAATCGGCGATAGTCAAACTGGAGATGTTTAGGCTCCTCCCTAGAGCTGATTTTGAGGCTAGCTAGCTCGCTTGGAACGTTATGAGCCAATGATCGACGAAGCCCCATCGGACATCTCAGGGTCTCGGGCCGAGATAGCATCATGGTTTTTAAACTTCTGCTAAGATCAATTGGTTTCGGCTCTTGACGACCTTCTAGAACAAGCCTAGAAGACGGCGTGGTAAAATGAAACTTGGGGATTTGTCTCTACCATTCCTATTTCGTGCATGAGAGCAGTGGGGTTCAGCAGGCTTGAACGAAGGAAACCGTCTTGGTTCGTGGAGAAATGTCAAGCTTCGCAAAGGTCATGATCCTGGAGGCCAACGCGCGTTTCGGGTCTTGAGTCAGTATAGGCACAGAGCTTGCACATGTTGACGGCAGATGCTATAGTCGAAACAAAGATCTGCACAGCGCGATCAACGTCGCAAGGACAAGTAAACTCAGTTTATCTTTACTGCACTCATGAAAATCTTGCAGGAGCATGTTCGTAAGAGCGTTGCCAGAGTAATAAGATAGTATAACAGTCTTGTTATTATGTACCTATACAACTTAAAATGGTCAGATTACCTAGTTGCTATCAAATGCCGTCTAATATGCAAAGATGCCATCATTCAACGTGTTATCGCTTGCTGTACGCGCCCTAAACCCAGTAGTTATGTCCTTGGCCCGTCTAAAATTTACCCCGAAACCGTTTTTCTTTTTGACCATTTTTGAATGAAATTCTTGTGCTCCATCTAATCAGAGTCCTCCTCCTCAGGCATCGGCCTAGGATTGCAGATGATTGTGCCAGCCCACGTGATGAGATTTCCCTCTTTTCCGTCTCGCGTATCGATGCTCTCGCAGCCGCCCTGTGCGGCAACGGGTGCTTGTGACAGGACCTTTGCGAAGAAGTTCTTGGCGGCTTCGTTGCCTGCTTCCCACTGGAAGACAACACACTCGTCCATCTTGTCGCCGGGTTCTTTTCCGGGTGCGACGACGGGGACTAGTTGGTGTCGTCGTCGCTCACGAGGTAGATCCCACCACGAATTCATGACTGCCGTCCAGAGCTCAGTGCCGTATCCCTGGCGGCGGAACTCTGGTTTGATGAGGAACTCGGCTTCTGGCCAACCAGAGATCGAGGAGGACATGGCTAGGACGTCTGGCAGGCCACCCTCGCCTATGAGCTCATTGGTCGATTTAAGAAAGGCGCCAAACCACCAGTGGCTTTGGTCGTCCTGAACCAGAGAATGGAGTTGTCGTTCAGTCTCGTCCTTGTCTTTGGTTGCGCGGCCGCGAGCTGTTGAGTGGTTCTGAATGTCAGGACGTTTGCGAAGCTCATGAAATGCATCCAGGTCGTTCATTGTGAGAGGTCGGATAAGCAGACGCTCAGTCTCCAGTGGGGGCCGGTCCGAAGCGCTGGGAATGGGTCGCTCCGGCAGAGTGACTGAGTAACTGAACCATGGCGTCATGCCAAGGTTCTCAAAATCCTCAGCAGTGACGAAGACTTCAAGAGGGGGAAGGGCGTGATGAAGAGGTGCCATCGTTTCCATAATGAAGCTGTTGTCAAGAAATGGCAGATACTAGTGGATGAGAATGGGCTTTTGGATGATTTCTGGAAATTGGAGTAGAAATGGAACTAGTCTAGCAGGAGGGAATAAATAAGTGCCGAGGCCTGTCTCTTTTAAAAGGATTGTCTCGTATGATGTCGATTTGGTTAGCGACGTTACATAGCAACACGGCAGAAATGAGCGGTGAGTTGTTCTCGCATTTCAGTTCTGACAGGCCCCAAGGAACGCGAAAAAAGCCGTTGGACTGGAGAAAAACAAGCCCCCGGGATTGAGGATTTCACATGCAGGGATTGCGCGTCGGTTAAGCAAACATGTTCCTGTAGCTAGGGTCCTCCCCCTCCCAGTGGACTGCACCTCGCAAATAACAAAATACAACATGACTCCACTAGGATTCTGCGGTATTTGATTTGTCTCCGTTCTTTTTTGCACAGTGAGACACGCCAGAAGAGGAACAGAGTTATCTCCTGAAACTGGAGACTGAGGGTAGGACTGCCGAGACTACGGTTTGTTTGGGTTTGGGGCGGGATGCATGCAAGGCGAGAGAACAACGCTAGCGTAGCACTCGGGCCCCTGACACGTATTGAGGGTCACTGGCGTGTTTGGCAGGACAAGGTTTCAGTACCGGGTATTTCTGGTGGACAGCGTTGCAGCTGTTGGTTGTAATGGCGTTGGGCCGTGCATATCTTTACTGCAAACTGCTTAAACACAGACCGGAATACAGTGCCGTTCGCCATTGCTCTTTGGGCGTTGAGCCTGGGATACTGAGGCGTCGATCACGATTGTCTGATAGGTGCCGTGTCTCACTTTGAGTCAATAGAGACAGTGGCTATTGGTCGCATGAATCAGCTGATGTCAAAGCACTGCGATCCGACATGTTGAATCGCCTCATTGACGAACCAACAATGATACCCTACAGGCCATGTTCATATCGCGCGGTCATTCCCCGTCTCTGAGAAAACAACATGTTATAGATCACATCAGCGGGTATGAGAGGTCCACAGGTCAGAATGATCGTCGAGGTATTCCTTGCGCGTTTCGCTCGGGAAAATTGCATCCGTTGGGTGCATTTTCGTAAAGAAGAGTATGCGAGATGACGGCTCCTAACGGTGTACATAACCAACTAACCAAACCAAACCACCACAGCTTCATATCCCCCATCATGGAAATAACGCAGAATACTAAACACCCAAGCTTTCGGTAGACATAGGGCTGATACATATCCCATTCCACTCATTATCAACACCTCACTCACCTCATATCGACTCTACCCGAGCAATAGCCTTAAAACCGTTCGGATCCGCAACCCCCTCTCCGCACACGCACACGGTGCAGTGCGGCCCCTGTCACCTCATCCCGCGCCGGCGCGCACCCATTTAGGGGGGAACAGGCTAGGTAACACCCGCCCCTAGAAGATTCCAGTAAAAATCAAATCACACTGTCAAGAAAACACGCGCATGACTGTGCCGCTCGCCCCGTGACAAGCCCGGCCCTTCTTCCCAATATCACGGTACCGGTAAGCTAAGCCTCTAGGGTTCCTGTCAACTGCAACGTCGTAGGTAATAAGACGTGAAACACGAGTGGGGGTCTGTTATACCGAGGAGATATTGCTCCAGATTGTAATTATTTCTCACGTGTATTTGGCCGTATAGTTGCTGTCACACCGCAATCTACGAGTGAGAGACAACTATTCTCTATACAACTCTGTCATGTATCATGGTAACGTCTCATTACAACATATCCACTATATATCCCAGAACCAACAACCAACAACCAGCAACCAACAACCCTCGAGCCAACATCAAGCAAATGGCAAATCCTGTCGATTAGACGAAGAGTCACACCCCGCGAAGCGCCACCAATCCTGATGCGTACGAACAAACAGCCACCGAATAGCAACGAGCGCAATCCAAGGAAGAGGAGGGAAATCCGCCCAGATACCGCCCTCAAAGTCCTTATCGTGAAGAATCAACGCCAGCGGCAGAATCTCGTTACGATGAGACGCTTTCTTCATGGCGTTAGAGCCTATCTCGGCCCCTGTCTTCTCGAACCACGCTCCCCAGTCGCACTTGTCGGCGTACTTCTCGAGCCCGACAAGGGTGTCGATTTCGTTGTGCAGATGTGTTGTGAGGGAGGGCATGAATGAGTCGATGATTTCTCTGACCTTTGAGCCGTCGAGGTCTTCGTCGCCTTTGCGGATCTTCTCGATGTAGGTTGTGAAGCGATGTAATCCCTCGTGGAATAAGCGGTGCTCCTCGATGTTGGCATCCATGAGGCCTGGCACGCCGGTGATTCTGTTGATTTCTGGAAAGATCTTTTCTTCTTCGATATCGTGATGTTCTTGGATTTCTTGGCTCCATGCCCAAGCGAAGCTGGCAAAGTCCACCTTGTCTTTCTGCGTCCCTTTCTCGGCGACGTTGATTGCTTGGAGGTATATGGCGTTGACGCCGCGCAGGAATAGGTTATGGACGACAGCCATGCCTGCCGCGCATTTTCGAGCACCTTCAGCGCGCTTTTCAAGCTACGCGTGAGTCCGATCGTTAGTGACTGTACCCTTATGGTGGCGTCTTCCAGGATTCATACCGAGTCACCTGCTTTTGACGCGCTGATGAGCTCAAAGGGGCCGTCGACCCATGGCTTCTTGGGTGCTTCCATGATAATAGGCCACAGAAATTTTGAACAATAAGTCCAGCATTTCTAAGGACAGCGATGCATTAGTTATATGCTCATTATAAGAGGTGCAGCAACACATTAGTGCTGACGTGGGATGTCTGGATAGTAATCAGTAGGTCCGTAGGGCAACCAATCATTAAGTTGACATCGTTTCTGACGTGCATCTTTCTCATCCCGACTTTAATTTCCTATAAATTGATGATATGACATCAAGAAAAACACCCAGTCGCGTGTGATACTGTTTGTCTTTCCAACGATTTTGATGCTGGCTTGCACTGCTCTATGTCTTTGAGAGCTGGATATTCGCAGCGCTGGACGCCTGAGCAGGATGATCTCACGATCGCCTCATGGCCCAAGCTTGCTGACTCAGATCTAATGGAGAACTGCTTATAGGCTACTGTTTATCCTAAAGCTTATCGGGCCAATGCCATCGTTCCAAGTGGAATCTGTAGAATCCTTGCCTAGTCGATGCTCAGACCAGACGTGTCTCGAACTCCCAAATACTGGGTCAAAAGTCCCCGCCGAGAAGCGACTCCAAGCGGAATTATAATGGTCCCGATATCCGATAAAATCAGCTGGAGGAGAAATACGATGTGACCAAATTCCTGAGAATTCGATGAAGTGTATGTTCAATATGGCCTTATATAGTTAGTGCCTGGAAAAATAAAGCGACAGGTAATCCGGATGCTCATTGCTCAAGGTCAGCCGAGACGTGATGGTTATGTATAGGGTAAATTTGTCACTGAAGCCAGAGTCACTATGATCTGCTCAAGAGAGCGAAAGGGGGTATTATATCTCGAGTCTGGTTGCAAAAATATCAGTGAAGCTTATTGTTATAGCTCTTTAAGTGATGTAGCTGTTGAAATTGTTGTCTGGGTCCGCGTTTTACAAGTATCTGGAAGAGATGCTCCCATACCATTTCTCCCGCTTTGCGTCTGAAGCATGAGCTTGAGAAATTTGGTTAGTCAGCGGAACCAATCTGAAAATAGGTCCAGGACCAAAACCCTTCACGTGTCACAGCCAGTGCCTCGGCTTCTTTTGTTCCGAGTCTTATCAGATCGGATCAGAACATCGCGCCCGACTCATAAAATCCAAGCCCCGCCAAGTCAAGACAAGAGAACTACCGATTGTCAACTCTTGAAATCTTCTTGATTCTGCCAAGCCCATCTCAGCTTGACAAGTTCTCTAGTGGCGCGCGCCGTTGAATGTCACAAGCAATAGCGACGACTTTGGCCCAGCGCTAACATCTTCGCGCTATTCAGATGGATCCTGTCATAGCCAATGATGCGTATTCCGTCCCCACCGCACAGACATTTAGGCGAACTTTCCGTCGTCTTGGCAGAACGCCAAAGTTGTTGTCTCTGCGCGTGGAGACGCAGGCATCGTGATAGCGTGACCTGCGGAACTGGGCGCTATTGTCTTGGGCATCTGTTGTATCGTTACCTCTATCACGCTTGGCCAGCCACAACTGGGGCTGGCTTGGTGCAGAGCAAAGAGAAAAGAACATCACGCCATGTTATCGATAGAGAGAAAGGGAGCATCAGTAGTAACAGGATAGCGTCACGTTCGTTACTACATGAATTGATCACCAATTACATTATCGTATCCTCCAATCATGACCAGTATCGCGTATACCGTTAGAAAGCCTGCAACAGGGAACCTCCCTGAGAATATTCCCTTTAGATGCTGGTGCCAGATGCACCATCTGTAGCCAATTGATGCTTGCGCGCGTTATCCTCCATGCGAGCAATTCGCGAGTTCCTCTTTGTCTGCTGTCTACGACGCAAGAAGAACAGAATCGCACCAGCAATCAAGACAACACCAGCGATAGAACCAATAACAATACCAGCAATAGCTCCACCACTCAACTTATTCGACTTGCCCGACTTGCTCTCCGCCTCAGAAGCATCAGAGCTTTCAGAAGATGTAGACGGGTGAGTCGCAGTTGGGCTGGGTCCAACAGTCGCACCAGCTGCCTTGTCATCATCACCGGGCTCAGTGGCGTTGAAGCAGGGGATCGCAAACTTGAACTCGGACTTTGTGACAAAGGTGATGTCGGCGCAGGCATAGAAGGTCTGGTTGTGAGGTGCGTCCCAGTCTGCGCGGTAGATGATTTGCAGAGTTGCGTTGTCGCCGGCTGAGACCTTGGAGGGGGCATCGGGGACTTGGACGCAGGTATGACCTGGGTTGAGATCTGTGATGCTCTTTTCCTGGATCAGGGTTTCAAAGTCATCATTGGACTGAGGATCTACAGAACGCAAATTGAATCAGTACAATTCATAGACGATTGAAAGATGAGGTTTCTTACCTTCCGAGTACGAGATGCTGATCTTGGTGTTGTAGTAATCATCTTGAGCGACCAGAGACACAGCACCGCCAGCTAAAGAACAAAGTTAGTGAATTTTCTAGCAAAACAATCGCCTCAAGAACAAATGAGTAAGAGGCAGACCTACTCATGGGAAAGTTGGTCCTGTTTCCAGCAGATGCTCGTGAACCACAAGGAGCCTTGTTGTCCATGTCCCCAGACCAAACACGGTCCGGGGGCCACATGAAAGCGGCAGGTCCCATGTCCTCATCCTTGACAGTGGCATCCGTAGGAATGTCATCTTGCCCAAAGGCAAAAGACGCCAGAGCCAGAACAAGCAGATTCTTCAACATGATGACTGAGACGACAGAATGACAAGAACAACACGAGACGTGGCAGAGACTTTGGAAGACCGTGGTTACTGTTCTCTTCCTACAATGAGGGGAAATCATGCTCGAGATATACACCATTTCACGGATACACCATCTTCACCTGGTACATGTGACACTGCGGGACTTTTGAACCGCCAAGTAGCACACTGAGCCCTTTGAGGCAAGAGAAATGCACTACGACTTGGCCGTTGACATCTGATTGACCCATCCGGCAATCGTGTGCCACCTAAATCCGGTGAACATCAACATCCCCCTGCTTATCAGATGATCAGATAAGATTTTGATGCATCCCGACGCTCCCATTGGCGCGACACGCTAACCGAGGACCGCAGCTAGACCCCTTTGGGGCTAACGGCGAGGATTAAAGTTGGTGCGATATCGGATATACAGGTCTAGAGTATGCACTTTATCTTGGCATCAGGTCATGAAATGCTGGGCTGGCCAATCAGTGGTGTTGAGGGTGTAGCTAGGTCTTCGGTGTTCTCGGGATGGGACGGATAATTGACCGGAATGCAATTTCCTGTTTTGCGCTGGACATGGGAAGGACTTGTGATTTAAGCTTAGCTGAGAACAATTGGCCTGTGCTATTGGGATCGTGCAGCTATATAGCCTTGGTCCTCCTTCCATCTATCTCCTCTCATCAACTCACAGCTTCATCCCTCAAGTCATCCAATCGTTAGACTTCACTCGTTCAAAATGCATTCTCTCGCTGCCTACACTCTTTTGGCTTCTGCCTCTCTTGCTGTCGCCATTGATCCCCGCTTCGAATTCCCCGACACTGTCCCCCTCGTCAAGCGTCAGCAGCCCGGTACCCCTCAGTACGCCTGCCACGAAGACTGCGGTAAGTAACCACCACAATCACCCCCAAGTATTATTTACTGACAGACTCTAGGTCTCTTGATCACCCTCGCTCGCGATGACAGTGACTACTGTGACAGCGATGAGTGGAATGAGCGCTACGGCCGCTGCATGTCATGCGCCAACACGTACGACATCTGGAAGTACTACGGCAGCGGCGTAGGCAGAGTTGCTCAGTCGTGCGGTCTTACTCCCAAGCCCAGCCCCTCTGGCTCCTCTGGTGCTGCTTCTACTACCGCTGAGGAGAAGCCTTCTTCCACTGCTGCTGAGGCCAAGCCCTCGACTACTGCTGTCGAGAAGCCTGCTACCACTGAGGTCGAGGAGGCCGAGACTACCAAAGCTGAGGAGCAGGCTACTGCTACTGAGGAAGCTGATGTGGAGACTACCTCTGAGCATGAGCGTGAGGAGACGGAGCATGCTCACACTTCTACTGAGGCTGGGCACTCTGAGGCTCATGAGCATACTACTCTTGCTACTCACGCTGCTGAGACAACTCATGCTGCCAATCCTACCAAGACTCATGAGGCTGGCCACACTTCTGTTGATGAGATTGGAACTGTTGGTGTTACTGTAAGGAATCATTCATCCTACATTCCTGTATAAGTTACTCACGATTTCTAGGCTACATCGACCCCTCTCCCCTCGACCGTCATCGTCAACGGCGCTGCCAAGCAGGTTGGTTTCTCCACTGCTATGGTCGTCGTAGCCTTGGCCATGTGCGGTCTCTACTAGGCAATTAATTCCTAAAAGTATTGGGGAGGTATTCTGTGACGGGTGGAAATGAGTGCATGAGTAATGGGCTTATGCTGTGAGAGGATTTAGGTGTCTTCACTTCTATATATAATTTTAATTGACTATTTAATACACACCAGCCGAGCACTTTGCAACATTTTCCAAAAGGATGCATGTGAATGCCCTGAGTATATGAACTGGACTCTAATGAGGAAGTTGATGATTGTATATCGCTTATTGACCGGACTTGCAAACACGATACCTTGTTGAGACTTATGGTTTAGGGCCCCCATAATGTGATAAAAACATAGTCTTGTTCTGGACATGTATTTAGATAGCTCGGTGCAGTGCTCTAGTAGGATTAATAGTCCCTTATCAATAGCGGGTTGTATGTTTTGTTGTATTTCATCTCCTGGACTGAGTAAATGGGCAAAGCCTATACCTATTACTTAACTATTGGAACCCCTGACTCTCTTTTGAGATTTTTCAGAAGGGGTAAAAAGTCTGTAGGTACAAAGTGAAGAAGCAGTTCCCGAGCAGAGCTGCCATGGGGAAATTGATATCTAAATTTCCGTGACACAAGGAATTTCTTTCTCTTAAAGAAAAGTGTGTCTGTTTTAGGATACTGACTGTCATGACATACCCTTTTCTCGACTTTAATATCCTTGAGGTAGAACCTACGAGGAGAGGCAGAAGTCTTTCCAATAGTCCAGCTCAAAACAAGATCGAGATCCGCATTGTTTTCAATAAATGTGCTAATAATTGACCATATTGTGCTCTCTTCAAAGACACAGAGGGAATTGGAAGCAGCTTTTGCAATAAAGTAGAATAGAAATCGAGTCCATGGTGATATAGAGCATGAGAATGAAGGATGGGTATACCAAAAGTTGGGGCCGAATTCGTCGCCAAGAAGAACGTGCAATGAGTCCGCTGGTGATAGATGGTGTAAGATTTCTTCAGGCAATGAGACAATGGCTATAGCGATAGCTCGAAAACACTCGTTGTTTAGCCAGACCGAGCTATTGTGTATCGCCCAATGTAAATATTGTAGACAGCCTTGTTCACAGCTCTGGAAAAACACCATGGGAATTTGTTCCCTGGCCCTAGGCATATAGTTTGGGCTGCTGTGGAAATCTAGGAATATGTCTCCGAATTCTTTAGTTTGACGATGAAGCAGCGCTTCGTCTAATAAACCCAAAACTTGTAGCATTGAGTCGTTGTGTGTATGTTCAATCTGAGACAGTAATTCTCCTATCACAAGTGACATGCCAACGCGAGAAAGTCGGTAACAATTGACTTGTTTAATAAAGCACTTGGTTATCATTATCTGAGAGTCAACTCGAGACTGGAGGGATTTCTGGCACGGACGAGTGTTTAGGTATTCGTATATTGATCGATGAGAGAATGCCAACCAGTCCGATGCTGTGTTTTCGTGGAAGCGGCCCCCAGGAATCACATCTACCATGCCGCGGAAAAGCAATGGGACCCGCTTTCGAAAATTGTCGACAAGAGCTTGTGATTCTGGTGTCAGGTCGTCCCGCCATGGTGTGTCATCAGAAGTTCCTTGATAATCATCAGGATTTGATGTTAAGCCCCTCAAGAGAGAATGGTGATAAATGGTGAATAGGCGCGAAAAGTTCCATTTTGTTGTCTCAACAAGGGCATTCAACATGGCCCAAGCTTCTGGTCTGTCGACATTGTGCAGAATCCTGTCGTAAAACTCTTCCAAATCTTTCGGAAAAGCATCAAGAACTTCATAGAGGGCGCCTAGGGAGACTTCGGAGTAAAGTTCTAGTTCCAGCTCCCGCAATACCAGCTTGACCCAGATGAAAACACCTTTAGCCATGTTGACGAACCTGCTGACGAACCTTTCACTCTCAATTGGGCCAAAAGTTTTGAGGTGGCGGTCGTCAGATAGATATTTGTCAATCATTCTCCGAATGTCTTGTTCTGTAGTGAGATGAATTCTCAGCCTTGGGAATTTATCAAAATAGGTCGTCCAGGGTGGGTACTCGCGACTGGAAACGCAGATTTTGATCCCTTGATGGCTTGCCCATTTCTCTAGCTGGATCGCCAGACGGCGGTCAGGGAAGTTTTCTTCATGGAATTCGTCCAACCCATCAATAAAAAAGCAATACTGATAGCTTCGAGTCGAGTATGTAATTGGCTTTTGTAGAGCGTCCTCTATCTTCTCTGGACTAATTTCAAGATGCTGTTGTGACATTGAGGGCTCCTCACTTAATGTATCCCGAAGATCCTCAATGACCTGGTGAATGAGCTCTCTGTGTTCGCTCAAGATGGTATGCAGCAGAGTCCTGTAAATACCATCCGTGTTCTTCTGCTCCGCTGATCCGAGGTTCCACAGAAACACTGAAGCCATAACGATACTGTTTCCATTGCGTGCCCACTTACCCAGCTGTGATCTAGTCTCCGGATGATTGGGAAGAAAATTCATCAATGTCGATTTGCCACTTCCAGGTTTCCCAGTGATGTGAAAGATGCCCTCTCCCCTTTCGAGCCAGCTTCTGAAGGATTGCTTGAGATGCCGGTGTGAAGGAGGTACCGTTTCATCCTTGATCATCCATTCGAAAGTCGCTTCTGCTAGCTCAATATTTCCAATTTCATGACGCCTCGTTTGGAAATCCTGAAAAGCGATGGCCTTTAGAATTTGATCGCATTTATTCTCTTCGATTGAAGGGTGGGATGCTTCGAAGCGTTTTTGAAACTCAATGATATGCTCAATCTGTCTTGGTTGGTTGTCAACCACTTGATCAAGTTTGAGTTCAACAGATTCAACCTGGTCGATGAGGTAATCAGATTTCTTGGAAATATTCTGGAGAGTATTGCGGATATTTTCGATGTCGGTCGAGCTTTTTTCACAGTATTTGACGAATGTGGCGTCGATCTTTTTGAGGATATCGGATCTACGTTTCATCAGTGGATGTGCTGCTATTTACTGTGTATTTCTCACCTCGAAACCAATGTCAGGTGAATGCTGAGCTGCCCAGTGCACGTGTCGAATGCCTTTCTTAGCCCTTCTGCTTCAGGCTTGTCCCATAGTATGCGTAGCGTGATCTTGATAGTCTTCTTGGCAAATAAGCGACCGGTGATCTTTTTCACCGACAATGGTGATTTGTGGCCAATTTGCGATTTTGGTCCTATTTGATATCTGTCCAAGAGAAGGAATAGCCGCTTCCTAACGTCTTGGCACTGCTCGGCAACTTCCAACATGCTTTGTTCCTCGGGGGAAAGTCGAGTTTGGCTTTTGCACTTCTCTATTAAGTGGCGATGCTAGGGTCCAACTTAGAAACAACGTCTCTCAGCCGTTTGTGTTCGTCGAGTTCACCAGTCGCACTATCGTGCAGTTTTCGAGCGATTGAAACCATCTTGGCAATCGTTTCAACGAAGGTAACAGCCGCGGATGTGGTGCCAACGATACTAGCGGCGGCTTCCATGGTAGAGATTGATGATACTGTGAAGCTTTCGATTGATGTAGAGGGTAATGCAGGTTGAGAAATCTGGATCGCCTTTGTAGGAATTCAATTTCAGCTTCTAGCCTGATTGTGGCCTGATCTTGCAAGGGGGTTGAAACCTTGATTATCATTGGAGGTGGCTAGCTCTGCCCTGACGAGGTGCAGGTCACGCTGTGTCACCATTGAGGGGTTTGCCATGCAACCAACCGGTGGAAGACTGCGTCGCCATTTGACCAACGCTTAAGCTTTTCAGATTGCGTAACTTGTATTGTTTATTTGACCCTAAATTGGCAAAAGAATGTATAGTTGAAGAGAATATTTAGTAACGCCGTTCTAGGGAAAACAGAGCGAGAGTGTGAACAATCACAGCCCAAGTCCTTTTTATTGGCCATGTTCAGCAGCAACTTGAAGGTGGGGTGCATAAAGAGGCAACAAGGCAGACACAACACGAGACTTGCAGAGGCCAGCCATATTGATCCACGTGGATTATGTATTTCAGAGATCAAATGAGAGGTAGATATAAGGTCTCCGAACGTCAAAGCCAAGTTACGTCTTGTTCTCACCTTTTGGGCAGCGAATCTGGCGAAATGGCAACTGCACACCACCCTCGGAAGCTATGTGCTCCATGCAGCGCCTTGACGTTTACCATGCTTCGAGACGGCTACGCTCATCCATTGACATATAAGGACACCATCAAATCCGGGGAAACATGCGCATTATGTCGACTGATGATTTGCTCAACTGGCAAGCTTTCAGCCAATCTAGACTCCTATAAGATGCACTATCAATATCATTCTTTGGCTCCCAGATTACCCGAGCTACCAGCAGTCTCCAGGGAAGAAATGATAATCTCGGGGCTATCGCCACTCATCGAAAGGTTGAAACCATTGGCCGAGTTGCACTGGGGCACGAACCAATATATTGGTGACCTGGAGAATAGCTGGGAGGCCAAAAAGGGAAACTTCAACGATGGTGAGACCATTCAGATTACAGCTCCAGCAGGTAAGTAGTTTTTCCGATTGTACTTTGATAGATTCAGCATTCTTACGTATGAGTAGACTCGTTGTATGGAGCCCATGGCTTTGTGCCGCTTACCGATGTCGAACCAGCATCATCTAAAAGAAACTACAGAGTGCTTCGAAAATGGCTCTCTACCTGTATGGCCAGCCATCAAGGGTGTCGTTTATCACACTCCATGACAGAAAAGTCAGCCCAGGAAATCACGGTGCTACCGACTAGAGTCATCGATATAGGCGATCTCAAAGAGCACCGGTCTAAGCCGCGGCTTTTTATATCGAACAAGGCATCAGGACAGTACATTGCTCTGAGCCATCGTTGGAGCAAATCAATTGTCACAAAACTGAAGGGTGAAAACCTCAGCCAATACCAGAACGAGCTCCCACTGAATGATATGCCGCCAACATTTCAGGACGCTATAGAAGTGACACGCCAACTTGGTTTCCGTTATCTTTGGATTGACTCGCTCTGCATCATACAAGACGACGAGTCTGATTGGTCGAAAGAGTCCCGTATGATGGGGAGTATCTTTGAAGAGGCTAGTTGCACTATCGCTGCTGTCGATTCCGTGGACGACAATGAGGTCGACCACGGTTTGTTCTTACCACGAGACACTGATCCTCTTTCAGTCAAACTCACAATTCCCTACAAGAAAGAACCTCTCAGCAAGCTATCCCAACGAGTATTCAAGACCCATGCGGCAGTCTATGTCTGGAAGATGCGATGGTTAAGGGAAATACCAACCATGAAAACTTGCGACAAAAACACTATCACAATTCGTCCACGCATTGTGTCGTCCTGGAGACGTATTCCACGGTCCAACTGGCATCAGAGGGGCTGGGTATTGCAGGAAAGGTGCCTCTCTCGACGGCTGATATATTATACAAAGAACAAGCTCTCCTGGTCTTGCTTTACCCAAAGTGGCGAGGAGGAGGGCGGTGATCCCCAAGAGGCTGACAGGATCCCTCTGATTCCGCTGCGGAGAGAAAGTGACGAATCACTATCCGACATTTGGCAGGGTATCGTTTCAGATTACCAAGGCTGCCAGCTGACGTTTAGCAAAGACAGGCTGGCCGCTGTTGCTGGTATTTCTGCTAGGTTAGAAGCCCAGTTTCAGTGCAAGATCTACGCAGGAATCCTGTTCCACTCACCTGGCGACGCCGCGGAGAATTTGCTCTGGTATGCCAGTAAGGCACCTCTGCGGACCTTTAACGAGTTTCACGCGCCATCATGGGCCTGGGCTGCTTTTGATGGCGAGATATCGTTCTTCATGCCAACGCCACGTGGAACTAGCGAGCTTTTGATAGACAGGCTAGACTTCAAGATTCGTAATCAGTGCGAGTCGGTGGACCTATCAAAAGATTGCAAAGGAACTTGTGTGTCTGGGAGTGTTTCTTTTGAAGGTCCGGCCGGAAAACTTACTCGGGGAGGCAAGCTGAAGGATTTAAAAATTGCGGGAGGTCCAGACGATCCAATTAACGAAAGAGAGATCCTGGCTAAGATCCTAGGCCATTCTCTTGTGCCAGGTATCGCCATACCGCGGTTTGACGAATTGGGAAACATGGTTCGAATGCCATATAACCTGCCAGTACCAGATCACACAGAGATACTGGAGGATGAATGCGGCTGCATCATCGGATTTTTCATACCGGACCTTGAGGAAGAGCTTGAGCAAGCCACAGGTGAGCAACAGATGATATGTGTGGGCGTAAAGCGCTATCAGGACCAGTATGGGCAACAGAGCGACACTATTGAGATCATCGGACTCCGTGAGATATGTCATTCTCCGATGATGTTTCAGAGGTTAGGAAAAGGCAGAGTCATGTGCAACGCATGGTTGCGAAGATCCAGGCGATTTCTATTCGAAGTGTGTTGATATCTATAATGTCTAAGTTGTTATCTAGGTGTGTTATTTACAGTTGAGACTTATGGCTGAGAGCTTAAATCTGTAGAGAGAACTTAAGAACTTTTTGCAACTACGTCTGGTCGATTTAGGAAATCTACAATAAATAAAAGCTTTCCTGTGACTCCTTGCCATTTAAAAGCTACTGAAGATGTTAGAAAGTAACTCCATTGAACTCAGCGTATTGTACAACATGCTGTCACCTCCCTTACACCATTCATATGCTAGGTGGACTCCCATGGCGCTGAAGAAACAATCCACTAGGATTTGCATATTGGTGTGGTGGTGCCTGATTGGAAAAGCCAAGTTAGACAAGTTGTATTTAGACACTTATTTACCATTGAATGGAGATTAACATATAATTATTAGACGTGTAAGACCCAGGGTGTTGCCATCGTTTCTCTACACCATTCGAGTTCAATAGTAATATTCCATAATCGAACAATTAAACTTTGTCATTGCATAGCAAAGCTGATGTATTAGATTGCCTGATGCTTGCCCTCCCACGTAGACTTTAGCAGTTCGTTAACCTTTGTGAACTTGTAGTCCGGAAAAGTCTGATTCCATTCATCCGAGACAGTCCAAGCTCCGCGGTGGAAAGCAGTCAGAGTCCCGATAACAACCATCTTTGAGAAAGCTTCCACCTGGTCCTGGGGAACCGATGGTAATGGAAGTCGTGGGTAGTTGTCGGTCTTGAGCTCTCCGGCTGCCAGGTCCTCCATCTTGAGCCACTCGATAGCGAATGGCTCTCCTGCCCGAAGTCAGTACCTTTGTTTCTTTCTCTTGGCTGGTATGCTTACCTCGTAGCTCTTCTCCAATGTTTAGAAGCTGACGAATAGAGATACGGTCACCGCTAATACCACCAATCACGGGCCATTCGCCTTCAAAATCGATGGCCTTGGTAACGATGTTGGCAATGTCGTTGACACTTGTATAGGTGATCTCATCGTCGAGGGTACCTTCGACGACTATCGCATGTTTCTTGACAAAATCGACATTGACGACGGTAGTGGTGATGTATTTTGCAGTCTTGTATGGATGGCAAAGGTAATCCATAAAGCCACCGGGCTGGAACAGTGTATACTCGATAACCTGATTGACCAAGTTAGCTCTTGGAATAAAGAGGGGACCCAGGATCTGCAACCTTTTTATCAGAGTTCAAGCTCTTGAGATAATCTCTGATCTCGATCTTGCCGCTGTACCATGACATGACATCGAGTGAGTCTGCGAGTTTGGATCCGCTAAAGTATGGTTAGTTGTAATGACGCTTGTCACTGCTCAATGGAAAACTCACGTTGCCCACTCAGACGGGGCGAATCTCTTGACGCCAGCCTTAACAGCTGCGTCAATAAGTCGCTTCTGGGTCTCATTCCCTGGGTCTAAGTGAACAGCAAGGAAAGAGAGGACGGTTTCAACGCCGCGAAATAAATCAACAAGCTCAGACTTGTTGTCGTAATTGGCTTTCACCCAGGTGACGCCTGGGAGCTCTGGGAATGTCGATGGGTCCTAAGTCTGTCAGTCGTCAGTTCAAACATGGGGGCTATGGCCTAGATGTACCTTCCGGACAAGTGCAGTGATATCGTGCTTTCCAGTAGCGACAAGCCTATCGAGAATCTCTCTAGCGAGCTCTGAAAAAGGTTAATAATTTTAGGAGTCAGATGATAAAGCTAAACATACCGCTAGAAGCCCCTGCAATAGCGATTTTGACCATATTAAATGACTTGTAAGGATAAGTGTGAGATGCTGGGAACTCTGTGATTCTGATGTATTTTTGTGAAGCGGAAAGGTCCTCATTTTATAGACAACTCTCGGCCCTTACCGGAGATCTCTTCATTAGTCAACTTCTGACCCCGGGCAGACATTTTGCCCCGAACACGTAACTTCAGCTTTTTAACCCTTTTGGAGATATTGAGTCGGCCTAAGCTGTCCCCGGCGGTTACGTGATCGGGGTAACCAGTACAATTGCCCACCCAATCAAGGCAAGGCATTTGTGCTTACTACTCCACTTCAGTCTGACAAATTCAATATTCGGACAACAGTCTTGACAGAACATTATATCCTCGGGCCAATGATAGATCAAAAGGTAACCTGTAAACGATAATATGGGTGCTGCAGAGCTTCAAGATGAGTTGACGGTGCGTTTTCCACGAAGCGACTCCATCCAGGCGCTAACTTGGGCTTCTAGCGTCGTCGTGAGCGAGGCAGACGCTCACAGGCAGCTTTTCGCAAGCGGCAAGCTCAGTCAAACCACGCGCTGGCGGATCAAAATGCGCGGCTGAAGCAGGGCATTAAGAGATTACTTGATGCAGCTCAAGGCGATGAACGACCAGAGATGCTTGACATCCTTCGTGAGCTTGCACTTGCTGCAGATATCGAAGCTCCACCAAGCGTCTCCCAGATAGAGACAGCGTGCTCTGGCAACGATACTTCGGATAACGACACTACTACTGCAAACGAAAAGAGTATCCAGAGCTTGTACAGCGACATCCCTCTACCAGTGACTCCCTCGCAATCAACCCAGTATCGTCTGGAGTGCAGCATGTGGCTAGACCCATTACATTACCTACGCGTCTCGTTACCGCCTCAAGACATCTTACCATACCTCGGGGCCGGCGCTGAGACCTTTGCAGGTCTTCTTTTCTGGTCAGTCATGGAGCATTACCAGACAGTCTGCACGCAACACAACGCCAAAACAGTCATCCAAAAAGGTCTGAAGCATTCAAAAGCCACGCAGGATATCAAGCCGTCGTTCATCGAAACCATGGCAAAGGCAAGAGTTGAGTATAAACAAACGGGTTCCATAAGCCAAGCCCATGCTGTTGCTGCTGAAAAGGATCTGGGACTTGTACTGTGCAATCTGATCGAGACAGAGTATCGCTGCACAGGCAAGGATCCAGATCAATGGCTATCGTGCATTGGGATTGAGAAACGGCTAAGGAAGACAATGAGTAATGATTTGTTAGAGAGTTTGAGAAATGCTGCGCTTGGTGATGGAAATGCAGTTTTGCACTATCAGCTGGAGGATGTCAAGTGCAGGCTGTACGACAGCTGTGTCTGTTTTGGAGATGGACCTCGATGGGATGTGAAGATGGTTGATGAGCTATTTGCTCCTGTTATAAGATATCGAGGAGAAAAGAGAATGTTAAAATGAAAAGAGGCTTTTTGGGTAATCACTCTTGATCCAATAATCTTCGTGTTCTTGTTGAGTTGGACAGCTACTTTTGAGCTGCAAAATATTAGTAGTTTAATGCTTCACAGCCAAATTTGCAGTATGCTTTCAAGGCCAGACAAAAGTTCCTAGTTCAATTGATAGATGGTTTATCTCTGGCCTTCTGCACTAGATATGACGACTAAGAATGGCCGTTCGTGGAATCAGTCACAAGGCCATCATCCTTGAACTTATACCTCTCTTCCAAATCCCAGTACTTATTGAATCCAACGCCCTCACAAACTTCGTTGTATGAAAGTATCATAGGTGGCTTTCCAACCGTCATACTCTTCTTGAGTTCTTCCAACGTCTCGCGGATACTCTTGAGCTTCGCAGCGACAAGCGTCCAGGGATAAGCCACAGCACAGAATCCCAGTTCTGCGAGGTCCTTTGCAGACAGATTCTCAGTCTTTCCTCCTTCGATGACTAACACCATAAGTTAGCACGACTCTTATGATTTGAGGAGAACTTCAGCTAAGGGACATAACTTACTGTTTGCAAATGTTGGGATACCAATCTCCTCTACACATCGACGCATAGACTCACGATCGGGAAGGGCCTCGACAAAAACGGCATCGACACCGATCCTCTTGAACTCCTTCGCACGGCTCATGGCTTCTTCCCAGCCATGGATCAGCGCGTCCGTTCTAGCTAGGATGAAAATATCCTTGCCTTGATCACGAGCGTCGCAAGCAGCCTGAATACGGGCATATGCCTCACCACGAGAGACCACAGACTTTCCCTTAGTATGACCGCATCCTAAGACAGTTAGCTTTAGATAATTCTGCTTCAGCAAGGGTTGTCGAAAGATTTACGCTTTGGCCATGTTTGATCCTCAATCATGATTCCAGCTGCGCCAGCATGGGCATAACTCTCCACGGTTCGCTTAACGTTAAGCGGGCTGCCGTAGCCTGTATCTCCATCGGCCATGACAGGCACAGAGACCTGCCTTACAGTTTCCTGAATCTTATCACACACCTCAGACATGGCGATATAACCAGTGTCAGGAAGACCGTAAGCACTAGATACAGCATAGCCAGCGAGGAAGATCATTGGAAAACCCGCTTCTTCACAGAGTCGTGATGAAAGGCCATCGTAGCTGCAGCAGTGAGCGAGAATCTTGGTAGGATCATTGTGGGCTTCCAGCATCATGGTGCGAAGGGCTGAGGCGTGGACAGATGGGATCTTGCCGCGGACGTTCTTCAGAGTGCCAGTTACATCGGCGATCTGTCCGGGCTTGCCAGGTTTTTGCAGGGTTGGGGGGTTAAACTGGAAGGGGTAGGGGGTGCTGTTGACGATGGACTTGGACATTGTGAATGGGAGTGTTTGATGCTGAGATGTTTTGTTTGGATGCTGAGATGGCTGAGGATGAACAGTAGGAAAGAGAACGCTTGGTGAACATTTTATATACATGAAGTCTAGGAATAGGCAAAGGTTCAGCGCCGGTTGTAATCCGGATATGCTCGGAAAGTGACGGATAGTCCTCTATCCGGAGCAGAGCATGCTCCGGATCTAAAGACCCCCCCGGATAGTTCTCAAAGAATCTGGGGTATGCGGGGACCCCGCATCTTGGATCTGGACCCGAGATCAGATGTCCCCCTTTCTGCAAGCTACAAACCTTGAATCCCGGAGACTGACGGGATCTGTCGATGATAGGGTCAAAGCGCTTCAAAAGTGATAGTCCACCTCCCGACTACTAAAACCTGCTGAAATCCTCGAGAAGGATCCATCCCCAACTCCCAATTTATCAAGCTTCGTCTTTATATCTAATTCATCTTTCGCTACACTCTCATGATGAATCACCCAGAGTCTGAGCACAAGATGTCCTTGGGCACAGAGGAACTTGAACATGCAACAGAGCACCAGGAACAGCAACGCGTTGACGTTCCCGAGGAGGCCAACAAGCGTATCAAGAATACAGTAAGCTATTAATCATGTTATACATAAGATATGTACTAACTGGCATCTAGTTTGACCGCCGACTTCTCCCCATCGTCTGCTGCCTGTACATCCTATCCTATCTCGACCGAGGAAATATCGGCAACGCCAAAACCGCTGGCGCAAAAGATGACCTGGGTCTCAGCGACTCTCAGTGGGCATGGGTCCTTAACGCGTTCTATATCTGCTACGTTTGTTTCGAGTGGACCAGCCTTTTCTGGAAGATCCTCCCTGCGAGCAAATACGTCGCGGGGCTTTGCGTTTGGTAAGCAAGTCTCTATATCAGTGACCGCGGTAGGCACTAATGGTGTGTTTCTTGTAGTTGGGGAACGGCAGCCATGTGCGCTGGTGCTGTGCATAACCTTGGTGGACTCATTGCTTGCCGGGCGCTGCTTGGTGTATTTGAGGCTGCTTTTGGGGCTGGTGCACCGTATTTCCTGTCTTTGTTCTACCGTCGTGACGAGCTCGGTTTTCGTGTTTCTCTACTACTTGGAATGTCGCCGTTAGCAAACTGCTTCGCTTCTGCATTGGCTTACGGGATCACCCATATCAGTGGCTCTCTGGAGCCTTGGAGATATCTCTTCATCATCGGTACGTGGCAACATGCTCATAATATTCTGTGCCACAGCGTTCTGACTAGTTTGTTATAGAGGGCGCCCCCACTGTAGCCTTCTCCCTCGTCGCTTGGTTCTTCTTAGCGGATTCCCCAGACAAGGCCAAATACCTATCCGAGAAAGATGCCACCTACGCTATCGAGCGGCTTCAGGTCCGCGATCGCACCAAGAAGACTGGAGTTCGCTGGAACCAGATATTCGCTGGCCTGACCGACTACCAGAATTACATCCATACTGTCATCCATTTTTGCTGCAACTACTCCTTCGCTGGCCTTTCCAACTTTCTCCCGACTATTGTCCGCGATATGGGTTACTCATCCGTCACAGCACAGGGCCTGACTGCACCGCCATACTTTTTAGCTTTCCTTTGCTGCGTGCTGGCAGCTTTGGTGAGCGATAGGTATGGGAAGAGAGGATATGTTGTCGGCGGTAGTGCTTTCATTGGCTTTATTGGCTACCTGATGCTGGTAGTTGTTCAGGATGAGTCTAAGAAGGCAACCCGTTATGCCGCCATCTTTCTGGCGTCGTGTGGAGTCTTTCCAGCGCTCGCCATCAACATCACCTGGCTGCTTAACAATCAAGGAGGAGACTCGAAGAAGGGTGCTGGACTGGCCATTCTGGCTACCTTTGGTCAATGCTCTTCTTTTGTCAGCAGTGTTGTATTTCCCAGTTCTGACGGGTAAGTCTCCCTGTTGCATATTTCGAAACCTCATACTTGGGCGTGCGTACACTAAGACAATGCTTGACCAGGCCTCTCTACCTTCGTGGCACTACCATTGGCTGTGGATTGACCGGACTGATCTCTGTCCTTGCATTGGGCCTGCACTTTGCTTTGGAACGTGAGAACAAGAGAAGGGACCGGGAATATGGCCCCGTCGATTCCGATATGGCTGTTGATGTTACGGAGCTTGGTGACAAGAACAAGAACTTTCGCTACCTCACATAAAATAGCGGTTTGTTCTGATCTTGAAACGGTGGATAATTCTTCCAACAAGTTGGACTACTTGAGTGTGTCCATTCCATAGTCAGTTAGTTATTCTGTTCTATAGCACAAGATTCGGTCTTTGCAACATTACAATCATATGCTCGGTCTTTTGGTCACTGATATAATTTGCACGCTTCGTTTTCAGAGAGTCATCACGTAGTTAGTCTTTATTATCTGTGTTTTTCCCATTCGGAAACCATTTCCCGTGTCTGGCTACGGAAGTCGCCCCAAAGCTATCCGGGACTTAGCCCGTGTTTCCCCCGCACGACGCCAAGCTAGCCCACAGAATTAGTCTATCACCTAAATATTAGCGACATCCGGCGGAGACTTACTTATATCCGTCATCATCCGCCACTTTCCGATTCTCAGGATTCTCGGACAATCGACCCTCAGGCAACTCCCTTCACGCAGAAAAGCACCCATGGACGCTGACGCACAAACCGAGCCCACTTTGCCCGATAGTGATGGTCCCTCTCGCAGACGACGCGTGCGTGACTTCCGCCGGGGTTACCATGCTTGCGAGTTGTGTCGGAAGAAGAAGATCCGCTGCATCGTCGATAAACCTGGCGCGTCATGCTTGAGATGTCAACGAGAGGTCAAAGAATGCGTATTCAGTGATGAGCGCTCTCACCGGAAACGGAACAAAACTGTCGATAGAAGAGGATCATCCGAACAAGGTACGTGTCTATCTCTAGCCTCAGATCTTATGTCCGTCCCTTACCCTTTGCAACCCATTTCCCTAACGTGGTATTGTCTCTGACCAGCTGCGGATTCAGAGCATGGCATTCCCATGGCGAGTACCTCGCCGGCTCAAGCCAATATGAGCCAAGACACATTTACGGAAGAGCCATCACAGATGCTCGACGACAGTAATGATTTGACATTCCCAGACATGTCTATATCGGTCCGTAGTGGACTGCCCGATCACCAGCCGCAAGCTATCATGAACGAAGCTTCACCGTCTATAAGCTCCACCGGACCTGCAGGTGAAATCACTACTACACTTGTTTCAAACGGTAACGACGCACTGCGACTTTTGTACCAGCCTGCGATTGAACACGCGAACAAAGAGGGTGCCTCGCCGAGCAATCAAGGGCCTATGACACGGCATACACTGCATCGTACCGCGGAGACGTCGAGCCCTGGAACAACTGCATCTGCCATGGCATCTAGGCCTAGCCACATTTCCCCCATCTCTCTCAGCCCGTTAACGGTATGGCGGGCTTTCCGGTTTGTCAGAATGGGCTGGTTTACGGCCGAAGAAGCAGTCAATTATGTTGAACTGTAAGTACCATCTTTCCAAATGAAAGCAAGATCATCACTCACTATCTCATTGTCAGATTTCAGCAAAATTTAGCGCCACTATCTCCCGTGTCGAGAGGCTTTGACCTAACCCACGAAAAGCACTACAAGCTAATCACACAGGAGCCTCTCCTCTGCTGTGTCATCCTGATGATATCATCCCGGTACCACGTCTTGAGTGGTCACGGCGGTCTAGCCAGGAGCACCATTGTCCACCACCGATTATGGGAGCACTGTCAGCATCTCGTCATGAGAATCATCTTTGGCCAAGAGAAGCGATCAAAAGCAAAGACAAGAACCCGAGGATCCATCGAAGCTCTGCTGCTGATCATAGAGTGGCACCCGCAAGCGATAAATCTACCGCCGGCTTCAGATGGCTGGGACTCGTCTACATTACTCACCGACTTCGACCCTCGGGATGACCAGTTCGATAATCAAGCAGACACAACTGACGACAACGAAGCTCAGTGGTTAAGAGATGTTATACTACCTGCCAAGACCTCGGATCGTATGTCTTGGATGTTACTAGGCTGCGTGCAGTCTTTGGCTCTTGAGCTTGGTCTCTGCGATGATGGCGAAAGAGGTGACATGTCTGCTAAACCACCAGGATTCAAAGCCCAGCAAACACGATTGCGCGATCTTCTATATATATTTCTAGAGCAGCAGTCGAGTCGACTAGGATGTCCTTCCATGATGCCGACTTCTGTGTCGCGCTTCATGTCAGAGTCTTCCAGAAGAGACGTGCAGGGCGATTCAGCTATAGTGGCAGCATGGCTTGATCTGACTAATCTTACACGCACCATCATCGATGTTCTATGTCCCTCGGCCGCGGGCATTCGAGACATTCTTAGTAGCTCCAGATATATCAACATCATCAAACACTTTCAGAAACAGCTGGCAGGATGGAAGACAACCCACCTCAGCCACGAGAGTACGCCATGCCCTCTCCTTTCCTAGGTCGTTCTGCACTAACGGTTGATCACTTCAGATTTATATTCTCATGCTTACGAAGACTTGACTATTGAATACAACTATCTCCGGGTCTTCATGAATTCATTTGGAATTCAGGCCGCCGTTGATCGAGTTCTTGGTCGAAGACCGCCAAATTCCATCGACACCGACGTTCTTCAGTCATCTATCACTGCAACAGACTACTCCTTTATCAAAGAAGTTATAGACTCATCATGCCAGGCTCTTGAGTCAGTCAGTAGGCTATTTGAGGCTGGTACGCTCCGATACTGCCCCGTTCGAGTATTTCTCCGCATCATTATGGTTTCCATTTTCCTTCTAAAAGCCCTGAGTCTTGGGATCCGAACAACAGATCTGGAGACCTCCCTTGGAATTTTGGAGAGAAGCATCCGAGCTTTGAGAGATAGCAATCTCGACGAGATGCATCTAGCTTCTCGGTATGGAGAGTTGTTGGACATGCATCTGGAGAAGTATAGGCAAAGTCTGGTCCCAACTACGATTCCTCAGGGGATTCGTGCAGTAGACCAAACCTCCCAATGGATTTTTGACACCAGCGTACCGCCAGTAGATGACTCTCTAGGAGATCTGTCGATGCCGGCTGTGGATGACTGGCTTGCGCTGCCATTTGATCCAAGCATGGCTCCATTCGGCTTCGCCACTGATGACCCCGACATAGCCGAGCCAGAAGATAGGTCTTGGGATTTCTTGTGGAGTTTACCGAATGTTTAATATTGTAGCACTCCCAATACGGAACAATTTGAAGTCTTAGCCCGGCGATGCCACGCTTTCGCGTCAACAGATGGGTTGATTCATTTGTCGATTAGTCAACTCAAGACTCAGGCATCATTCATTCAGGAAGAATCAAGGTTCCACAAGCTGACCCACGGCGCACGATTTCACCTAAAAGGGTAAGCTCCAAGTTTGATTCGACCCCACTTAAACCTTGAAGAGGGATCATCGCGCGATCAATAGGAAAAACCAAGAGAAACTGAGAAAAGTATTTAGACTATAACATGCCCTCCCCAAGCCGTAATGCACATGCCAGTCTATCACTCTAAATCAAGACTTAGAAACGTTGCCCAACGTCCCCTCTCAGAAAGCTCCCGCCTGGACCTTCTCAGTGAAGGAATAGCTTCAACCGTTATGTCTAACTATCCCAACTACTATCCACCGCCTGGCCCTCCAGCGGGTGCCAAAACATACCACTCATTACCAATGGATCCTCCGTACTATGAGGCACCCCCTAACGCACCTTCGCCCGGATATCAGCAGCCTATCTATCCGCCGCAACCAGGGTCTTCTGGCATTCAAGGACCACCAAACTACTACCCTCGCGTAGGCTTCACCAGACTCCCCGCCAAGTTCCACGTTTGGAATGTCATGACGAGCGGCGGCACAAGTTGTCTCGAACTGGGCCCTCAGCTCAAAGGCCCGGTAGCCTACTCTGCAAAGATGTTCTCTAGCAGCAGACTCAAGATCAAGCAAGGTCCATATGCATCTGAGAATCTGCCCATTTGCACTATAGAGAGTCGACACATGTTTAGCAGCAAGAGCACCATTACATTTGACGGCTTTCAGGCGAATTTCGTGGAGACTAGTATGTTTAATGACGGCGCAACCTGGCCATTTGACGTTGAGGTCAATGGTTCTTCCCAGCGATGGCAGTGGAGGAGGAAGAAGACACAAAAACAATCAACGGTGAGGCAGATAGTTGAAGCGTTTTCCGACAGTGACTTTGGAAGCTGGGAACTTGTCTCCGTTTTAGGACAGGGCTGGCCTATTGCCACCTTCGAGGCTACTGGAGGAAACACTTTTAAGGATAACGCGGCACTTGGTGTATTTGAGTTCCACGGTCCGGCAGCCATCGGCCAGTTGGGTGACATTTTTGTAAATGTTTCTATCGCTATACTGCTCCGCATTATATCGCAACATTACATTAGTAGGATTGCGGCGTTGGCAGGCTCATAGTCAGTCGGTGTCTGGTTAGTCAGTGAGGCGATAGCTTCAGAACCATTACATTAGTCCGTAGCTCAACAAAAAGCGCTATTTTTCTATATTGACCTTTGACTGTACTTAGGAGGCTACGCGATGACTTTGTTATTCTGATTCATACCATGCAGCATCCTATGATTGGATTTTCTTTGCGAACTCTTGATGCACTGATGAGATTTTGTCTCAGCCAAGCTTGGTACGTCTGGTATATATAGTAGGGGTTCAGATACGAACCGATAGAGCTGAATAGATTTCATCCGATCAAAACGAACCCTACTGTCCACAAATATCAGTTGCTCAATAACCGCCCTACAAGCCCAAAGGTCATCTTAGGATTTCTGTTAACTGTGCTCAATCTTGCTGACTTATTTGTCCTATATACCGTTATGCCTATAGAGCGGGCAGCGACCAGCATATGGTACAGTCCCATCTGGTCGTCACCCATGAATGAACCAGAGATGGAGAAGGAGTCGGAATCTTTTACTAGGCATCCCAAATGGCCTTGAGTTTGTGCAGGGATGTATGCAAGGTTCTGGTTGGCAATTCACAATTTTAGGTTCAGCACGGTCCAGCCAGCATCCAACTCCAACGGGTAAGGATCCAGGGTTCAACCAAATGCAGGACCAATACGAGCTCTCAACCAGGTGAGCACCAATAGCATCGAATTATTGTGCCTTCTCCTCATCCTTCCTTTCCCCTTCACTTTCCACGCTACGGAGTATATATCCCCAAATTACCTAATTGCAACCATTCTCGCAATCTACGTCTTTGAACCCAGTACCCCCATTTGAAGCCAATCGGGCTATGGGTGATATCTTGTAAAAATGGTCACGGGACAAGTGGTAGATAGGAAGTTAAGCACTTCATCAAAACCTCCTTGGACAACATCATACCGAGGGATCAAGAATTCCTACCTTTTTCCCGCTGGCAGGCAGGACCAAAGGGAGGTATCTGTGCTCTGAACTTTGTAATTTGAAATACCTAATGATGCCGTCAATAAGAAAACTCAGGGGTATCAATGAATTGACAGGGAAACCCTTTCTAGTTCTATACGGCCGGCCCGAGATGTGGGGCTCAGGGCTCAGCTGCTTGACCGGGAATCCTTGGTCTGAGAAACGAAACGAACGCCAATCTGTTAAGCTAGCAGACGCCTACTTGCCTAACACAGTTGACACAGGATAGAAGGTTTTAATTTAGCAGGTGAAGGATTCTAGAATTAAAATTCTCTCACACCATCCTATGCGAAAAGTCCACGCCGAATGTTTCAGCCACAGGGGTACCGGTCTGCAGCGTCTGTACACCACTACACTTTTAGGTGTCCAAAAACACAGAGGCATTTAATTCTACTCCAGCCCATTTCTAAATGAGGTGCTGACTGCAGAAACTCTGTCGGACGCCACCAAGACGTCTTTTATATAAATTTAAAGAATTATGTCGCGGGCTCATACGACTCGGTGCAGACTCTGCGTGCTCTCACCACCAAAAATACCTTGATGTTTCAACACGTAACTACTACACCATGTGGTTTGTTGCAAACGTTGCTATTGTGGCTGAAAATCATGCCCTCGTTATCTGTGGGTTCTTGTTGACGGCACTATCTGTTTTGTGTGTCACCCTAAGAACCATCACCCGCATGGTATTGGCTTTCATGAGATTAGAAGACTGGCTTGCTATTATCGCTACTGTAAGTAGGCATCTAGCACGTTTCGTCACCTCATTAATTTTGACCAATGCCTTCTCAGTTTGGATCAGTCGGATTTCTTACGGCATCCATGTTTAGTAACTACAAATAGCCCGTTTTTCTGCCAAAGACAAGACTGACACCCGTGCTAGGCGTGAGCTTAGGACTTGGAGATGTGGTCCCACCCGCTAGGCTACAGCAATTTCTCCAGGTTCGCCTCGCTACAATCGCTGCTTACAACTTCACGCAGCTTACCGTTAAATTCTCGACATTGGTCCAGTATAAAAGAATTTTCACTTTGCCGCTCGCTCAACGTATCTTCATCGCTCTCATATGCTGGCTTTCCGTATATGCACTACCCTGCCTTATTTTGCCGTTGGTCTCGTGCTGGCCTGTTGCCAAGCTTTGGAATCAGACCTTACCTGGACGATGCATCAATCAGGGGATCTTACAATATACGTTGGCTATTATCAATATTCTGAACGACTTGGCCATTCTTATCGCACCTTGGCCCTTTCTGAAAGCTTTACAGATCTCGTCAAAGGCAAGAATTGCCCTTATTAGTATTTTCGGATGCGGAGGCTTGTAAGTACCCCTTGTCTGGTTGAATCATATCGCCCTGTGTTCTGATATCATGTAGTGTATGCTTAGTTGCAATGTTGAGGCTCTACGCGATTTATGGATTTTCTTCCGCAACTAGTCAACAAAAGACACGTTAGTCAGCATTCTGAAACTGGTCACGGTCACTGAGCTGACATTCACTTCACCATCAGAGGTTGAGGGCGTTAATCTTGTCATTTGGTCAGGCGTCGAGATCAACGTGGCTATCATATGTACATCGTTGCCCGCATTGAAATTGCTAGCAAGGAGGGCATTTTCAAGACACGACACGCTCACCGGGTCTTCTGAAATGGTACCGCTAGGCCGCTTACCCTCCAGCGGTTTCCAATGAATTGCATGCCAACAAACCCGCGTCAACAGGTGCGTGGGAGTAGGAGATAGAAGCAAGATGAATGTGATGACAGTCCTGGGCAGCAATGACTATGATGAAAGGGGTGTAGGAGACTATCTTGTAAGAATTTGTTACCGAGCTGGGATTTACAACACCAGGGGGAAACAGGCCAAAAGGTTAGTGAAGCGCATGCAATAGGATAGAATAGAGTGAGGGTTATTATCACGCCTAGAAGAACGAATCTAGGGCCAGTATCTATGCTAAACTATTTGTGTTTCTCTGCCATCACCCTTCACCACCTTGTGAAGCCCGATGTCGTTTTGCCATAATTCTCCCCTATGAAGAGTTCTTTCTTACCACGCACTGTTGGTGCGATGCTAGAGGGGGGATTTGCTGAAGGTCACGCAACTACACAAAAGCTGCAGAGACACCATCGGCTCCTTAACAGCAGTTTTAGAGAAGGAGCTCTAGGGTGTTTGCCTTCTCTAACAACCCTTTTTCCGGATCTCATGGCATTACCCCAGAACCAGAACGCCTTAGATAATGAGTTGATGTCCGAACTTCTTGACTTTTACAGAAATCAGAAACAGACTCCCTGGTAGAGCCAAAACATGTACCCTAGTAGCGGGACGAAAAGCGTCCTTCTGGTTCTGTTTCTTCACACCCAGGACTGAGAACATTTCGATGGTTCAGCACGAGCTATCCTAACCGTTGTCTCACCCATAACTCAGACGCTCACCTCTACCAAGGAAACTGTCACAATCACCCAGAAGGTGCAGGCGGCAAATCCAAACACTAGCGCAGGCAAAAGCGTTTCATGAGCTCTGCCAGAATATTGGCCTTCAGGGTCCACCCCTTGCAATCATTGAACCAGAAGAAGTCAAAGGAGATTTGGGTATAAGTGACCTCTTCCCCCAGGAAGAGTATGAGGCTGTTGATCCCGACAATGGGGTCACGAACGAGAGAATTGGTTGTTTTGTGCGAGATGTCAAGTCTGCGGAAAAAACCGCTGAAAGGTTGGGCATCATCGAAAAGACGAGTACCGTTATCAATGTAACACTGAATGTCTCGGCTTGTATCTGTATCAGATTCCTGACCAAGAAGGAGTTTGAGCAAAATCAGCCTACAGGAATCGAAGTACTGGTATGCCCTGACTTCTTCTCCTTCTATGTATCGGGATCAGCTTTTTCGTTGCTAACCGGTATCTTGTATAGGACAAATTGGAGAAGTGGCGAACAGCGCTTAAGTATTCACATGAATTGCTGAAACCGTGCTGATGATGGCCAGTGTCGAGTCTGCTGTCGTCCCGGTTGTCGGCAATGTGGTAGGAGTGCTATGCATCATCATCAACTTTATGGAGTAGGGTTCACGCATGACAAGGCAACGCTTGAGACTTTGGCTAACCCATTGACAACTATAGGCTATTTGTACACCATAGTCTTCCCGAAGATGCACAACAGTATCTAGACAACAACAAGGACGGCTACATATCAAGCCTGCCCCAAAAGCCGGACCCTACCTACACCTATGCAGTAGCTCCTACTCGATTCAGCTCCTCTGGTCATGTGACTCTTACATTCTCTGTTACGAACACCGTACTTAGAGCCCAGAGTTAGACAACAGTCAACTCCATATTCTTCCAATTCTCCGTTGGATCGGTCGAAGCAAACTTACTAACTGCACCCGCTCTTGCCAACGAGGCCACAAATACTGCGGCCAGAGACCCAATCACACATGCCATCACGAGCGGCGGTGATGAATTTTTGATCAGCGGACCGCCTGCGGTTGCAGATGGCGGTAGTAGTATATCCGTCAATGATCAAGCCAAGATTAGTGCTGGGTCAGGTATTGCAGCTACGGGCTTGACCTTTATCATCACTGGTACAGGTTATGGCGTTGCTGGGGTAGCGCAGGTGATTGTTAATGAGAGTACCAACAACAGGCCGGATCAAAGGGTGTTGCCTTCGATATATTTACAAGAGACTTTACGACTTGGCAAGGTGTAGATAGATGGCGAGGAAAGTTCAGGAAGATATAGTGGTAGTATTTTTGAGACTGGAGCTAGGTGATAATTTACAAGAAACGTACGAGACTGCATCCGTTTAGATCTAGGGCTTCCAGATGACAAAAAGATCCATTTGTTTCCGCATCCAGAACAATCTTGATTGTAAAGGCTTCGACCTCAAAGAATTCATAACCTCACGTGATTTCCAGGCCGTAGAGGGAACATAAAAGCGGCATGATGAGTTGAATATGCCTCAATATGAGGAAACAGAGGAGCCAATATGAGACTTCTGAGCTTAAAATAGGGCCGAGTTCCCAACGGTTTCCTGTATATTAGCCGTGACCCTTTGCATTTCTCACGTCCAAGCGCACCAATATTTAACTTCTGGTAATTTCCATAAGCTTTTAACCCTGATGAACATGGCCAATACATTCAACACCTGCTGATCGTGACCTCATACTTCAATGTATTATGCTTTTAATAAAGGCTTTGCTATTAGGCTATTTATTGTGTTACATCAATCCGTATTCTGCCTGAAACTACACAGTTTCTCCCCGCATCCCCGCGGCTCCCCGCACTCAGTGATAATATCCGATGGCTTCGACTGCGGTTAGACAATTGCCGATCGTGCCATATGCCGCCCTGAGAGCACTGCGTCATTGAGTCTTTATTTGCTCGGCTATGGTGAGCCGCAAATGAGCATATGCAGGACTCCGCAGTAACCGGACAATAGCAAGGCATGAACTGATCAAGAGAGAAGTATAAAAGCGGACTGTGAGAACAGGAGTTTTCAGTCGGACAAGGTTGTTTCTTCAGGCCCAGTAACACCATGTTGCTTAATCTTCAGGTCGCTGCTAGCGCTTTATCTATTTCTCTTTTGGGCGGATTGGTCGAAGCTGCTACGCCTTATACACTTCCTGACTGTACCAAGGGACCTCTGAGCAAGAATGGAATCTGCGATACCTCTTTATCTCCTTCCAAAAGAGCTGCCGCTTTGGTTGCTGCTCTGACGCCTGAAGAGAAGGTGGGCAATTTGGTTAGGTAAGCTTCCTTCGTAATTTTGTGTGATATGTTTCTGACTTTCAGTAGCAATTCAACTGGTGCACCAAGAATCGGACTTCCAAGATACAACTGGTGGAACGAAGCCCTCCATGGTCTTGCCGGATCTCCAGGTGGCCGCTTTGCCGATACTCCTCCCTACAATGCCGCCACGTCATTCCCCATGCCTCTTCTCATGGCCGCTGCTTTCGACGATGACCTGATCCACGATATCGGCAGCGTCGTCGGCACCGAAGCCCGTGCGTTCACTAACGGTGGCTGGCGCGGAGCTGACTTCTGGACTCCTAATGTCAATCCCTTCAAAGATCCACGCTGGGGTCGCGGCTCCGAAACTCCCGGTGAAGACGCTCTTCACGTCAGCCGCTATGCTCGGTACATCGTTAGAGGTCTTGAAGGCGATAAGGAGCAGCGTCGTATTGTTGCGACATGCAAGCATTACGCGGGGAATGACTTTGAGGACTGGGGAGGTTTCACGCGCCATGACTTTGATGCCAAGATTACTCCACAAGATCTGTCTGAGTACTACGTCAGACCATTCCAGGAGTGCACTCGTGACGCAAAGGTTGGCTCTATCATGTGCGCTTACAATGCCGTGAATGGTATCCCCGCGTGTGCAAACTCTTATCTCCAGGAGACGATTCTCAGAGGGCACTGGAACTGGACGCGCGATAACAACTGGATCACCAGTGATTGCGGTGCCATGCAAGATATCTGGCAGAATCACAAATATGTTAAGACCAACGCTGAAGGTGCCCAGGTGGCTTTTGAGAACGGCATGGATTCTAGCTGTGAGTATACTACAACCAGCGACGTCTCCGACTCCTACAAGCAAGGTCTCTTGACCGAGAAACTCATGGATCGTTCGTTGAAACGTCTTTTCGAAGGGCTTGTTCATACTGGTTTCTTTGACGGTGCCAAAGCGCAATGGAACTCGCTCAGCTTTGCGGATGTCAACACCAAGGAGGCTCAGGACCTCGCACTCAGATCTGCTGTTGAGGGTGCAGTTCTTCTTAAGAACGACGGTACTCTACCTCTGAAGCTCAAGAAGAAGGACAGTGTTGCGATGATCGGATTCTGGGCAAACGATACGTCTAAGCTCCAGGGCGGATACAGTGGTCGTGCTCCTTTCCTTCACAGCCCGCTGTACGCAGCTGAGAAACTTGGTCTTGACACCAACGTGGCTTGGGGCCCGACACTGCAGAACAGCTCGTCTCAAGATAACTGGACTACCAATGCTGTAGCTGCGGCGAAGAAGTCTGATTACATTCTCTACTTTGGTGGTCTTGACGCCTCAGCTGCTGGCGAGGACAGAGATCGAGAGAACCTTGACTGGCCTGAAAGTCAACTGACTCTCCTTCATAAACTCTCTAGTCTCGGTAAACCATTGGTTGTTATTCAGCTGGGTGATCAAGTCGATGACACTGCTCTTCTGAAGAACAAGAAGATCAACAGTATTCTTTGGGTCAACTACCCTGGTCAGGACGGCGGCACTGCAGTCATGGATTTGCTCACCGGGCGTAAGAGCCCAGCTGGTCGACTCCCTGTCACGCAATATCCCAGTAAATACACTGAGCAGATTGGCATGACTGATATGGACCTGCGACCTACCAAGTCATTGCCTGGAAGGACTTATCGCTGGTACTCAACTCCAGTTCTGCCCTACGGTTTTGGCCTCCACTACACCACCTTCAAAGCCAAGTTCAAGGCCAACAAGTTGACCTTCGACATCCAGAAACTTCTCAAGGGCTGCAGTGCTCAATACTCCGATACATGTGTTCTGCCCCCCATCCAACTCAGCGTCACGAACACTGGTCGCATTACATCTGACTTTGTTTCTCTTGTCTTTATCAAGAGTGAAGTTGGGCCGAAGCCATACCCGCTCAAGACACTTACGGCTTATGGTCGCTTACACGATGTTGCGCCGGCTTCTACCAAGGATATCTCACTTGAGTGGACGCTGGATAACATTGCGCGCAGGGGAGAGAATGGTGATTTGGTTGTTTATCCTGGGACTTACACTCTATTGTTGGACGAGCCTACGCAAGCCAAGGTCCAGGTTACGTTGACTGGAAAGAAGGCAACTTTGGATAAGTGGCCTCAGGATCCCAAGTCTTCCTGATTTCAGCTAGGATACTAAGGATTGGAGAGAATTGTGTGGTCTTGTAAATATTCTGTCTATAGCTTAAATTCAAGGTTCCGTCTTTCATGTCCATAGTAACAAGTTTCGCTCCTTATCCACGGCATTGATAAACGTGTACTATAGATATTGTCAGTAAAATTGGGCATACGCTGAAGCTGGGTTGTCTTAGACGCACCTCCATGAATCTGGGCATACCATATACCCTATCGCCTATCCAATTATCTTCATTGCTCACTGGCCTTAAGCCCATCTCCTCTAGCGAATACCACCACTCCAACCAGGATCGAAGGTCGTTTGGAACCGTAACGCCTTCTGGTGCTTGCTTAAGATGCATCTCGACCAACAACTGACCAAAAGGTAACGTCGCATTGCCGTTTTTCCTCTGCTCTTTAACGAAATCGACCAGCGATGTCAGAACATCAAACTCTGCACCTTCAATGTCCATCTTGATGAGATCAACATAAGAATGCCCATTCATCTTCATCAGATCCTGTATCGAAAACACAGGCGGTCTAGCCTTGCCGTCCGATACCTTTCCGATCATGGCCTTTTGAAATTTGGCTCGCGACCAAATCCACTCAGGAACTTGCTGCGCCCACTTATCAACGGTGCCATCATATCCCCATATCCGAGCATTTGTGCGCTGGAGCAGCTCTGCCTCAAAAGATGAATCCACACTCACACCAAAGGAGTAGACGATGAATTCCCTTGCCTTGTTTGAGTCTGAGGACGGGCCAGGACATTCCTTCTCATAACGCGACATGCCGCAGATTATCTTGCCACCATCGCTGATTGACCCAACGCGTTCAAGATCGTGAGGACAGAAGAAGCTGGGGCGAGCAAAATCCCAGACGTTGAAGGGGTTCATATATCCGTCGGGAAAGGTTTTATCGTAGCCGACTACTTCGACCATCTCCTCGCGAGCTTTGATAGAGCGTTTCCATAGCTTTTCGGCGTGTGCAAGTCTTGAGTTTAGATGAGGATCGTTACTGAAGACATCCGCATGATTCTGCAATGATCTTGATCTTGAGAAGTGAGGAGATGATCTCGTGAATAGTACAGTACAGAGCAGTATCGTCGCGAAGATGAAGGTGATTGTGACCAGTTTGTGAGACGCGGCCATGATAACGTAGGTCCTCGGAAACTGACTTGATACTCAGCAAAAAAACCTGCGACTGACAGGATCGTAAACAAATACAGGCATCTTACTCACATCAAAAATACTCAACACAGCTGATATCGGCCACAAGTGTTCCCATAGTGGATTGAGGCAATTATCCCCTTTTCGCTGCTGTTTTGAGTTTCACCTAAAGTGGCACGATCCGTTCGCAGAGCAGACGCGGACTCCAGATTAATAGGGCTAGTCCTACACGTAAAGCTCGGATCAATTTGCCGAGTCGGGATAAACGGCACCATGGGTCTTCAAGATGTCTTCTGTTAATTAACCAATTTATCTGTCAACGACATAAGCTCGACACGCTGTTTTTTGTTAGTTGTAGAACTTTTCAGGCTATTAGACCAATAATGCCTTATATATGTCTTGATACTGATTACCTGTCTTCTTTTCTGCTCAGCATAGAATTCCTACGTCAGCGCTAAGATAACGTCAATCCTCCTGACCCACAGTCCTTGACCTCTTCTGCCGAATTCCCGGGAGCCACTTCGGTGTTTTACGACAGAGACCAATGAGGGCTAGCCTTGCCTCAGGGAGCAAGAAAACACAAGACCTTTATATAGGGTGCTAAAATAAACTCAGTAAAAGATATCCTAAACTTAGTGTAGATATTCTAAATTTGTGTGAA